GGAGGGAGCCAGCTTGGGGGGGAGACAGGAGAGGGGATGAAAAGGGGACCACGAGTCAAATCCCAAGCTGGGTTATTGAGACCACAGGTTTAGGTCGCGTTAATTTTTTCCACTTACAAAGCCACTCAATACTGTTCACGTCATTGTATTATATTGAATTGTATTGAATCGAATTGTACTGATTTTATAATCCTTATCATTTTTGTAAATTTGATCTTATTTTTGGTGTTAGTGATTGAGTGATTGAGTGCTATGAAGATCCAAACACCACTTTATGTAATCAATAAATAAAACATAGCTGCTAAACCTTGAGTGTAAATGTATAATATATATAGTAAACTAACTAACAGATAGCCTAGACAGACCAAGAGAAGGGAGGGAGGATGAGGAGGAAAAGTGAGCGGAGGCAGGAGTGGGGGTTGAACTAAGCCAATTTGACAATGAAAAAGATTGTTGAGTTTAATTGAGTTTTGTTGAGTTTTGTTGAGTTGAGCCTTTGTGTGTGCGTAAGAAATAAAGAAAGAAATAAAGAAAGAAAGAGAGAGACAAGAGGAGGGTACCGGTCCCGCTTCAATTTTTTTTTTCTTACCTTTTGTTAAAGCCTTTCTATTTTATTTTATTTTTTATTTTTCTTCACTAAAGATCTCCTCTTTTACCCCGTCCAACTCAACTCTCCCTCCGACACCTTTCTTTTTTTGTCCCTTCTTCCTTTCTCATGACCAACATTGAAGATCTTAACGCTCCCTTTGGTAAGTTAATACAAGTAATATAGTATTTCATAAAAGAAGAGTATTTATACTAATACCCACCAACCAACCTACTCCACAACAAAAAATAAATAAAAAAAAGACCCTTTTGCCGATCTTGAGGAAGAAAACGCCCCCAAGGCTGCCAACCACATCCGTAAGTTTTTTTTTTGTTTTTTTACTATTATTATTATTTGGATGGGATGAAAGAATTTTATAAGGGATGATGTTGACATGAATGATTGTGGGATGGGTAGATTTGCGTATTCAGCAAAGAAACGGACGTAAGACAATCACCACCTTCCAGGGATTGCCCAAGGAGTACGACAGTAAGAAGATTCTCAAAGTCTTCACCAAGAAGTTTGCTTGCAGTGGTACTATTGTTGATGATGAAGAGCTCGGTCAAGTACTCCAGCTTTCTGGCGATCAGCGCACAAAGATTGCCGAGTTCCTTGTGAGCGAGGAAATCGCAAAGAAATCAGAAATCAAGATTCACGGTTTCTAAACAAAACAAAACAAAAAGACAAAAATAATAGCCCACAAAACCAAACGACAAACGACAAAGTCAACGTCAACGTCAACAACAATATATTAAAAAAAAAGACGTAATATATATTTATATTTATATAAGAGTTATTATACTTTATTCCCCCTTCTTATATATGTATATATGTATATATATATGACAGTCTCTTCTTTTTCTTCTTCTTCTTTTTGTGTATTTTTCTCATCTATATCTACCAGTTTCTTTTGTTCACTTTTTCTATATATTCTTTGTACAAGTAAATATATATGTATATGTATAACAAGAGGAAACAACAAATAGAGAAAGTATGTTGAAGAGCGTAAATTTGTCCCAAAGAAATAAGAAGGCTTTTCTTTATATCCTAAAGAGAAGGAAAGAAAAAATAACGCATACTTGTATATATGTGTGTATGTGTGTATGTGTGTATGTGCGGGTGCGGGTGCGTGTTTGTGTTTGTGTTTATGTGCAAGTCTGTAGTTTATTTACGTGTCTTTTTCAGACTTGACTGTGTGTGTCTGTACTAAGCTTAAAAATTAAACTGTAAATTCAAATGTATGTAACTGTGCTAATGCAAGTCGGTACTATACTGAACCGTGTTGTGCATGGTACCTTCTTGGCCAGAGTTACAAAAATACGTTTGAAAGACGTTTGTGATAGTACTTGCTATCGATCTAAAAAAAAAGGGCGTCCCTCACAAAGTACAGTACAAAATAATAGAAATAATAAGAAAGTCCGCAGTAGATCTCAAGTGTGTTTGGTCTTATTAATCTTGTTGATCTATTTATTAAGCTCTATTCTTCAATTTCTTTTATAATTTTCTGTATACAAGGACTTGATCGTCTAGTAACATCCCAAGAAAAATGAAAAATGAAATACGATAAGGAAGAATTACAGGCAAGTCAACCAGCCAATATACCTAGTTAGGCTTTGGTTAAAGGCACCGTAATGTTCATATTTATTTTATTTAATATTAAAGAAAGAAACGAAATAGTTACAAGGTTTATAATATGGCGTTAATTGTTTCATTTGTTGGCTGGTTATAAGAAATTAAAGAACCATCATTTTTATCTGGCTTCGTCAGAGTGACCAAATCTGCTCTCCTTTATTTAATGGTTTATCCGTACTCTAAGAAAAAATTGAGGCAGATCAAATTCAATAGTTAATCTCCTTGGAGTTATCGATGAATACAAAGAAGTATAATTATTTCTACTATTTCCTAGGAAAATAAAAAAAATAAAGTTATCAGTAACTTTATCTAGAAACGGTAGTCCAACTAAGATGTTCATAAATACAAATCAAGTATAGACACATCGGACTATGTATGGATATGTCCTTTAGTATTTTATAGCTCTAAATATCAGAATCATTTGTAAATGCCTAAAAAATGAATAGGAAAATAGGAAAATAGGGAATATGCGCTTTTGTGTAATGCATTTTCGCAATAATGAATCATTGTTGCGATAAAGCGTAATATTTAAGGACAGTCGATTATGCCACTTGTCGAGCTTTTAGGACTTATCTCTCACATTTTTCTTACAGCATAGTCCGAGATGTACAGAAAAGTATTGGCACATGTATTATATTATATTAAATTATTTTATTTTATTTTTTTAAAAAAAACACACACACACACACGTACACAAGAAACCAATATTTATCGACTCTTTCAAGTAGACAGCCTTATTCACAAAATTTTGATTATTAAATCTAAATTTCTCACAACTTCTTGCTCTCTTTCTTCATGAACAACAGAGAAATATGACCTCACATTCACCCAACAAAACACACATCTTCAAGGTTTGGTGAAACTTGTGACGTCTTTCAAGGCGGTTTATCGGTTACAACCCATTTTTTTTTATATTATATTATTATTACAGGCGGAGCAAATCGCAACCTTTTTTTTTCTCTCTCTTCTAATTCTTGTGCCCATCACTGCCTTTTCTCCCTCTCTCTTTCTTTCTCCCTCCCTCTCTATATATTCAAGCTTATTTTATTATATATAAATATTATTATTATATATATATACATACATACATTTGAAGCATACCATTTTTTTAATTCATAAAAAAAAATTAAATAAGAAACTACCTTTTTCCATCGTCTGTCATGTCAGTCCCATCCCTCGCACAGAACCCAGAAACCAATGCGCCATCAGATTCTAGTCAGTCTGTTGGTGCTACACCAAATGCAATGAACAGTAAACCAGTTCCGGTCAAACTAGTTTTGTTGGGTAAAGTTTAGTCATCTCATCATTCTAGAGAGCCAAATAAAATACTAAAAAAGTATTATATCTCTATATATCAATATAGGCGAGTCTGCTGTTGGAAAATCCAGTCTAGTGATACGCTTTGTGGATCGTGAATTTGTACAGAATCGAGAACCAACTATTGGAGGTAATATATCGTATACTTTTTTTTTTAGTATTTAAAATACTGTGAATAATTATATATGTATATGTATGTATGCTAACTAATTCATCCTATTACTTAGCTGCATTCTTGACTCAAAAGTGTCCCTTGGAAGACCACACAATCAAGTTTGAAATCTGGGATACAGCAGGTCAAGAAAGATTCCATTCGTTGGCACCCATGTACTACAGAAATGCCCAGGCTGCAATTGTTGTCTACGACGTGACCAAAGCAGTAAGTGATAATTTTCCTCTGTTAATAAAAAATAAATAAAACAAAAACAAAAAAGTATATCTCTAACACCAAAATTAAACAATTTTTTTTAAAAATAAAAACAAAAAGGCTTCTTTAGAAAAAGCCAAGAGTTGGGTAAAGGAATTGCAACGCCAAGCCCATTCTCAGATCGTGATTGCGCTAGTGGGTAATAAGGTGGATCTGGTCGAAGCAACTCCTGCCAGACCTACCCAAAGTGATGAGGAAGCAGAGGAAGCAGAGGAAGAAGAGACTGTGACTCGACAGGTTTCTACAGAAGAAGCATCGGCCTATGCTGCAGAAACTGGCCTCTTGTTCTTTGAAACCAGTGCTCGCTTGGGTATCAATGTCGATAGAGTGTTTACAGAAATCGGTAAGAAAACATATATATATATATATATATGTGTGTGTGTGTGTATGTGTGGAAGGCATTTCTTTTATGGATTATTGACAACAATAATAATAATACCTTTAATATATAATGTATATTAGCCAAGAGTATTCCACTTGAAATCATCATGTATAATCGCCCTGGTGGAAGATCTGGACCTGGAAACACCAACCAGCGTATTAACCTTCAGTTTGAGTCCGGAAACCCGACCAACAAAACTTCTTCTGGCTGTGCATGCTAAATACACACCACACATCTCACATTACACATTACACAGACCACGCAACCACACAACCATACAACTTACACGGTACCAAAGCACGCACATGTATATAGGTGTATGTGTATTATTCGATAAGGCTTTTTCTCCATCTATTGACACAAAATAACGCTACTCATTTGAACATCTTTCCTTCTATCCTACCTCTCAAATCACACTCATTTTTCCTTCTGCTTTTTCTCTTTTCTTTTTCTTCTTTACAATATTTATAATAACTCTTTTTCTCTCTTTTTCTCTCATTACACTAATAGTGAACCTTTCTATTCCTCCATGAACTTATATAACACTTGAACCCAATCCAACCCAAATCAAATCAAATCAAACCAATTTAATATATAAAGATATACACTTGTCCACTTACATATATAAAGTACAAATTATAAAGTATAAATTAGAAATGCATAGAAAGAGAAAAAGAAAGATCGCTCCTGATATGTTTTATATATATACCCCATATTGTGTGTGTGGGGTATAAACTATATATATAAATATAAATATAAATATATATCAAAGTAATTATCATCTATGATCTTTGAATTGACTTCATTGGATTTGATGGTTATTTCATATCATTATTCTCTTAATTAATTAAAGAAAGAAATAAGAAACAAACCCACCCGGGACCTGGTTTCTTTTTGTACATGTGTGGGTGTTGTCTGTATACAGATTCTGAATTGTTCCCGATTAACATATGCTTATCTATCTAGACATCTTCAATTGATTGCTTTCTTCTGCTTATTATATCCCTCACCTATTGAAACAAGATGTATTTGATCTCATCGTTGATACAAAGAAGGCGTGCGTACATGCATATACTATTTATACAATTCGGCTAGAAGCTAAAATAAATAAATAAATAAATAAATATATCTTTTTGTGTGTGCATTACTCAGCCCCCAAAATACGTTTTGACACATGTTCTCAGCCGGCAAATATATCGGTCTTTTTCTTTTTTGTATATATAAAAAAAATGTTCCTTTGGATCATCCGAAATAATATGCAATGTCATAGCAACAAATCATTATTACCAATTGATAATCCTAGGACTGGCAATTAAACCAAGATAAACTGATAAATAACAATAATTATATATATAAATGAAAATGCTTATTATGATTTTAAAACTACTTCATTTCAAATAATGATCCAGACACTGGCCGATTAGAATCACTTGGGTTTCCATGGTTTGGTCCTAGAGTACCCGATATTCAAGTTCGCAGGGACAGGGGATTACACAGAGTTGATAGATTGTAAGAAGTTCTTATAGAAAATCATGCTTTGGTGACCCTGTCCATTCAGAAACATACCCACCCACTGAACATCAAACACTATGCACTAGATGTACACTGGTCACTGTACATGTATATGGAATAATAATAATAGTAATATAGTTATCCAGAGGGGAGGATGAAAAAAAAAGAAAGTATATATTTGTCTTTTAGTAAAGGGCTAGATTAGGAACATTGGTTCCCCTTAATTTTAGCTATCGTTTATGACGGTGCCTTTATTCACAAATGACGAAAGCATGATTTTGATTTTCTGTTTTTCTTTCTGCTTATCTTGACAGCGCTAGTACCATATTCATATATCTGTTTCAAATAAATATAATTCTCTTAGTGTTCTTTTTTTTTTTTTTTTTTTTGCTCTTTCTGCTGGTGAGCTGAGAGTCATATAAAAGACAAGTTATGTCACTCTTGAGAGGAATAAGCCAATCAATGATGAGTACAAAGGAAGTCAAGGGGGGGGGGGGTTTAGGACTGGGTTATCTTTTTTTTTTATTTTATGATTTTAAAAAAGGCAACTAGTGGAAATCTGAGTTCCTGTCTTGACCCGTGCTAAATATATATATTTATATATATATAAAAAAAAAGACTTAAGATCCCGGCACATAAAAAAAAAGGACGTCTGCCAATGTTATGCGTTCAAAGACTTATCCTACCTTTCCCGAAATGAAAGCAGTCCGACCCCGCATTTGCTTTTAAAAGCGGGGCACAGGAGACCTTGCTTTTCTGCTTGTTTATTTGTAACTTAACAAAATAAAACATATACACATATCATTATCATAATGCCTGAACTCAAGTTTGACGAAATCAAGGCTGGTCAAGGTGAAGATCTCCACACATTGACTCGTTGGGTCCTCTCTCAGCAACAGGTAAAGAAAGCTACTAAGTAACTTAGTCGGTCCATAAGAGATCAAGAATCTTGCCACTAAACACATCCTTATAATCAAATGAAACAGCATGCTCCCGAGGCCACTGGTGATCTCACCATTCTCTTGACCGCCATTCAGTTTGGTTGCAAGTTTGTTGCTTCCAAGGTCAAGCAGGCCGGTTTGATCAACTTGTAAGTAGTATACACACTAGGTGTTTATATATATTATTTTACTTATTCTTCTTGGGACTTTAGGTTGGGTCTTACTGGTGCTGCCAATGTTCAGGGTGAGGAGGTCAAGAAGCTCGACGTGTTGGCCAACGATATCTTCCGTAACGCATTGATTGCTTCCGGAAAGGCATGCTTGCTGGTATCTGAGGAAGATGAGAACGCAATGATCATCCAGAACCCCAAGCAGCGTGGCAAGTATATTGTTACCTTTGATCCTCTCGATGGCTCTTCCAACATCGACTGTGGTGTATCTATTGGTACCATTTTCGGTATCTTCAAAGTCGTAAGTACTTCTTCATTACACCGACCTATCTACATAGCCTAACAACTTTAACCCATTGCAGAAGGACGACAAGAACCCAAACAGCTCTGACCTTATCCGCAGCGGTAGAGAAATCGTTGCTGCCGGATACTGCATGTACGGTTCTTACTGTGAAATGATCTTGGTAAGTTTCTGTTTGTTAGTTTTATTTTTTTAATTACCCCCTTTTGTACTATTCACATGCAAACAAACAATTGACCATCATCTTGTAATCTTCTTCTTAGTCTCTCGGTAATGGTGTCAATGGTTTCACTCTTGATCCTTCTATCGGTGAGTTTATCATGACCCACCCAAACGTAAGTATTACTCTATCATTACTCTTCTTTGTGTGTGTGTGTAATACAACAATATATATATATAAAAGAAAGGTTGGGTTTATTGTGTATTTTTTTGCGGGTAATGGAGGAACGCAGTCTTGTTGATCTTGCTTTCTCACGGGTTGGACAAGCGGGATATTTATGTCGGAGGCAGGAGGATTAAGATGATCCGAAGCGTGTTTTGATAGTCTTACTCATCTTTATTTGTCAATGCCTATAGATCACCATTCCTCCCAAGGGTAAGATCTACTCTGTTAACGAGGGTAACTACAAGTACTTTGATGAGCCCTCAAAGAAGTACGTTGACCACGTCAAGTCAAAGTACACTGCTCGTTATGTTGGTTCCATGGTTTCTGATGTTCATCGTACACTTCTCTACGGTAAGTTACACACAAAAATAGAGTAAAAGCTTGGAAATGTTTATATATATATATATATAAGACAGAGAGAGAGAGAAATACTAAGAAAAAAATTAAATAAACAGGTGGTATCTTTGGTTATCCCGCCGATTCAAAGTCAAAGCGCGGAAAGCTTAGAATCCTTTACGAGGTCTTCCCCATGGCCTTCTTGATTGAACAGGCTGGTGGTAAGGCTACTACTGGTACCAAGAACGCTTTGGACATCGTTCCTGAGCATATCCACGACCGATCTGGTATCTGGCTCGGATCCAAGGATGATGTCGCAGAATTGGAAGCCTTTTACAAGAAGAAGTAAAATCCTGTTTTCTCTCTCTCTCTCTCTCTCTCTCTCTCTCTATCTTGTTTTTGTATACCAGAAAACAAACAAAGCAAAAAAGATATATATAAATGAAAACAACCTCCACTGTACAATTTACATAATAAAAAAAATCTACACCATAAATATAACAAAGAATTTTTTGTTTTTGTCAATTGATATTATAATTATTATTTATTGAGGGGGGTTTCAGTAATGTTTATATTTCTAAGAAAGAAAGAATATAGACAGTGCAATAGAAATATATATATTCTTCATAATTTACAGTATACCACAACTTTTTGTTGTTGTTGTTGTTGTTGTTGAATATGTATTCCATTGGTGGTGGTATTCAATTGGTTTGTAACTTTATTTGGGGCATATTTTCTTTTAAAGTAAAGGCGATAATTTCAAAGGTAAGCCAGAACAATGACTTGATACGTGTTTCCCAGCAAATGAACCACATTAATATCTGGTAATTAACTCAGGTAATAATGAGTGAGTGAATGAATGTCATTGATACGCAATTGTATCTTGTGCTTCAAATAAAAATGACTCAATAGATAGTAATAATAATAATAAGAAATTAGTAATCTTCCCGGGAAAAATAAAATAAATTATTGACTCCTTTACTCTTTTTCCCTTTCTGCTTCTTCTTCTCCCGGGAAAATCCCGCATTCCACTGGGACGGGTTTGACGCCGATTTTCTGGATATTTCTTTGCCGACACAACACAAAGTCCTACCTCACAGTCTATAAGTAATACAATACAGTAAGTCACTTTACCGTCCGGAATTCTTTTTTCATTTCTTCTTCTTCTGCTTTACTTACAAAAGACAGTAGCACTACCTTTTGCATATAGCATCTCAGGGTAAAACACATACAACAAATGTATAATATTCATCTCATAGGCTGCCTATCTAGCGAATATTACGGCAGTAAGCTTGTAAATGCTTTGTAACCAATTTTGAAGAAAGAAAGAAAAGGACTGGGAAAAGAACAGAATGCAGAATATTTTGCACAGATTACTTATCGATTTATTCTTGGACACACGAAATATTATATGAAACTCTCATGAATTCCAAGAAAAAAAATCGAATCATTTGATTCTCTTGTAGTTTAAAGAAGAAGAAATATTCGAAGCACTTTACCCAGACTACTCGAATTACAGTCAAGCCATGCCAAGCCAACCCAAATTAAATTAAAATAAAAGAAAATCAGCTAGCATTTCCCTTCATCAGAAAACAAAATTAAATCGTACAACAAGATGGGTTGTATAAAGAGTCGCTCTTTCTCTTCTTTTCTCTTTGCTCCTTTTAGCGTATCTTATACCCAGAAAAGCCAATAAGCTCTTTATTACACGACTTTATAGATTCGAATAATGGGATTTAATTTTCTTTTGTTTGACAGAAAATTACACAAATCAGAAGAAGAAGAAGAAGAAGAAGAAGAAGTTGGGATATTAATATTACACTTGGTCTCTCTGTACACTATTCAACATATTATTTTTAGACGCAACAGAAAAAAAAATATTGTACATGGGCTGACATCTGGTCACATTCACTGAGCTGACAAATTTAAAGAAGAGAGTTATTGTATTGATAGAGTCGCAACTATTCTAGTTAAATTCTGTAGATATTTATTTTTTTGCTATATTCAATACATATAATCACAGTAATAGGACCAGATTTATTGTATTATGGGACAGTTGGCATATCGTTAGTCCAACAAGAACATAACCATTATAATTATCATCATTTATAGCAGTAATATCCGAAATAAAAATAACCTTACTTGAAAAAATCCCTCAAAGTATGACGGTTTTTGAAATAAGAATCCTTTTTATTAAAAAAATTGTATTTATTTATTTATTTACTACTCTTGGCACTAACAATGTATTAAGGGTGGTGTATATATCTGTATGTTAATATAGAGTAAATAATACATGCATGCATGCATAGATTTTATATATATGTATATTTTTTTTCTAGTGATACACACACAGAGGACACAAACCGATCGCTTGTTTCTTTTTTATCTGATTACCTTTTTTGATAGATTGTCTATTTAAGAATGAAAGGAAAATAAAGCTATCCATCTAGTACAAATATATATATATATAAAGGGGGACCGAATATAATGTTATGTAATCTACTGTAGATTGAATTACTTTAGTTAAAATAATCTTGTCCATGATTAGCTTGTCTTTTTCTTAAAGTAAAACAGAAAAGACTGGTTGGTGGTGATACAATTCCAAAGTCAAATTCCTAATTTTTACATTTCCGCCTAATCTCTGTCTGTCTCTGTCTCTGTCTCTGTCTCTGCCTTTCACTTTGTATGCGCTCATCTTTCACACACACACACACACACACACACACACACACACACACAGATGCATATGACCAAGACAGTACAAGATGAACAAATTAATACGATATTAAAGGTATTTTTGGTAAACCAATCCAAAAACATAATTCAGAACCAGAACATAGCAACAGAGTATATTTATCAGGGCATTATTGTTTAGTTTTTTATATATATATTTATATTTATAAACAATCTATTTATGACCTAGCAACCTTTATTGTACCTGATAACCTTTTTTTTTGGTATCAGACTATTCACAAAATAGTAATTTGCTACCATGACAACTAAGATTTGCTTTTTCTTTCATAATATTTTTCGAATGTAAACATCTTATTTTATGATAGACATGATGGTTGTGATGATCTAAATAAAAACACAGACACAGACACAGACACAGACAAAGACACAGATACACACCCACAGAGAGAGATAGAGAAATCTGGTTCCTCCTTTTATAAAGTTATTACCGAACTTGTACTTTTTTTTTAAATAAAGAATATATATCTAGGCAACGAATAACCTTTATTTTCGTGTGACTAAATCGATCAACTCCGCGTCTTTTTTTCTTTTTTTTTTTATTATTTTTGAACTCGCTACAGTTACTTTCTATCCCCCCTCCCCCTTCATTTTCTTCTCTTTCTTCTTTTTCTCTCTATTTTTCACTTCTTCTTCTTCTTTTTTCTTTTTGTTATTGTATGTTCCTTTCAATATCTTGTGAATTCCACTGTTATTTATTCTTATGCTGCGTCGCCAATTCTATTGTATCACTTGCTCTGCAATAGCAACTTATGCGGTCTTGACGAATATGATACCACTTGGGTACGCACAAACACCGACAGAAAATTATACACCCTACAATCCGTCATTGGGATCCGTGCAGATAACAGTGCCTTGGAGAGCAGCCCATGCCTCGGGTAAAAAGACTATATATATATAAAAAAATTAGAAAAAATAAATAGTAATAATAATGATAATTAAAACAAACAAAAAATGCAAAGCAAATAAGCTTTTATATACATATACATATGTATGTATATTGAAACGACTACGCATATACACACAGACACAGACACAGACACAGACACAGACACCTACACAAACACCTACACATACACATACACGCATAGACACCTATAAGCACAGACATATTACGATAATTCTCGACTGACCTGCGCGTTTTATTATGTAGACTATGTAGATCCCTATGTGATCCTTTATGGAGGTGTAGTCGATCCGAATGAGAGCAGCACAGGAACTTTATTAGGATCCTCTGATGTGTGGGCATGGGATTCTCGTAATGGATCCTGGTACAATCCAATTCCAACGGTTCAAATGCAATCTGGTAATGACATGCTTCCCCAAGCCCTCATTCGAGCAGTATCATTACCTAGCTCCGGACAAATACTTGCTATCGTCGGTAATACAACTGGCACTATATATAATGGCATGTTACAGAAATTAGACACCAATAGCTGGACCTGGAGTTTTCCTACCGCAAGTATGTTTTTTTTCTGTTAATATATTTTTGTTTTGTTTGTTGAGTGATTGTTTAATTACTAATTATTAATATTACTTTTGCTTTTACTTTTACTTTTACCTATCGATTTTAATCTTAATCTTATAATAATTAAATTAAATTAAATTAAATTAAATTAAAATAAAATAAAATAAAATAAAAATAAAAATGATAAAGGTCTCGAGCCACCCGCACGCGCCGCCGGATTTACATTGTCAATTGTTAACAATACAGTGTATCAATACGGTGGACTAGGAGTAGGATCTGACGGACACCCTATGATTGGTGCAGTAATGAACGGGCTTTCACTTATGGACACAAGTGCCTACACTTGGACAACTGGCTCAAACGGACTTGGAGTGACCGACCACAGCACCTGCTATATACCTGCCTGCAATTGCCTGGTTGTATTTGGCGGAACCCCGACCGGATCAGCTTCCGATGCAACCTCTGTAAGTGAAATTTTGTTAGTAGAAAATAATATGGATATCAATGCCAATATAAATAAGTAAAGGTAAAATAGAAGGTGAATACGAATGGGTGTGATGTACGAGAAAAGAAGCAAACAAGTAAAATGAGCAAATAAGCAAATGAACAAATGAATAAGCGACCAAATGCTTTTTCTTTTTGAATATATATATATGACAAAAACAACCATGATATTTTATATTCTATATTTTCTTAAAGATAATAATGATAATTATATATATAAAATCTATATATAAAAATAAACATTATATACATACATATGCTTGTGTGTGTATGTAATTAAGCGTACTTCTTTTCTTTCTTTCTTTAATGAGATTGCGTATAATGCATAATGTTTAATGTATAATGTATGTATGTGTATGTAATTATGACTATTATTTACAGAACCTTCACACCTACGATCTCAATCTCAAAACATGGAGTCTTCAAGTAGTCGCAGGATCTACTGATGGAGCTGCACCTGGAGCACGACGATTACATACAGCAACATGTCTAGATGACAAGATGGTTGTATTCGGTGGAGGAACGACCCAGCCTTACGATTCAGACGTGTGGTATCTAGACGCATCATCTTATCCAACCCTTGCCTGGAATCGTGTCACAGTAGCCAATATAACCCAAGGTCCAAATGCGCGTATGGGTAAGTTTGGCAATTAAGTGGAAATTAAGCAAAAAACAATTATTATTTTATCTTGTATCCTTTTCTGTAGAATAGTCTTCTGATTTCCTTTTAGCTTTCTTATTTGATTGCCTGCTTGTTTGTTTGTTTGTTTGTCTGCTTACCTGTTTAATTAATTAATCGGTTAATTAATTAACTAATTAAATTATTTAAAAATTATCCATATCTTTAATTACAGGACACACCGCTTCATTAGACAAGACATCCCAAAAAATTTACATCTATGGAGGATGGGGTGTCAGTGCCACAAACGACTCAAATATGTACGTTCTTGACACAAAAGCATGGTCATGGACACGTGTGGCAGTAGCAGGTTATCCTGTAGCCATTCCTCCTTCCATTTCTTCCTCTATCCCCGTTTCCAGCGCCACATCAGACACTACACAACCAGCCGCCACTTCCTCCCAAACCACAACCACGGCCACAGCCGCAACCAAGTCTAACAACACTCCCATAATAGTCGGCAGCGTAGTCGGTGGTCTAGTCTTTCTCGGATTAATTGCACTCTTGTTATTCTGTTGTGTCCGGAAACGACGCCAAAAGGCTTCAAAGGAATCAGTCCCAGAAAATATGGACGGAGATGGTCAACTACCAAAGACAGACAAATTCTGGACGAACAACACCAAAGAAAAGAAACTCGGATCAGCCGAGCTAGCCTATGGAAACAATCCTTCTGACGCCACACTCATGACACCCTTTGGAAACAAACGTGTATCACAAGCATGGACAGGAACAAGCAGTCAGCGTGCATCCCTTCGACCATCTGAACTCGGTGACACAGATCGAGTTGTAACAGGTGTATTAGAAATAATGTCTACTTCCCCAACCATCGGAGACTCGCCTAATCATTCCAATCGCGGATCACGCGACTACATTGGGTCAATAGGAGGAGGATATCCTTCGCCTTTAGGACCAGACTCCCATCGCAACTCTTCGTTGAGTGCACTAGGAAGTATTCCCCTTGTACACGCCGTAAGAGGACCTGGGCAAGTTCCAAATGAAATCACACCACAAAAGCCAAACGAATTCTCGTTTCCGACCGCCCGCTTTTCCGCTCAGAGCAATACCAGCAGTGTACCAATAGACCATCTCACCCAAGTATCACCTAGTCTGATTTCCGGAGACGAAAGCGGAGGAGGAGCCCCCTTGAGCAGTAGCATGGAGGTTCTGAGAAGCATCAAAACCAACGGAAGCAGTATGATGAGTGGAGGGTCACGCATTGTACCTGTCACGCACTCCTATGCATCAACACCATGGGGGCTAAAAAATAGGGACCAAAACGAACTAGAGGATGACAAATGGACATTAGGTGATTCTTTGTCAGTCCGTGGTGCAAATGCACCTCCAATTCGCTACATCCCACCTAGTGGTAGTGGAAACCAATTTAGTGTGGCTACTACAGCCACTACCTCGGCTAGCACTTGGAATAATAAGGGTTCAAAGGGTTCTGTGTTGCTAACACATCATCAGTATCCATCTTCAAATATGAGCGTGCCACTTGCTCAAAAGGTCACACCGGCACAGCCACAGCCTTTGACGATAAACACCGTACCATCTATGAACCTACAGTCGTTTGGACAACAACAAAATGACATGATGCTTTACGATTCCGTCAGTCCTCTCGAAATGCTCGCCACACTCGGACACATACACGACACACGAGGAATCGATGGTTCTACAGTACCAAGCAGCAGCGGGAGCAGCAGCGACAACAATAACAATAACAGCAATAGAAATAACACTGCGGACACAACAGCAGCAACAGTGGCAACAGATATATCTACAACCGATATCCAACTCTCACCCTCCTCGTCAGGCGTGGCTGTAGTAGCTTCTAGAAGGAATTACAACAGTCCAGCCGCGACTGCTGCAAGCAGTGAACGCAATTCACTAACCACAACCGAAGACGACAGTGGATTGTCATTTAGACAGACCAACCAAGATAGTACAATACCCTTTTCATCATCCAGCTTAGAGGCTACCGAAGATCCCAATGATTCTTTCGGTGTAATGGGGCCGCTGATCAGTATGCTTCCAAGACGCTATCAAATGGAGAAAACCTCACCCCCTATCCTCGGTCCTGCAAATAATGTCATCTTTGTTCAGAAGAAAGACACTTCTTCAGATTTTGGCGACGCACGTCCAGTTGTAATCAAGGCATTTGGTCGCCGTGAAGCATGGGAGCGAGAGTGTCGCACGTTGATCAAGCTCAAGGGCAAGCATGCAGTTGAACTGCTCGAGGTGCTCACTATTCAAAATGAACCAAACTCTCTCCAGGAACAAAACTCAAGACTATCAAAATCTCGAGGCAAAAAAGAAAAACAAGACGATGGTTCAGATGACATAAAGTATGTTACAGTAATGGAACGCTTAGACGAGACATTGGCAGCCACAATTAGACGATTTAGGAACAAGAATACAAGTAATACAGAATGGGCAGATGGTCCTGCTCGTGAAATTGCAAGAGATGTGGCAGAATGCCTGGTCTGGTGCCATGCCAACGGTAATATACAAACAGCCAAAAATATAGATGTTTTGGCTAGAATTCTGACGGATATATTGCAATATTGTTTTTTTTTTAAAAATTTTATTTCTAGATATTGCATTTTGTGACCTTAAGCCAAGTAACATTATGCACAACAAGCACAGGCCGTGGAAACTTATCGATTTTGAAGCAAGTCGGATGATTGGACAAGAGTGTGTTGGTGTAATTACTCCTCGCTATTGTCCTCCTGAAGTAGCCAGAGCAACTACCTATGGCCTTGAAGGTGCAAACGGAGTTGTTGCAACAGCCAGTGTTGATTTATGGGCTTTGGGTTGTGTCATTTATGTAAGTTTATTATTTCATTTTATTTTGACTAAGAAAGAAGTAATATTTATTAACCTTTTTCTTTTTTTTTAAAAAAAAAACAATCAATAGGAATTGGCTACACAACGACCTTTGTTTGCTAGTTCAATCAAAGACGAAACAATCTTGCATTTTGTGTCTCATCCTTCACCGTCTACACCGATTCTTAACAACGGGTTGCGATGGAATGAGCACAACGAACTTGAAATTCCTCACTTGGGTCGCCTAGTACCCAATGAAGACACACGCCACTTACTGTGGATTTTATTAAGTAGAGATCCCTCAAAACGAGGCAGGGCATCTAGTCTGTTGGTAAGTTAATTATTCTATTGTTGTTCGTTTCTTCTTCTTTTTTGGTTTTTAAAAGGTGTACTGATTTGATATCTTTTCTTCTTCTTTAGAAACATCCTTATTTTAATACTCAACGGTCAACATAAATATCATATACACACACTTTCTCACTCTCATATAACTCACTCGATCACACAAATATATTTACATATATATGTATATGTATATTTAAAGATGTATAACTTATTTTCTCTTTCATTCTTTCCTCTTTGTTGCTATATACTTCTTCCTTCCCCTCATTTCTTTTTGAATATCCGTACCTCTTTACATTAATTTACATTTGCGTCCATGTAATTTATCTTCCCCTCCCTCTCTTTCAATATATATTGATCACCATGTTTTTTTTTTATCTTTTTTTTTACAACAAAAAAAGACATAACTCAAACAACTAAGTACCTTACATCTTCATGGAGGTTAATGACAAGTCGCTCCTTTATAAAATCAAGAATAAGCTTGTCTTCTTCCCTCTTCTTATATTATAATTGTTTTGTCCCTTCTTTCTTTTTCTTTTTTTTGCCTTTGAAACTTTCCAAATGTATTTACATGTCAAAAACCTTCACATGAAGCGAAGGATTTTCACCTTTTCGTTTTTTTTGTCGTTGTCATAATCTCTTTTTCTTTCATTCTTTTTGTTCAGTTTTTTTTAGAAGCCCTTCTCGATCAACCATTGCTTAATTTCGTTTCCGTGAATACCCTTGATGATAACCTGGTTGTTGGTGGGGTTGACTCTGACAATATTCTTAGGAGCATCCTTGGGGAACAAGGCGCGGATCTCGTGCATCAATACTTCGGCATCACCTTCAATGCGACGAACAATGGTCAGTTTCTGAGTACCGCCGTTCTTGATCTCGGTGTAGACAGGAAGTCCCTGGTTAGCTGTCCGGGAAATGAAGTAAGGAGCGGGGGTGGCAACTGTAGAAGAGAATCGTTTGGCAATGCCAGAAAATTGTCCGAATGCTCTCAACATTATCTATTAAACAAGGGTAAGAAATACGTATAGAGAGAGAAAAATAGATGTATATTCTCAGGTATGTATGTATGTATATATGTATTTATTTACTTATTTCTCTTTGCTCTATATTTATATTTTTTGTGCGTTCATTTAAGCTTAAAAGTAAGTTTCTGAATTCTTCATTAGACAATCCTTACACGTTAATTTTTCTTTTCTTTTCTTAAACAAGAAGGAGGAGGGAGAAAGAATGAGCTATGGTGCAACGGAGACAAGGGGAGAAAGCTTGTTTACAGGGACAAGAGGATCAATGACTTTGAAATCCTAAAAAAAAGCAGTCCAACGTACAGTGCATACTTTTGACAGAAGGAATTCATCTCCTCTTCCCCTGCTCTTTGTACTCTCAACCTTTGCATTTTATTTTTTATTTTTTGTTTTGTGCGTATCCAATTCATTTCCTTTTTTATCTAAATAAAAAAAGAAAGAACAAATCCCTTTATTTTTATCGAATTATTTGATCTATCAATATGGCCAGCCAAGACAACACCCCAATTTTGGACACAACTCCTGTTGAAGTAGTTATCAAGTCTCTTCAGAGTCAAGTCAAGGAACTCCAGAACATCATCAAGAACCAGGCATCAACCGAAACCGTAACTAGTTCAAATTCCGAGAACCATGCCTCGTCCGAAGAGCTAGCAAAGTTGCGTACTCAGAATGCAAAGGCAGAGTACCGCATTAACTTTTTGTTGAGAGCTTTGGATGAACGGGATGCAGCTAATAAAAAGCACTAGAATGTTCTCTATATTTGTCTTGCTCTTCTTATTCTTTGTATAAACAGACGCATACACATGCATATATGCTTTGTTTGAAAAAAAATAACGATAATAATATAGCTTTATCATTCTTTTTATATATATATATTTGCTTTTTGTGTTTTTATTAGAATGTATTCTAGATCGCTCATTAACAATAAATGCCATCCATTCTCAGGAACAAACCTAATCATATAATTCCAATTACCTTTTTTCTTCTTATTTTTTTTTGGTGACTGCCTCAGAATTGAACTTTGTGAATATGAATTTGTACAAAAACTATTCATTTTTCTTCCTTCTTTCTTTCTTCCTTTAACAACTCCTAATAATTTGATGACCTCCAACATCACCACACGCGATGAGTTTGATTCTATTTCAGAGGTAGAAAGCACATACTTGTAGGACTTTGTCATTTTATTTTCTTTCTTTCTTGATACTATTTTATTTTTATTTACCTGTCAATTAATGTCAGGGTTGCTTCTTGGTAATGCCTCCTCGTCATACGACAACCAGAAAGCGTAAAAGAGTATCTATCAAAGGTTCAGTCAACTCATTTACCAAATAAAAAACGATAAGCCAAACTATCAGCGATCTTATACAACATGTACTTCTCTTTTCTTTTTGAAAAAAACAACAATTACTGTGTACGTATATTGCGCATTAGACGTCAAAGCCACAACCTCTCGTCCTAAAGTGACATTATCCGATGGATTCCAACGCCTGTTTCGAGGCGATGAGCCCAAAGAAAACATGGAATTGCGCAGAAAAGGATTCGAGGAAACTTGGAAAAAAACGGAAGATCTTGTTGAGGTACCCTATCTCTTCTCTAGCTGCAACTACCAGTATGATAAGAATAATAAAGATCAATACTCTACCAATACAACCCGAAGAACTCTAGTTGATGTCGTGCTTACTTGATGCAATTGAATATACATTTTTTCCTACTTCTCTTTCTTTTTCTATGCATGTATTTAGGGAATTATGCTGGATATGAATCATACTTGTTTAGATAACATCAGTCAATTTGTAGACAGAGCTTATGATACAGAATCAACTATGAAGAGGTAATAATAATTAAAATAAATGAATAAAAACAAGCATAAAAACAAGCATAAAAGATAATAAAACGATGTTTTTTTTATTTAATAACTAATCCACTAAATTTGATTATTATCTCGCTTTGTACCTGCGTGGATATTAGTTTGATTGCATTGCCGTACCATGAAATCCCTACTGGGCTAGTATTTGCAGGCATTAATACCCCAGATCATGCTACTCCGTTTGAGCAACTTACTTCGCTACTATCATTACCAGCAACTCCCGAGAACAAGCGTACAAAAGACAATTATGTAGCCTTATTACAATCCAAGGATTGCGCTACACTTCAGATTATGATGGCTCGTGTAATTGAGCAGTTTTTAGCATCAAATGATCCTTCTCAAATATCAGACAAAATGGATATTGATAATGAAGAAAATGGAGACGAAAACGAAAGCGAAGAGGATGGTGAAGAAGGTGAATCACGGGAAAAACACGAAGAATCAAGTGTAGGGACATTTTTCTTTTTTATAAAAGATAGAAAGAAAAGAAGAAGAATATTATGCCCATATTTAACTTTTTTTCTACTGTCCAAATCGTACAGAAATCGTATACTCTGACAGCGAATTCTGGGGACAATACATGCCGACTTCAACGCTACGATCTACAGATGCTTGAGGGATGGTACAAACACCAAATGGATATCAGAGAAAACAAGAGCGCACCTCGTTCAAATCTCGTCGTAATTCTTCAGGATCTCGAATCATTTGCACCAGATGTTCTTCAGAATTTTATTACTATCTGTAGTGAATATCGTCTTCGGATTCCCATTGTATTCATCATTGGTATCGCAACATCTACCGAGATTCTTCACCAGTCCTTGAGCAAATCAACTCTCGGATTATTGAGAATCGAGAAATTTTGGCTGCAGCAAAGTGAAGCATGGTTTAACAGAGTGATCGAAACAGTAAGTGTGTATCATTATTCATAACTTTATTTATGTTTAAAAATAATAATAATAATCAACATTTCTCGTGTGAATTTAAGGTTTTTATTGACACACCACACACAATAAAATTTGGTGCTCGTCCTTACAAGTTCATGTTAGATCATTTTTATCTGTATGATTTCTCAATTGGTGCAGTTAAATCCAGTCTAAAGGTAATTCCCATTCTCTCATCTTTGTGATAGAATGTATCACATATATTGTTAGTTGGGACTTGACCTAATGCATAACGCTGTTACTGTTGTTTTTATTGTTGTTCCATGGACAATGGTTAGTATGCTTTGATGCACTGTTTTTATGGTAGCTCTCTATCTATATTTCTTCCTCTATTGGGTCGATCTAGACCAGATACTCTTAAAAAGCTTCAAGAAATGCGGAAACGTAAATTGATCACTCAGGATCACATCAATACCCTTCGAATGCAAGCTTCCTTCAAAACCTATATAGAGTCAATCTGTGATACCGAACCTTCCAAAGCTCTCAGACTCGTAACGGATGATGATTTTTTTACGACTGCGGCCATGGCAGATTTCCTGTGTGGAATTGAGACCTATCGACAAAAATTCAAGTTTGGATTGGATTTAATCCAGGTCCTCCAAGGACAATTCTCGGCATTCTCGACCTTACGTAAATCCAAACGAATGCTTTTACTTCAGAGCCTCGAGACTCGGGACGGCCTTGTTGGTGGGGACAGCACACACAGCGAAGTGACCAGATGGCTAGTGAGCCTTGTGCGTAAGGTCGAGCCTGATGCCTTGGAGAGTTTGTTGGACGCTTTGGAAGGTTTGATGGAAAGTAATCCAGACTACAAACAACGCTGCATGACTGTAGTTGATGGTGAATCTCGGTACAAGATCTCGATGTGGAAGGAACGTTTGGTAGAACTCTTGGCTGGGGATAAAACCTATGTGGCTCGTATGGAAAAAAAGGCCAAAAGATTAGAAGGAATGTCTCTCCCGGACATGGAAGAGAAAAGAAGTACAGAAACATCAAAGAAAGTCCACGCAGAAGCCATTGCTCACATGAAGCGAAAGGGTACCGAAGTGTCCAAGTTGGCTATGGAAATTTCTGATTGGATTCATTACATATTCTAGTAAGTGATTTTATTGATTTTATTGATTTTTTTTTTTTTAGTATTTGTGATGCATTATATCTTTTAGAGTGCGTTACTTATTATTCATGTAAATTATAGTGAGTGTCTTCAGTCCTATACACAAGTTCCTATGCATGAATTGGTATATTATGTACAATCTAAATTACATGAAAAGGTATGTTTATTAGAAAATTCTCTTTAAAAGTTAATATACACCAACACACATATTAATAAAAATTAATACCATTTTTTTTGTCAATTAAAACAAAAACAGTCTTTTTCAGCTCAACCGAGGGCATCTGTACAGACTGCTCTGACCAACTCAAAACATTATCTGGATTGTCAATGCTGTCAAGGTGGCCAGGATCAATTGCTACCTTCTGAACCTGACAGCTGTATTCTTTACAAACTATATCTGGAGTGTGGACGAATGATCAATCTTTACGACTGGTTTGTTGCATTTGGGTGTATAATCGAACGAGAAAAAAGCCCGGCAGATAATCCTTTGAATGAAAATGAAGTACAGTAAGTATAAAGTTGTTGTTTTTCCTTTTGCTATAAAATACAGAAAGGTGTAGCCAGACAGTTGCCTAATTACTATTCTTATTTTTATTTTATTTTGCAACAGAGCACGATTTATTCGGTCTGTTGCTGAGCTTCAGTTCCTTGGGTTCATCAAACCTACTCAACGCAAGACAGATCATGTTATGCGATTGACATGGTCCAACATCTAAACCAAGAAAACAAATAAATTCTTCTTCTTTCTCTTCTATTTTTCCACTTGGATAATCCTTATACAAAGAGTCCAAAAAAACAGAATACAGTAAAGCAGGTCTTTTATCTAAAAAAAATCTTATGAAAAAAAAAGAGGGTTCATTGATCACAGTTAAATAATAGCTTTCACAGAAATTTGAAATTAGTATACATAATATATACATAACATATATATAGGAGTGTATTTATTTCTTTTTCGATTTAACATAAAATATTTATATAGCTGTGTATTTGTCTATTTTCTAGTATTATTATTATTATTATTATTATTATTTTAAATATCTTTCTATCTTGAGCCCAATTAGTAAAAACAACTACGTGTGCAATGAGTAGGCACAAGCATGTCATCCTGATGTTCCTTAGCAAAGTCCCAGATATAAAAGTCTATGAGGATTGCATTGATGGTGGGTCCACTGGTTTGGAGGTTGTGTTCAGCAATGTATCTACGGACTAACTCAACCGACCAGATAGAGTTTCCGCGAATTTCAACTTCCTCGGGACATCCAGTGGGTAGATTTTCACGACGTTTGAGTCTGGATATCAGTTCTGGGGAATAGCGAAGAACACCAAGATAATAAAGAGCCTAGGGCACAATAATAATGTTAATATTGATGGTAGAAAGAGACATATACATTGTTTCTCAAATAAAATGGCAATTATTTTATTTTACCTGGGGTACTCTAAAGCCACAGTACACAAATGTTAATAGAATTGAAAAAAAGACATGCACATATATATATATATAATAATAATATAGTAAAGTTCACTTGCCTATAGTCTGCAAACATTGTGATTGAATCAATGTCATCAAACCGACCAAACGTCTGACCATCAAAGCAAGCCCTTATTTTGGAGGATTAACATTTGGATACATTTGGCGCAAAGTAACGGTTTTATTGTCTTACCAAATATCAGCAATCAGAATCTGTGCTCGTTTCAAAATTGAAACTAACCCCCTCAAATCACAAGAAATTAGCAAGAAATCCATAACAATTTTGTGCTTTAGCTTTGTATTGGGATTGTAATTGGTTTTTTTTGTTACCTGGTCTTCCACAAAATGTGTGTATATCACGAAATGATCCAAAGTTCTGAACGATTGTAGATAGTAGTGTCTGTGCTGATCCACCTGCACGGGCAATACAATTTACAAAGGAACCTTCAAAACGATCACACAGGACATTTCCTGCTTCACGCATGACTCTTATGCGTTCTTGGACCATTGGCACTTTTTCTTTAGTATCAGATTCAAATATTGTTGCCAATTGTTCGTCAGTTGCATCTTGACCATAAAATTTCGGATCTGTGATGGGAATTCCGTTGTCTAGAGCTATATTTTTTTTCTTTAGTTAATTGAATTGTCATTTTATATTTATTTAGTACCTCTATTGACAGCGGCACAAAGGGACCAATAACCAGTATAAGACTTTCCCTTGTACACAACTGAATAACGGTCTGGATGGGGTGCGGATGCGTCCTGACTGTCAGCATCACTCCAGAATGAAAAATTAAGTAGATCGACCAAGAAAATCCTATACAACATAAATAAATAAATAAATAAATAAATAAAAAATAGTCCAATTTGATCTAGTTAGATTTCAGTATACAAACAAAAGAAGAAAGTCCAGTCAAGTTTACCAGTCAACGGTCGAACGATCGGCTGTCTTTGGATGAAGAGCATGTTCATTCCATGTCTTTGTACTGTAGCTACGAACTTTCATACTTTTCACAATCTGATTTTTGGTGTACAGGTTAATATTTTTAAAAGTAATTGCTCATATTATTATTAATGATCAAACTTTTGTTTTTTTTTCTTTATATATAAAAATTAAAGGGGGGAGGGATTTCTTTGTAACTTACTGCTTTGGCAGCATATTCAATGTTCTCCATTGGGATCTGGACATGTTTACTGTTCTAAAGGACTTTGATGAGCTGAATATTTTGGCATGCAATTAAATATGCAACCTCTGCAATAAACTTTGCACTTTCGAGTACACTTGGTATAGATTCTTGGATCAATGGACCTGTCATTTCTTTTCTTTCTTTTTTTAAAGAAACGAAATTAATAATGGTTCAAATAGGATCAATTGATTCCCAAAAATGGACGAGAACAAGAAAAATATGACTGTCTTTTTTATGTGGTTGACCTAATAAACTCAAAATATAATTTGAAAAATACCTTCCAAACGATGGCTAATTATTCGGATACGACACTTTCTCTCTCGGGCACGATGGTTTATCTCGGACACGACGATTTCTCTTGAACACTACGTTTTGTTTTTAAAAAAAAGAAATAGATAACTTTTCCATATACAGGATTCATAAAAAGTGTCTTATTTTCCAATACCCTGCGATTCAATTTGGTCCCATCTAACCGTATATAGCGGTTTCTATAAGTAAATTTTCATGAATCAGGTATATGGTATATGGTATAATCATCTATGTGAAGAAAAGGTAGTGTTCAAGAGAAAACGTCGTGCCCGAGAGAGAAAGTGTCGTGTCCATATAATTAGATTTTACAAAACCTGCCATCGCAGTAAGATCAATTTTCGGGCCACGCATTTTATTAATGAAATTTGAAAACACATCAATAAAAGACAAATATCCATGGAGCTATCGATAGATTTAAAGGTGTCAATACCCATATTTCCACTACGAGATGATAAGGCAAACACCGACCATCATCGACCAACTTCCCGCACAGCTCTAATTAATTGAAAAAAATAACGTTAATTCCTAACTTTTTTTAGGTGTATGTCCTGAGGGAACTTTGGGTTCAAATATGATTGTGTGGTTCAAATATCTAGAATTTTATTAGTAAATGGGGGAGGGGGTTTAGAGTAAAAAAAGATGGGATGTTTTGCCCAATATTTAAGAAATCAATGTCAAACAGCCTTTAGATGGTGGATCCTTATATACCTCACCAGGTTATATAGTCAAAAAAATATTTGCTTAACTATTTTAGATTCATAGCTGCTTTTCAGTATTTAATTTTCCATTTGGATTAAGATGATCTTTTTGGTAAACAAATTTTGATCCAAATAATATATTTAACTATCTATAACAATGTACTGAAAGATTCCTTTTATTAGCCCCGAGTATCTGGCAAATAAGTTATTGATGAGTTCTTGTAGGGGAGGTTTTTTGAAGGTTATGGGCTTATCATTGAAGAGTATTGTACACCCCAGATTCTCTGTCTAGACTAAGATTTACCGCTGTTGAAAAGCAATACTTGGAAAGATGAGATCTCACTATTGGAACAATTTATTAAGAATATAATTTTTTTTCTTAGAAACATATATATCTCTCCACAAATAATTGGCCTATTTTTTCTTTTATGCCTTTTTTTTTAACCCTCAGAATATAGCAATAAATCAATAATTAAGGTACATGAGCCACAATTAACTTTTGTGGAATTGACCTTGTAAAATTACAAGATCATAGCAGGTCAAGGTGGTTTTTAATTATTATTAACTTTATTTCATTCTTTATTTTTACAGAATTAACAGAGTAAAGAGGCTTCAAATTAGTCTGGATATTTTCACTTTCGTTCCGCTAGTTAAACCCATTAAGTTTTCATTTTTTTAAAAAGATCTTTGACATAAAATCCGGTTTATTCTATTACTTTTTTGCCTTGGTTACAATAATAACTATAATATTATAATTAATAGTAGTAATAGAGAAATGATAGTAGTAAATAGATTGAAGAGAATCCCAAGAATCCTATATCCAAGTAAAATTTACTACACACCCAAAATAAAATGTATAAAAATTAAAATATAAAAATGCGTGAAGAAATATGGAGAGGACAAATAAAATAAATCGAAATAAACTTGAACGGAAATTTACAGAGACAATTCAATTTGGATTTGTATATGTAGATGTAGATATGTGTATATGTGGGGACGTTTGCTATTCTTCAAAGTGCCTATACTTTCGTTCAAAGAGAATAAGAAGGACAACAAAGCCATTGACCATTGAATAATTAGGTAAAAAAGACAGCTATATTATCATTACTATATAAATAATATACGCATTATATAATGTATACTCCTTTGCGAACTAGTCAATTATTTATTTCTCAGACTACATATATAAATATATATTTTGCATAATTCAAAAGCTGATTATGCATCTCTGCCAAGGTGGCTTGTATACAATATTAATTGAGTTGGTGGGCTATTGTTCTCATTATGGTCAAGTGCTTGTTGTGATGGCAATAACCGTAGTAAAGAGCTCATAGATAACATAAACGAATGCACTTAATTCGATTTATCTATTCAGATCATAGACAGTTAAATACAACATTATTTTACTATTGAAGTACAATAATACCCAAAGTAACCCATGTTTTTTTTTCTAGGATTTTACTGTAGCAATTTTTTAGTAAATAAATGCTCCTAGCCTATGTCTTATAGGCAATGATTCATATTAAATGGCCCTAAACATTGCTTGTAAATTTCCAGAGCGCCAGTTTTTTTATTGATTAATTCAATACTACTGATACTACCACTACCATTACTATTAAATATTTACTTCAAACAAGATCAGCATATTCCTTCTTTCTTTTCTACTACTTTTATACTATTTACATACATAAATATATACATATATACATAGACACTAATAATTATAATTAATCTGATACAAACCCATACGCATACGCATATACGTATATACACAACCCAACTACCAAGCACTCGAACACCGTTACTCGAATAGAGAAAGGGAGAACAAAAGACAGCAACAACAAAACAGCTTTTTCTTTTCTGTTAAAATCCCACACACTATTTATTAATATCTCGTTATCATGACGGAGGTTAATCAAACTTCGCATGTCAACGGCGATATCAAGTCGTTGACAGTAGAAGAGCTGTACGACAAAGAAAAATATGATTTATCTACTATGGAACCCGGGGACATCTTTCAACTTTTGCAGTACGTATTTCCTATATGATGATAATAATAATAACAATAAAATATTTCGGATTATTCTCCAAACATACATACCACTATGTCTTTTTATTATTCTTATTCTTATATGTCCTTTTTTTTCTATTTCTTATTTTAATAAAAAAAATGTATATTCTGTAATTTAGGACGAATTCTTCAGGACTGACCTCAACTGAAGCAGCAGCTCGTGTTGAAAAGTTTGGGCACAACAAACTTGAACAAAAAGAGGTCAATCCAGTCCTTCAGTTCTTAGGTTTCATGTGGAATCCATTGTCATGGGTCATGGAGGCTGCTGCTATTGTAGCCATCGCCTTGTCCAATGGTAACCATCGTCCACCAGATTACCCAGATTTTATTGGTATTATCCTTCTTTTGCTTGCAAACTCCATCATCGGTTTTTTGGAAGAGCGTCAGGCCGGTAATGCTGTAAAGGCTCTTATGGAGTCTTTGGCTCCAGAATGTAAAGTCAAGCGTGATGGCGAATGGAAAACTCTGGAAGCAGCCGAACTGGTTCCTGGTGATGTTATTAGTATCAAACTTGGTGATGTTGTTCCGGCAGACTCTCGTCTTATTACCGTAAGTTTATTATTACTTTTAATCTTATCCTTTTAAAAAAAACATACACACACAGATATATATATATATTGTACAAAATCATAATGTCATAGTGATACAATTAGTCTCCAATTTAATTATATAAATTAATAATGTCAATAACGATAACAACAATAATAATTCGGAAATTCGCATTCATTCATTCATTCTCATTTCTTAATTTATGTATTTGCGTATTTATATTTCATAGGCTCATGGAGAAGTCTCTATTGATCAAGCTGCTCTGACAGGTGAATCACTTCCGGTCTCAAAAAATGCTGGAGATGAGGTCTTTTCGGGCTCTACTGTTAAACAAGGTGAAGCCGAGGCCGTGGTCATTGGTACGGGCACAAATACTTTCTTTGGTCGGGCTGCCAAACTTGTGGGTGAAGCAGGCGATGATGTTGGCCACTTGCAGACCATTCTGGCCCACATTGGTAACTTTTGCCTGTGCACAATCGGCATCTTCTTGGTCGTTGTAATTATCGTACAGTACGCTGCATTCCGCTACGAGTATCGTCGAGGTATCGACAACATTCTGGTCTTGCTCATCGGTGGTATTCCTATTGCCATGCCGACCGTCCTGTCCGTCACATTGGCCATTGGTGCCAAGCAACTTGCAGAGCACAAGGCCATCGTCACTCGTATCACGGCCATTGAGGAAATGGCAGCAGTTACAATCCTCTGCTCCGACAAGACCGGAACCCTGACGCTCAACAAGCTTATTGTTGACCAGCCGACCATCAAGACCTATGGTCCTTACACTGGCGAAGACATCATTCGTTACTCTGCTTATGCTTCTCGCACAGAGAACCAGGATGCCATTGATTTCTGTATTGTTCACTCTTTGCCAGATCCCAGCAAGGCCCGGGATGGAATCGAAGAACTCGAATTTAAGCCTTTCAACCCTGTTATCAAGCGTACCCAGATTACTTACAAGGACCTCAAGGACGGCAAGACTTACCGTGTGACCAAGGGTATGTCGCACACTATCCTTGAACTCTGTACTCGCGAAAAAGATGACAATATTGTCCAGAGCCTGAACAATGACGTGGATGAATTTGCTCGTCGTGGTCTGCGTGCACTGGCTGTTGCCATTGACGAGGTTCCAAGTGGTGAAATCGAAGGCGAAGGTATCGGATTCCGCCTCATCGGTCTGCTTCCCATTTACGATCCCCCTCGTTCTGACACCAAGGAGACAATTGAGCGTGCTATTGCACTAGGTGTTCAAGTCAAGATGATTACGGGTGACCAGCTTGCGATTGCCAAAGAGACCGGCCGTCGTCTTGGCATGGGAGACAACATGTTCTTGTCCAAGACTCTCAAGGAAGGACCTCCACCAGGATCGGGTTACACTGACGTAGATCACATGGTACTTCAGGCTGATGGTTTTGCAGGTGTCTACCCTGAGCACAAGTATGAGATTGTCGAGCGTCTTCAGAACCTAGGCCATATGACAGCCATGACTGGTGATGGTGTCAATGATGCGCCTGCTCTGTCCAAGGCCAATGTGGGAGTAGCTGTGGCCGATGCATCTGATGCGGCTCGTTCTGCAGCTGATATTGTGTTGACTGAGCCAGGACTGTCTGTTATTATTGAGGCAATTATCGGATCACGCCAGATTTTCCAGCGTATGCGCAACTACTCGATCTACACCTGTTCTGTGACGATTCGTATTGTTATCGGCTTTTCGATCCTGATCTGGGCATTCCAATTTGACTTTCCTCCTTTTATGGTCCTGATTCTGGCTATTCTCAACGATGGTACGATCATGACGATTTCTACTGATCGCGTGAAGCCTTCGCCGTACCCTGATTCATGGAACTTGCGAGAGATTTTCTCATATGCAGTTGTATATGGGCTCTACTTGACCGCGTCGACTGTTGCATTCTTTTCTGTGATGTACAAGACGACCTTCTTTGAGAGACACTTTGGAGTACGTAGTAGTACCGACCCTAATTATGGAGTGTACCATTCGGCGGTCTACCTACAGGTATCGACGATCTCACAGGGTTTAATTTTCATTACTCGTTCGCGCGGGTTCTTCTTTATGGAACGGCCATCGATCATGCTGATGTGTGCGTTTGTGGTTGCGCAGCTGGTGGCAACATTTATTGCGGTATATGCGGATTGGGGATTTACGTCTATTGAGGGCTGTGGATGGGGCTGGGCTGGTATTGCATGGATCTGGAACTTTGTGTGGTTTGTGCCTCTTGATCTTGTCAAGTTTACTATGCGTTACTTTTATGAGCGCAACAGGGTTCACGATGTGGTTCCTACTTCACGCCGCCCATCGGCAGTGTCGGGAACATCATCGGCTCGGTACTACGCCAACCGCACCCGTTCGCTACAGTCTATGGAAGGTTCGCACAACAATTTCGGTAAGAGACTGTTGCACAAGGGCAAGCGAATGGGAATGGATCCCAAAGAGATGCGCCGATTCTCGTCTGTCCAGACTAGCCATGCTGCTCATGTTCTGAGTGCTGGGTCTGCTGGTGGTGCTGCTACTGGAGTTGGTGGCACTGGAACTGGTGTTGCCGGAGGTCCATCGGTAGTACCCGGAGCTGCTCCAGCTTAACTTAATACTCTTGTTTCTTATTATTGTTTTTTTAATATATAAAATAATAAGCAAGTAGATATAATATAGTAATGTAATGTAATATACAATAAAACTTTTATATGTATATATATTTTATATATATAAAAAATACATAAGGATACACATGTGTGGATATAAACATGTCTGTGTGTGTGATTATATTATTGGCACTAGGGAATGCCCGGGTCGGGATGAATTTGGATTTGGATTTTGATTTGTATTTTACTTGAAGATACATTTTCCAAAATAATATCACTACAACAACAACCAAATACTAGTATTAATATTTTAAAGAGAAACGATGGTTGGATTTCAATAGCAATTCTATACAAGTTACAACACTCTATAATTGGACATATATCTTCTATATATACATATATGAAGGTTAAGGGATATTAAAGGAGCAATGACAAGAATAAGGACAAAGAGGAGATATATTTGTATATATGTATAAAGGGATCGGTGGGTAATATGAAGGTGCAGGTAAGGCGTTGATGAATTTACCCTTTCTGAGAAATTTTACTAATAATTGTGCTCAAGGGCTATACTGATCACGTACGCGTGTATGTGTGTGAGTACGCTTATATAAAAGAAGAAGATGAAGTAAGACAAAGAAGCCATATTTTGTTTGGTAAAATTGAATAAGATGGGCCCGATATTTTATATTATAATATATCTTGCATTATAAATTACTAATGATTTGTGTACTATTTGTAAGCAAACAAACAAACAGACAATATTTTGATGATCCTTTTTTTTGGTTTTTGGTTTTTGGTTTCTAATCTAATTAAAAGATTACTTGTTAAAGAAGTGCAGAAAAACAATTCTCGATTTGTTGTCCAAATCTAGATGTGTGTGTGTCACCATTAATTGTTTCTATATATAGATATATATGATAAAGAAAAAAAAACCCTGTGGTTGTTACGCAGACTCGGTCTGACCAATGACCTGGATTGATGATTGTCCAAAAGGGCGATTTATATATTTGTAGGCCGCCATTTGTCATTCATGCTAAAGCACTAGAATCGTAGTAAAAAAAATACTAAATATTCCTACTAATAATTGTACAAATCTTGATGAATCACCATAGTTACCACAATTACCATAGCTACCACTAACATGTCTCTATTTATTCTTACTTTTGTTTCCCTCGACGTTATTTCCTATTCTCTCATTATTCCTCTTCCTACTTTATATATATATATATATGGGGGTACTCAGCCAGATTGATCGATAAAATTCTTGTGGGAGTTTTAGTCAATGATATCAAATTTTAGTTGAAGACACCAAAAGACAAAAGTACAAAATTCATAGAATAGAATAGACTTTTGCACATTCTTATTTCTTCTTTGAGCCAATATGCACCTAGACTCTCGAAGAAGCAAAGTGTTATTTCCTTTGACTTAAGATCTGGCAATATATTGTCAACCTTGTGCATGTATTTATTGGCTTTAAGGGTTTGCTCAAGCTCCTTCACGGCAACTATCTGCCCCAACTTTACATCAACTTCCTTTTCGATTACTTCTAAAATATCCTTAATAAATTCGCCAGTAATCTTACGGGGACGACGTTCCTTGATGGGGAACGACGTTTTTATATAACCGGACTAGTTAATTATGACTACCTGTCTGGGCTGGTACCTTTCTCTAATCCTTCAGGGCAAAACGATGTGTCCTGGAAAAACGTAATATATTTATTGTACACATTAGCTTACTACTTTGTCACCACATTTTGTGTTAATCTCTCTCTCTCTCTCTCTCTCTCTCTCCAGACACCTAACTCTCATTCTTTTAAGGGTTAAAGTCTGTATTTGGGTAACTTAATAATGAAATACTGTCTCATACGAAAAACAAAACCTGTATATTCAATTAACAGCAGTTTGTGTCTTAAATTTAGAATTAACAATAAAGAAATAATAATTAGTCGCATATATACTATATCAATAGCCAGTTATGCAGAACAGTATGAGTTGTTGTCATTAGAGTGTGACGCAATCTTGTTAAATATTTTACTATGTATTGGCCTTCTCACGCGTATCATGTCTTTGCCTTTCTTTTACCTACTTATATTCTCAGAGTATAACACCACCAACTGGTAAGTAATTCCTTCTCATCCCTTTTTTTTCTGAAAAGCACAAAAGAGAGTCTTTATACGAATACTATGTGTGCTTAGGGAACAAATAGAATTATTTCATGCCGGAAAAAAGGTCACGATTTGTGGTCCGGTAGAATCAAAGTGCTGTCTCCCACTAGGAAAGTCTGTCCCCTTAAAAAAAGCGATAATCTATTAAGAAGAAAGATAGAAACAATAAGAATTCAGCCAGTCAGAGAGCCGTACGTTTTTCGATCAAATTTTGATCGTCGCTATTACAATTTTAGACCAATAATACTACTTTCTTAATTTAAAATTTGATTGATCAATCTGGCTGAGTACCCCCAGTATATATGCAATTTAAAAAGGTATACGGTGTTAAAGATAAGGTTAATCTTTCTACAAGCAGCGTGATTTCAATGGGTTTAAAGTCCAGAGCTTTAACAGCTCTCACTTTTAAAGATGTCAATAGAGCAAGATCGAAACTTAGTAGAGGGGGGGGGGGGGGGGGGCAACAACCTTTATGTTATTTGTGTTGAAAGTAAACAGAGAGGGATGTTGATGTTTTGCCAACTGCAGATGAAGTAGAATAAAAAGCAAAAATGTATCCTCGCATTGTCTCGTCATCAAAATTACAGACCAATAAAAAGCGATTTACTTATGTGTTAGGATTTTAGCGGGTATTAGAATGTGCAAAGAAAATCAGTTGTGAAGGGAGGCTCGCTTTTTACAAGTGTACAAAATAGCTGTTTTGGACCGAAAACTAAAATGGATGCACATGGGTAAATTTTACCTCCAATTCCAAATGGAAATGCTTAAATAAATATATATGGACAATATTCAATTGAATATTACATTTTTAAAAGGGTATCAAAACAATTCATTTAAAGAAAAAACATAGATAGAGCTAACATTTTCCCCTCATTTTTACGAGACTCTCAATAGTGTGAAGGAATAAAGCACAATGGTTTCAAAATAAAGATGTAAAAGAAGTATCATTTAGGTCAATTTGATTTAACTTGATATTTCTTTCACTTCAAAAGGACAAAATCTGTAGACCCAAAGGGACATGAATTTTTGTGAAAAGTGACGATTTACCGTTCTCACTGTACTTTCATCGATACACATTTTTTTTTTACCTTTCCGACTGGATACAATATTTTTTAACAACCAGCAATTAAAAATAAAAATTTATTGGAATGTTCTAGGAGCAAGTTCAAGCTGTAAAAGAGTTGTGGTTGGGCCGTACGCAGTTTAAAGTTAAAGAACACGGAAAATGCACAGCCTGCAAAATTTACACCCACACACACCTAAAACCATCATCCGAACAAGCCAAAAGCATTATTGGTTCAAAGTGAATTATAAATGTCTTATATTGAATTATATGCTATTTTATATATTTATATAAGAAATCATTTACTCACTTACTGTGTGCAAAAAAATGTGCGTTAATATGAGTTTGAAAGATGCACCTTTTTTTTTGGTTTTTGGTTTTTGGTTTTTGAGTAATTTTTTGTTCAGAAGAGCATTATAATGATATGAATCTCGGTTAACTTTCTATCTAATGCATATCCTCATTGTGTATATAGAATACCGCTGTCTTTTTTTTTTCTTTAGTAATGAAAAGGAATGGATATAGATTCTTTGAGAGTACAAAAAGAACACTACAAGTGTGTCAATCTGAAATTGGAAAGCATATGTCTTACCGTAAACGTAATTCATTACACTTATTAATATATCACAAAAGAACCAGTAAGATCGAAAAACAATGTCTTGCATTATTAATTATTATATAAATAAATATACACACTTATTTATCTATCTATGTAAGTAAGTAAGTAAGTAGGTAGGTAGGTAGGTAGGTAGGTAGGTTTGGCTATCATTGGGTTTCTCAGGTCAAGTTATTACCATAAAAAGTAATATTTATTTCGTACCAATGATGACGACTATAATGTTTTTGTGTGTGTGTGTGTCTACACAAAAAGGAATATTCCAGAGATGACTTCATTTATCTGTACAATAAATAATATTTATATTTATATTTATATTTATATTTGTTTATTTGCATGTGTTCAAGAGGTGTATACGATGATGTGTTTATTGATGAAGGGAGTAAGATAGTGTGAGATAAAGAGGTAGAGAATAGAATAAAAGAAGGGGTGGGATGTAAAGATAAAATAATAAAAAAAAAGGGGGGGGGGGATGTGGGTGGGGTAAGGGGATAATATGCTTGTATATATTTATTCGTTCGTCCATTTATTTATTTATTTATACTTTACTCGCCACGCAACGCTCGCTGAGTAATTTCATACTGTTTCGTTCATGAGCTGCCTGCTTGCAACTCAGGAGATTGACGCACACATGGGCTTCTGGGAGACGATGACGTGCACAAAATTTAGACTGGCAGTATCGACAATCACCAATGATCTTGACTGGTTTGTCTGAGCAACTACCAAACGCACATCGCTGTTTTCTTGAGACTGCCTTGATCGTAGTTGTTGTAGTCGTCATCTTCTTTTGGTCGGCATCATCATTATTGTTGTTGTTGTTGTTGTTGTTATCACCGCTATTACTACCACCACCACGCAAACGGAGCACCAAGTGAAGAGTGGATTCCTTTTGAATGTTGTAGTCAGAAAGAGTACGGCCATCCTCTAGCTGCTTTCCAGCAAAAATCAGGCGTTGCTGGTCTGGAGGAATTCCTTCCTTGTCTTGGATCTTCTGTTTGACATTATCAATCGAATCTGAAGATTCGACCTCTAGAGTGATGGTCTTTCCGGTCAGAGTCTTGACAAAGATTTGCATACCACCACGCAAACGGAGCACCAAGTGAAGAGTGGATTCCTTTTGAATGTTGTAGTCAGAGAGAGTACGGCCGTCCTCTAGTTGCTTTCCAGCAAAAATCAAACGCTGCTGGTCTGGAGGGATTCCTTCCTTGTCTTGGATCTTCTGCTTGACATTATCAATAGAGTCTGAAGATTCGACCTCTAGAGTAATGGTCTTTCCAGTAAGTGTCTTGACGAAAATCTGCATATTTGTGGGTGTTTGTCTTTAGAGTTGTGTGGAGCTGTGTTGTAGGGCTTGGTGTTTATTACTATTGTTATTAGGAATAATAATAATAATAATAATAATAATAAGAGAGAGAGAGAGATAAATAAAATATATAAAAGAAGAGGAAAGAAAGGTGGATGATCCAAGCCAAGGAGGGGAAGAGGAAGGATGCTGGGACTTACGTCTTTTTATACAAATTCCAAAAATCCGCTATCCAATCACGCGGTCGTGGTGTGATTGGTTAGAAGCATGATTTCCCAATATATGATGATTCCGAGCCAAATTGTCGTTTTTTTTTTAAGACATGTATGTATCTAAATATATACATACATTACATATACAAACACACATTATACACTCACAATAATTCATTGGATTTTTATATTTGGATTTGCGTTCTGAATCATTTTATTTATACTCCGACTTTCTGTTTTATTTATTTACGTAATAAAACAAAGTTGAATTAGAATACGCGTTTTCGACGATTAAATAAACGCCACTTACAATTACTTGCGCTATGAGAAAATATTTACGTTCAGACACACCGTATACATTATGCTTATAAAAGCTGTCAAAATCTCATTAACAATATTGGCTTTTAAGGCTTCATATTTACGTATGTAAATGAGTAATTGTGGATGAGTATAGTCTATATAATACCGGGATTCCATATGAGCATTATAGCTTTCTATGCTCTGAGTCATCCTTAAAAAATAAAAAAGAATTATCAGCCACTCTTATTGATAAAAGAAACTCCACGAATTGATTTTTTTTCTTTCTAACCCTTGGTATCAACATTCTTATTAGTATTACTGTCTTGTTTGTCATTTACTGGCTACAAATTAATCGTTGCTTGGTTTCTGTTTGTTTGCTTATTTATTTTCTTTTATCCTGGTTTATTCTAGAGGATGACCTCTAACTCTGCCCCCCCTCACCCTCACATGCCAATTGAAAGAAAACATTCCCAATCATTCTTTGGTCAACTAACTACCCACGCAAAAAATAAGGGCGTCTCATATAGATCTAGTTAATACCTCAGGTGTATTATGCGTTTGGTCTTTTGGTCGTTTGGAAAGGATAAAGATATGAGTTATAATTTGTAGCCTTTTGAGTATGTTGATAAACCTTTTCCATACCCACACCCACAAAATTTTAGTATATGCATCGGACTTTTTTTTTATGTCTTGATTGTACAGAACCCTTTCCTTGCATTTTTACCGATATGTAATGTCTATTAGAGTAATATTCTTTTGCTGTATTGTACATCTTGTAATACAATGTTCTTACTATTGGACGTACAAAGTCAATTGCACACTGTTTCGCACTAAAGACAATCAGTATATATAAAATAACAAAGATGATATTTACTTTTTTTTTCTTTTTGGCTTTCTTTCTTTCAGGATTTGTCAAGGTTTGCATGACTTTAAGCTGGTTTACTCTCCCCAAAAGAAATCGTTAAGAGCATAAGCTTCAATTGATGAAAGAAAGAAAGAAAAAAAGGTTACGGAAATTTTTGGAAAAAGTACGTTTCCGATTTCCAATAAAGTAATGTCTTATCTAATTATCGTAACAGTCAATCAAAAGAATAAAACACACACCCAAACAAACAAATACCACAAGAGTTTCGTGTGTTTAGGTAAATAGATAAATATTAAATTATCCCCCCTGCCTTTGTATGCGGTTCTTAATACCCGGTAACTTTCTTGTACTCGTCTTTCCAAAACCACAATAAAAGGAAGAACCCTATTTTACTTTGAAATGTTCTTACTGTTGGATAAGATGATAACAATAATATATATACATATATATTTTGAATTCGATGGCTATGTTTTGTTTTAAGATTTATTATATGTGTGTATGTATATCTTGCATGATCTATTTGACGCATCATAGACAAACACATGCATTACATCATAGAGTTACAATGATTGTGCTGTATTTACTGTGGCATATTTTATATATAATATACTTTGATATCTATGCTTTAAACATACTAAATATCAAGAGGGAGAAAAAAAGAGTCAATAATGTATTCTCTCCCTTCCTTAACTAAGAAAGCGATATCGATAGAAAAAGGAGTAATGGGCAGAAGGGGCAGCAAAATAAACTAAAAAGCTCTTTTGGGTTTCGGAACAAAACACAACTTTCAAATGGTCTTTTTCTTTGTTTTATTTTTTTTTCTCTTGCACAATGTTACTTTGTGTACCGGCCAGGTTTTCAAAATGGATTCTATGGGTTCTATTTGATTTTATATGGCTTGGTATAAATTGTTCTAGTAAACATAACTGAATTCTAGATAACAACAACCAATATTCTGTTTTTATCTGTCGTAATATATATATAGACAAAAAGAGCACTGAAATGAAATGAAATAATAATAAAAAAAAGAAAGTCTTTCCATAACCATAGTTTCATTTTCAACACCAATTTCACTGTCAAAAGTCGCACATTATATATATATGTGTGTGTGCCCGTTTTCAAGCTTTCTCTCTCTCTCTCTCTCTCTCTCTCTGAATACACCACTTGGCTCTATCATTATGTCCTTTCCATGCAGGTAGAGACCGAGATTCGTCATACAAAATGAACATTGTTCCCACTGGGTCCAGTATTCCCATTTGACCCGTCCCTTGGATCCCAAAGCTGGTCTATTTTATTTCCCGTATCTTTTTTTGGTATTCCATATGCCTTATTGGGCAGAAGACGATCTAGTTCTTCTCGATTCATTTGGTAATTTATTTATTTACTTATTTAACTTTTGGCACGGTAGACCGATTTATGCCAAGACCACCATTTAGTTCCCATAGTGTCCAAACGAAATCGTGTGTTGCGAAATATACATATATACATATATACATATCGAATGTATTGATATAATATAGTTTCACAGTAGAAAATTACCGTCAGATTTTGATTTTGATTTCTAATCTCGAATAAGCTACATATCAACTTTTTTTTTATGTCACATCTTTCCAAAGACTCAACTGAATAAACTTGAGCTTTATCTTCTTACAGATAAAGCAACTATATTATATATATATATATATTTATAAAGTCTAATATGCAGTACAATTATTACAAGCTTTGATCGTTGCTTTGACTCTATTGTTTGTATTCGCTCCAAGAGTATAAAATAAGCAAGTAAATAAAATGCTTTTTTTTTGCTTTTGAAGAATCGAGCTCTTGAGGTTTTGATCATTGTCTATAGAAACCTTTCTCTCTTTAAAATCGCCTTTTCTTTTATATATAAGCTAAAATGTACTCAATTTGAAGTAGAGGTGATAGGGGGGGTTATTAGATAAGAACTTTAAGATGACCAGTAATCAAAAATATATTAATATATATATATATGTATTTATTGGTTAGTTTTAATTTAAATCATTGGGCGATTGGCTTTGTAGTTCCTGTGAAAGCATTTTTGGGTAGTCAAAATGTTGGATTTCCTAGTGATTTTTTTTGACGAACAGTTGATATGTGGATCATTTTATGGACCTGTCCATAAATGACATTAGACCCAAAGCAAAAGTAGCACGACTCAAAACTTCTTCTTTTTTATTTTATTGGTGTGGGTAATTGAGTCGCAAAGAGAGAAAGGAAAGCCTTTCCTTGTCCTCCTATATCTCATACCCTTTTCCAGACCACTTAATATCAAGCGATTATGTTATCAATTAGTCCTGTCTACTAGTAATACTCAAAAGCAAAAAAAAAAAGAAGTTTCTATGATTGTATATAAGCAGCATAGATAACATAAAAGATATAAACCATTAATTCTTTGTTATTGTTGTGAAATTCCAAAAATAGAAATATGGTTTTATGCACAGACCAATTGTGAGTTGTGAGTTGTTGTGATATATATATATATATATATATATATTTAGGGAACAAATACACACATGCGAATATATAGGTTTACATGTATATGTGTGTTTAATTCTTGTTGCTGTGCACAGTAGTTGGTGCATAAATTTGGGCAGATTAGAAAGAATAAAAAAAGAATAAATCTTTTTTTTTTTAAAGTTTTTTTTTTATATATAAAAAAAATTGATCAGAATTTTTAGTTAAATGAAAGAAGATCAAAGTATAATTTGAATTTTCACTTTTAATTATATATTTTATATTTATATGTACATGATTCAATACGCACAAAATGAAAAACAAAACACTTGATATATAAGGTGTGTGTGGGGTAAATCAAGAATAAATAGAAATTGACAGATTGATTCTCTTGTGATTTTTATTGCTGGTCTGTTGGTGGTGAGTATCGTTATTTGGTTTGGGTTTGGCAGCTGAAAATCATGGTAGGTATATAGTGCAACGTTTTACTTTTATTTATTATTTCTCTCTCTTTTTATATAAAAATCACAAGAATATATATATATAAAAAAATTATGAAAATATAGATTTTGGGGGAGGGTGAAAAGTAGATGGACATGTGAAAAATAAAATCCACATAAAATCAACAACTTTGACTGTGTGTAGGGAAAAGGATGGGGGAGGAAGAGGAAGGGGGGAGTACAAGAAAGAAAGAAAGAAAGAAAGACATAAATAAAAGTATGTGCGGTTATAGTAGGTGATTCAATTCTTTACACTGAATTTTATATAATTGTTCTGGCTTGGTTGGCCTTACTTAATTGGCCTGGTTAGCCTGGTTCGTGAGTTGACTTGTACGACAGGCAGTATAGTCGGGTGTCACGTCACTTAATGTCCTTTTCTGTTGATAATCTCATTCCACCGTGTACCTTTTTTTTTTTCGAGCGTTTATTCAATTCAATAATTATACAGTCACAATCAAAAACGTTTCGACCTCTGAGCCCAAAAAATGCATGAGAGAAATCATGGCATGTATTCAACATGCAACTGCTCCTCAGTAATAAAAGCTAAAGCATTCAAACTTCAAATAAAAGATTATATATATGTTTATTATTGAAATATAGAAAAAATAAAAGATCAATATTTTGTATGACCTCCTTTGGCCTCAATTACAGCCTGGCATCGATGCTGCATGCTTCCGGCCAAAGTTGACGAAAGTTCGAGACCTATCCTTCGCCACTCTCGTTGCATTACAACCTTCAGATCTTCAACATTGTTAATACTGGTCCTCCTCTCGTCACTCATGCGCCTCTCGAGAGCCCACCAGATATGCTCGATGGGGTTGAGATCCGGGCTTTGAGCGGGTCAGTAGTCAAAACCTCGGATCTCATGGCTATCTTTCCACCACCTCGAGTACGACCCAGTATGACAGCTGGCGTTGTCCTCTTGGAACACGAAGCTCCTGGTTTGTTCCCGCGAAAGATTTTGGAACCAAGGGAGGAAGTTCTGAGCCAAAGTGTTCACGTATTGGTCTTGGTTTACGTTACCATCTAGGAACACCAAAGGGCCAAAACCACCGGCCCAGAAACAGCTCCAGATCATCACACTACCCTTCCCCCACTTGGTTCCTTCGATGATATTTTCTTCCTTGAACCTTTCACCGACTTTCCTGATAGCTCTAGCTCCTCCATCATTACGCTCAACTGTGAACCGTGATTCATCTGACCACACTACACCTCTCCACTGGTCATCTGTCCAATTCACATGCTCACGGGCCCATTCCAGCCTTCTTTTCTTGTGGCTTTCGGTTAAAGCTGGCTTGTGAGCTGCGATATATGATCCGAAGCCCAAACGCTTCAGACAACTGATTATTGTCTTTCTGCAGACAAATACCTCCATGTTCTTTAAGGAAGCCCTTAGCCTAGAAAATGAGGCAAAGGGGTCCTTACGAACTATTTGAACAAGGTGTCTTTCTGTCCTCTCGTCAATCTTTCTAGGTCGTCCGGACCCTTTTCTTGGCTCGAGCGATCCTGTCTCGTCCACTCTCTTAATGATGTACTTGACAGTTGACAGACTCATGCCAACCACCAATGAAATCTGGGTCGCCCCGTAATTTGCTAAATGCATGTACATGATGCATCCGTATTTATAGGGATCGGCCTTTTCATATGATCCGTGGGTGTTTTCTGATGAATTTGCGTCTTGCATGTTGGATTTGATTAATAATATTGGGAGAAAACAATGTTTTTATTTTTATTTTTTCGATTTTTTTTAGGCATTTTTTGCGGGGGTCGAAACGTTTTTGATTGTGAGTGTATAGCATTTCATATTATAAAAATAATAGTAACAAAAGAAGAAGCAAAGGGCTATAAAATTACTGTGGTTCCAAGAACCGAAATTACAGCCAGCCAAAATTAATGTTGCAGACTAATGAAGAACGACATCGTCAACCAATCATAATCAACTTTTTCTTAGAAATCATAGATCGCTTAACTCTTCAAAAATGATACCATGTCTCAATCATTTCCTGGCACTTTTTTTTTCTATTAGAAAAATGATATAAAAGCAGATCCATCTTTTCTTCTTGGTCCAATTTTATTTTATTGCTTTTTTGTTACATCTTTAATATTAGTACAATATTTTATTTTATTTTATTTTATTTGGAAGATAGACGTAAAAATGTCATTGATGAAAGTTGGGAGGAGGGGTCCTAAAGCCACGGAATATATTGTTTGAAACGATTGCAACCCATACTGAATACTTGAGAAAGTACGGCCTCTAGTAAAAACCTTCTTGGGCTTACCCAATGTTGACATAACAGCCGAGAATTAAAGACGCTCGAATAAAAGAAGCCAGCGTAAAACGTGATTATGCGCGCCATACTGCCCAGGATAAGGCTTAGGCTTTTCGACCTAAAGATTGAAAAAAGTGTTTGGGTACCTCAGCTGCAGCAAAGCAGTTGAGTATATTTACATTCAAACTGCTCAGAGATGGGTTAAGCAATACAACATATGTCTTGATATTATTCATTATTCTGCGTTTTTTTAAGCAAGTTGGTCGTAAATGCATCTTGAGTGAAGAACATAAACTGGCTGCTAATCAATTTTATTGATATTAATCCTTCGATCACTATTCCTGTTTCTGTTTTCCAAGAGACCGAGTATTTATTGAAGGAATTCAAGGATCTTAAAGTTTCACGTACCACGGCTCATAATTTCATGAGAAGCGAATATAATCTCTCATTTTGAAGAAAGCTTACCTTTCATTCTGTCGAAAGAAACAGTACCTGAAAATATTGAGGAGCAGTACGATTGGATTTGTAACAAAAAGGAAATACAAGCGTGAGTCTCCTGACGAACTTTGTATGTATGTATCTGTGTTTTTGGTCTTCTTGACGAATCTGCATTTGATATCAATACTTGGTAGCGAGTTGGGATTCTTGCTATCATTTACATTTCAGATAAAGCAAGTGTTGCTTCTTTTTTTTTATGATACCCTTCTAACCTCTCCTTTATCTTTACCAATGTTGACATTTTATTTGAAATCGTTCTGGCGATGGGTCCATGCCATACAACACGCAGTTTCTCTTTGATGGAAGATCCTTTCGCGAAAAAAGTTCGCATATCTGAGTTACATTCGTCGTCTACATACTTTATATCTCCGCATATGTATTTTCTTTAAAATTGCTTTACAAAGCACTCTCTAAATGCTCGGTATTTAAAATGCCTCGAAAAGTCTTAAAGATATGCAATACCTTATCTGGAAGTCATAGCCATCCGATCTGAAACTTCTCATATATAATTTCAACAGAATTCTATCTGTAACTTCCAAACAAGGATTCTGAACCCTCCCAAGAGGTACAAGGAACCAATTGTAACACTAAAGGTTTTATACCAAGTATCTATTGGCCTGTAGAAAGGTGTCGCAAGGCGCGAAACTTAACGACGAAAGTTGAAATGTCGGATATTTAAATACTGCCATTTGTTCACAGTGATATGTACGACGTTTTGGTTCTTGGAACAGATCATATTATAAATATATAAAGAAGAATAAAAAAGACAATGAAACTATTCACAAATTGATTGGACAGCAATAGTTTTCAAAGGCAAAGAAAGAAAGAAAGAAATAAAAAAAAATATGTAGATACAAATACATCAGATTCACTAGTGAATTTATTAATATTTTGTATAAGTTGGCATGCATGCATACATACATACATCACATCAAACAATAAGACACATACATAATGTTGGAGACCATTATATAAAGTACCATAAATCGAAAACAAAACAAAAGTTTGAATTGGAATTACAGTTACAATTTTCAAATTGGAAACTATAATTTTGGCTGGCTGTCTGGTGGTGATTAGAGAAAGAGTGCGTGTTGATTGGACCGATAAGGAACCGTAAATAGTTATGAATGAATATTTTTTTTATTATTATTATTAATTCTTTTTGGTGTACACCAGTAAATCTTGCGCCATCCAATAGGTTGTCTGTGAGTGAAACCATGAAGGGATTCAATAAGGAAAGCTCAATTCAGTGACTCACCACTTCTAACATCTATTTTTTTTTTATATTATTACACTTCAATTCCTTCCCTCACCCCCCACACACACATATATAAACATATACCACCACTACTACGATTACTACTAATAATAATACTAGTATCACTAAGATCCCTAGTATCACTACTATCGCTGACATTTATATATATATATATATGTGTGTGTGTGTGTTCTTTAAATATGTACATGTACATACATATACATGTATAGTAATAAAAGTAAGGCAAAGTAAAAAAAAAGTAAGCTTATAATAAGGTTAATCTTAATATTCTTTTAAATAAAAACTCTATTATACTATTGTCATGGCAACTAATTCATCATATATATATAAAAAGACATATAAAATACTAATAGAAGAAGAACACATCAATATTTATATAGAAATTTATATATATATATATATATATGAAGCGTGAATTTAAAATTAGTGTGCCAAAAATCTGAATAGCCAACCTTATTTTTATATATTATTATATATAAAAAAAATTAAAAAAAAAAAAGAAAAGTTGTCAACCCCAATAAACAAGACCTTTTTACACACCTCTCTTTCTCTTTCTCTTTCTCTTTCTCTTTCTCTTTCTCTTTTGTTTTTCTTTATAACCCACTTCCTGCTCTTTTGCTTGGTTGCTTGGTTGCATTTTATTTTATTTTACTTTTTATTTTATATTGTTATTTTCTATTGATTTATTTTATATTTTATATTTTATATTTTTGGCCAATGAACGATACTGAGGATTATCTTTTGATGCCTTCGACGGATCTCTACTTTGAAAAGGATCCTCTGCTGGCAAACTTGTTCCATGATCCATTGCCCTCGCCAACATCAGAGTCCAATTTCCCCTCACCCCAGAGTGCCACTGATGATTCCTCAATCCAAAGTCCCCTAGAGCAGTCCCCAGATGGCTTCTTTCTCCAGAATCTACCCGTAGCTGTCCTTGAATCTCTCTCTCTCCTCTACCAACAACAGCACCAGCACCAGCAGCAACAACAACAACAACAACAACAGCAGCAGCAAGAAACTCAGGCACATGAAACCAACACTCATCATCTTAATCAAATCTCATTGGATTCTGCTATCGAAGACTTTGAACAATTTGTCAGATTTGAAGAAGATGGCAGCAATGCTCAGCAACAACATAATATGAATTTGAATTTGAATTTGAATTTGAATCATATTATCCAGGAAACCGAAACACTTCTCTCACAACATCAACAAGAAAAGGAGGCCAAGGAGGCCAAGGAAGCCCAGGAAGAAAAGGAATATCTTGCCTCATTTTCTGCCTTGACTTTGCCCGCTCAGCAGGTACCTCTTGCCAAAAAGAACAAGTCTAGCCGCCCACCACGCCAGCTCGAGTGTTTCAATTGTCATGTCACCAAGACCCCCCTGTGGCGCCGTACTCCTGATCGAGCACATTCGTTGTGCAATGCGTGTGGATTATACTACAAGCAATACAGTACCCACCGTCCTCTCCACATCCGCCAAAAGCAGCCTACACCAGCATCACCCTCAAAGTCGTCTCTGCCGACACCCCCAACCTCAGCTGCCGATCTGACCCGCCCTCTCCAGCCTGCCCCTCTCCATCCCTCTCAGCAACACTCGCACTGTGTCAGTTGCTTGCAGAAATCCAGCCCTGTCTGGCGCAAGAACGAACGTGGTGAACCAGTCTGCAACACCTGTGGACTCTATCCAAAGCTCTCACCAGCAGTATCTGGCATATCTTCGCCTCTCTCTCAATCTCTATCAACATTGACATCCACACAGCGCGACCGTCCTCTGGCCATTCGTAAGGACTCGCTCAAGAGAGAGCGTGATTGGGAATCTACAGCTGATCAAGACAATCAGGAAGGAGGGTCTGAAGAGTCATCAGAGAAAGAGACAGCAGAGACAGAGACAGAGGCAGAGACAGAGGCAGAAAAGAAGAAGAATAAGAAGAAGAAGACTGATGAAAAGTTATCAACCAATGTTGAGATCCAGAACACTCCTTCTATTGGTACTCCTTTGGCTACACCTGTCTTGGCGTGTTTCCAGTCTTCTAGTTCGATTGCCTTGCCTTCTCCTCCAATTCAATCCAACAAGGAGTGGTCCGAGTTTGATGACTCGAGATTCAAGGGACTCTTGAGCAGAATGAATCCTCAACAGATGCATGGGTTCTTGGGTATGTTGGAGAGAAGATGCCAGATCCTCCGCTCTCTTCTTTACTCGGATGTCAACCACAATTAACTGAAGATTGAAGAGCTTTCTTTATATTTTATATTTTTCTTTTTTCTTTTATGTATTTATCTTCTTCTGTCTGATATATTTTTCTTCGGCCTTTTTTATTTTTATTTTTTATTTTTATTTTTATTTTTATTTTTCTTTTATCTTGTTAAGAAAGATAGCAACAAAAAAAGAAAATCAAAAGTAATATAAGAATAATAGTAGAAATAATAGCCCTGTATATGTTCAACACATACCATACATCATCATTTTCTTCTTCTTATTTTTATTCTTTTTTTTATTTTTTTTATTTTCTTAAAAAAAAAAAAAGGGGGAATTTATTTAAGAGGAAAATTTTTTTTGACTAATCCCTATAACTAAAAAATCCAATTTTTTATTTTATTTTATATATTTCATTTTTTTTTTCTTCTTCTCTATATATACCGTTCAACACATCACATACAAAACAACAACATAATTTCTTTTCTTTTTTTTTTTTATAATAAAAATATATACACATCTTTTTTGTGTCTATCTTATTTATATATATATATATATATAAAAAACACTACTTTATTTTGGCTCATATTTCTATCTCTCTCACTCTTTTTTTTTTTTGCTGGTATTTAAATATTATCCAAAAAAGGAAATTATTGTACAATTCAGTCAAACCACCAAAAAAATATATATAGCACACAAATGAATCTACGTTATCTACAATAATTTTTTTTTAAAATTATTCTTTGTCCTCTATTCGGACATTATATATTCAAAGTGGCGATTTAAATATAATCAGAAATTATAGACAAGAAAAAAAATATATATATGTGCATCTTTGTATTTACCTGTGCTACACATGCACAAGCAAATATATTCATATTTTTATATTATAGCCTTTAAATTTTAGCCCTAATTTATCTAATTATTATTGTATAAATTGCTTTTCAACCATAAAGTAATCTTGAGTACTTTATTTTATTTTATTTTAATATCTACCATATACATTCAACTCTATTTCATGTAGTAAAGTATAATGCAAGTTAATGTAATGCAACGCAGTGCAGTGCAATGTAGTGTTTAGTGTTGTTCAATTGTAATAAAGCATATTGTATCAAATACATAGAATATTTTTTTTTATAGCTGTGGGCGGCGGATAATTAACTGCAAATCAATGCCAAATAGATCTTTGCATTGCATTCTATAGCGTTCAAAGTGGGTTCTAACTTTCTGTTCTTCTCTGGTCTGGGCAGCAAACGTCGTCACCACGCATCCTCGCCGACTGTCCACATACGCAACCTCTAGCATTGTCAAAATATCTTGTTCTGACCTTGGTAACGATCCTGGATAATCAAGAATCCTAGCCAGTCTGTCCTCACCAATAGTCGATCCACAACTCCACAGTTCATCCACAATTCTATTCTTATCTTTATTTTCATGGCATTCAACAAGATCCACAATCAATCCACCTGTCAAATTCATCTCCTCACTTTCCAGGCAACCCAATACTCTGGTCCGCAGACCCAATTCGTCTGCCAAGGGGTCGATAACCTTTTGTCTGTAAAGTCCGTTCATTCGCTCTGGGCAGCTAAACTGAACCAGCACACATGGCTTCAGTCCAGCAACCACAAACCCTATTTCTCCATACAGCAAGCAATCTTCAAGCGTCTGGCTGCCGTTGTCTGTGATCATCTTTCTGTCTTGTGGCGACATACCATTAAAGAACTCCACCTCAGCTACTGCATATCGAGCCAACCCTTCCCTGACACTATACATCTTTACAATTATGTTTCTAGGACTCGAAAAATCCAAATAGTAATAGCAATAATGAAAAAAATAAAATAATAAGATGAAGAAAAATTAAAGAAATATATATATATATGATTTTTTTTTTAAAAAAAAACCTGAATGACTGCTTTTTTTTTGGGAGAGGCATTTTATATCATGATTTATAGACTAAATTTGTAACAATATTAAGCAGCAAACGATGTAAACATTTGCTCTTTTTGCTTTCACCTTTTTTTGTTCATAGCATGCATATACTTATCACTTTGAAACAATATTAGGCATCTTAATGTAATGTAATTTAAGAAAAGAAAAGAATGTCTCTATCTCTAGCTATCAAGTTATTCAAGGCAGAAACAATAGTGGTAATGCAAATACAATGAATATATTAATATTTTATGCAGACTAGGTAAAGAAGTATCTTGCGCTATATACTAAACATTACATATATCCAAAGGCTAATATCAAATAACTTTTTTTTGCTAGAAGCAAAACAAAACAAAAAAGTTTCTAATCTTATTAGTCTTATTGTATCATTGCTATCTCTTTTAGTTTCAATATAGTGCAATAGGGGGGTTTCACCAGTAATTCAATTTTTATTTCTCAAGTGTGGCTTTTATGTCTCTACCTATATATATATTATTAGACTGTTACTTCTTTCTTTCTGTCATTTTTTTTTAGACATTGCAAAAAAAAAGAAAGCCAATTGACAATCACAAATGGCAAAAGAAACTAGTAAGATAATATATACAAAAAAATAAATAAATTCAAAGCAATGTGATTCTAACAAGCATTTCTATTTGTCAAGAAAACAAAACCAAGGAGATTCCTTCTCAGGAAAAACCCAAAAAACCCATTGTGTCCGACATTGATGACATCTTTTCAGGCAAAACAACAAAGATTGAAAAGGTAGCCGTCGACCCTACACCTGTCAGCAAGAATGCCAAGAAAAAGGCAAAGAAACAGGCTATAGTTGCCGCCGAAACTAAAAAGGAATCGACCAAAACCAAAAAGGCCAAGAAAGACAAAAAAGAAGTAGAAGGAGAAGAGGAAGAAGACAATGATGAGGAAGAAGAGGAAGAGGAAGAGGAAGAGGAAGAGGAAGAAGTCAAGGAATTGACTGAAACAGAAATGCGCAAGGTCGAGGAAGTAGTGTTTGCCGAATTGACAGCTGCCAAAAACCTCAAGAAAAGACAAGCTCCCCCTCCCCCTCCCTCTAAAGACGGGGAAGAAGATAGATTTGGTGATTCTCGGGGAAAGAAAGCGAGTAAGTATATTGTAGTATATATATATTAAAATCAACTAATTAACTAATGTTTGATCATTGTAGAGCGAACTACAGATGATGGTTATCCATTGTATGATGTCAACGACAAGGATCTTCGGATAGGTTTGGGCCAAGGTAATTTGTTGCTATGATAATTCTATAAAAAAATAAGATATTGGATTTAGGCTAATATATTTGATTGTTAGATACACCTGAATGCCCATTCGATTGCTCATGCTGTAAGTTGTTAAATATATATATATATGATACCGGGGCCTTTTACTAATCATATCTACCTTTGGGATGTTTTCTCTATAGGTTATTAAACACATAATCCCAAGGCTTACATGATTGTATCTATATTCTATACACACTCTTTATATACATAGACACATACATACACACTCATACACATATACACATATACATATACATTTACATTATTCATACAACATCTCTCGAATTGAATTGAATTGAATTGAATTAATATCAAACTATATACAAGAGAAAGATAAAGAGTAAAAGAAAGAACAAGCCTTTTTCTTTAAAAAAAGATTCCTTTATTTTATTTTTTGTTCTCTTATATTATATATTATATATGTATTGTACAAATCATCCTTCTTAATTAATTTGAAGGAAGTCAAAATGACTTTCTTTCTTTCCTCTTCTTTTACCAAGATTCCCAGCGAGTGTATGAGTTTGATACTTCCATTCGTCTTCTTACAAATGCAGGAATTGAATGCGAAAGCCACATTTGACGGATCTGCTCATATCTCTTCTCATTGAGATATTGTGGAGTACCGCGTCTACGAATTAATGCATAACAACCATACCCAGATTAGCAAACATTTACCATCGCTGTTTTTGTATCAAGCAAATATATCTTACCGAAGGAATAGATCAGCTTCACCATGAGAATCAAGATATGGTGTGCTCATTACTGTACCACCATTGTCATGAAGTAAAAGAATAAAACACTCTTTTACAACCATAAAAATACCAATTTCACCGCTACAACTACAAATATCCAAACAAAAAAATCAATAAATTAATAACCAAAGTATTTTACTTTTCTACTTTCTTTTCTTTATCTTGTACCTTCTCATGTGTGTGTTACATTCGCCATAGTCTCCTTCGGTACAGCATATCCTGCGTGCACAGACAAAGGTACCACACACCAAGCAAAGAGCTGGATATTCGGGAAGACTCTTGCATTTGCGACACACTCTTCTCAGACTCTCTTCAAATAGCTTATCTATCCGGTAAGGAAGGGAAACCATCGAGAATTTGATCGGTAAATTGAGCGAGAGGCTGACAAGTTGCGAGTACACAGGTGTCTGGGACGTCAAGATCGGGTCAGCCACTCCAACAGAGTACACGCTGTATGCCTCACACCAGCTCTTGACAATATTCTCTTCAAATGACTTAAGCGCCAAGACTTCCTTTAGTTGAGGTAGACGCAAGATCTTGAGCAGGCGGTTGTACTCGTCAGCAGAACTGGTGCCTGATTCGCCTTCTGTCTTGTCTTTTGCTTCCTCATCATCTTCATCGTCTGTGGTGTTTTGAAGAATAAATCCAAAATGAACCACCATCAGCAACAGAGTCTTGCGTAGGAACGGCAGAGTGAATGTGTGTAGTAAGGCCAGATATGTCTTTGGCGAGATCTGGGAAAAGAACTTTTGTACAAACGTTTCCGGTACACCCAACAGCTCCATTAGGCCATTGGCAAATCTATGCGCAACATCAATCTCGTTGTCTGATGACAATAGTGACGAGCTAGAGGATTCAGTCGATGATGATGATGATGATTCCTGTTGCTTCAGTAACGCCTGGACACGAGGGTTCTCAAGTTCGTCACTTCCGGTCAAATCTTGCATCAACGCAATCGTAATCTTGGTCAACTCGGCAAGGAACAACAGGCGAACCAGATGATGGGGTTCGATTTCAGTACCATGGGTCGTGAATCCAAGTCTAGTGAGTACCGTAAAAGTGTCTTCACACAACAAAGGCAGATGTGCGGTCGTGTCCTTGGCACCGGTCAAATTCTGCAAGTCTTGAAGACCCAGGTATTTCATCGATCGCTTTTCTTTCTTGTCTTCACGCGAGTCCATGATACGTGGCAGGAGATCGGTAGTCTTTGCAAGAAGTCTAAGAACCGAGTGTGAATGGCTTGAGATCCCATCCAAAAACGTCCCGGTGTGCTCGATAGTCAGATCCTTGGAACGCGACCGGTCTACTCCGCGTTGTTGGATCTCAATGGCCGAGATTGTGTAAGCATACATGTTGTAGAGTAAGCCATTTGGTGTCTTGATTGATGGTGTGTGCAGACGTGGTGAGGAAGCAGAAGATGGGGAGGCAGAGGGAGAAAGGGAGGGGGATTCGTTTGGAGACGGTGCTGAGACTTGGGGCACACCAGCTATCATAGTAGCAACTGCTCCTGGTTGATTAGGTAGCTGGAATTGCATCAGCATTTGGATAGGATTGTTTACCCCAGGGCTCTGTAGTTGGGCTGTGGTCAAGTGTCGCTTCTTTTCGTTTCTTCCGTCAGTATTACGGATCGTTCTCATGAGCTGGGAATAAAGTGGCTTGAGGCTGTCTACATCAGTGATGGTCATGCTACTGTCTTGATTCACAAACACATCCTCTCGTTCATCATTCACAAATGCGCCTGGAATTTGTGCAGTCATGTCAGGGTCGGTTGCTCTCTTGAACTCTTCAAGAGTCTCTTCCAAGGTCTGGACAACGCCCTCGCCATATCCCGTTCGTGGAGATATTACACCCGGGAAGATCTCTTTTTTACCCTTCCAGGCAATTGGCAGAAGTGTGTTGCCAAGGGCCTTGCAGAGTGGGCACAGGAACTGTTTTTTGACAAGTGTTCCAGGCAAAAGGTTTACCAGAAAGTTCTGGGCTTCGTTGTCAACCGTGCTCTGGTAATTACCAAAACACTCCGCGTGCATCAGATGTCCACACGTCGACATGTGCAGGCCAGGTACTTGGGCGTCAGAAGGGAAGCCACGAAGGCTCGATTTTCCTTGGGTAGTAGAGCTGTCCGCAGCACTGGAACTCGGTTCTGTGTGCGACGTGGCATTGTCTTGACTGGCCTCCAGTACATCAATTAGGACCTCGACGTTCTTCAATGGAGTCTGGCGCATAATACGCGATTTCTGAACAAGGCCGAGCATGCCGTACAGACGAGAGCGGTCAAGTTCTTCTTGGCAGACAATACAAGTTCCGGATGGGAAGTGGGAGATGCGTTCAATCTCAACCTCGCCATGAATGTTCTCAGTGGCCTGCATCATCGACGTATCTTCTTCATAGTTCTTTTCGTCTTCGCTTTCACCTGCCTCATCGTCATACAGTGCACTGTTCTCTTGCATAAACTTTGACTGTGCCTGAGCAAATTGGTTCATGATTGCTTCCTGACGAGCCTTGGCTGCCGCCTTTTTACGTTCGTATTCTGACTTTCCATCCTCAGCCCCTGATTGGGCCTCGAGAGATGCAGCAAACTTACTCGTTCCCTTCCACTCTCTGATCATCTCTTTGGTGTCTTTGTCAGGAGTTTCGGCTTCAATTCGATCGACAATAAACAGGCATCGCTTGTGAATGTGATTGAGATCGGGGTCATCTAAACACTTCAACAAGACCTTGAGAAGGGTGGCATGTTCACGTTCGATATCACTAGTCTGAATAGGATATTTGTCCTTGATTGCGTTCTCGACAAATCCTCTGGCCATAGGCTGCTCTGCGGGATACTTGCCCTTTTCATGCAAGCTTTTTTGTTCAGAGTACAGACTATTTTCGTCAACCAGGGCTGTCATGGCCAGATAGAGTGCTCCATCGAGAATGTTTTCGCTCTTTGGTTGGTCGCTCATCTTAGTATTCCACAGCGAATACAGGACAATCTGACAGAGTACACGAGAGTGAAGGAAGTCTCCAAGGTGTTTGAATGGCCCAGAATTGATCTTTTTGATCTTGGGCATCACGACAACCTCTTCTTTACCGTCTACTTTTGCCGCCGGAGCTCCCTTTCTGATCTGCTTCTTGATGATCTCGATCGCCTCTTCGCGGTGGTTGCGAGTATAGTGCCAGTAGTAAGGGTTAATCTCAGAACAGAACTCTTCCTTGAGTTCAAACAATCCATGGTCATTGAGACCATCGGGGGCCTTGTAGTTGGCAAGTATTCCAAGCTGAACATCGAATGCTTCGTCTTCGCTCAGGCTGTCAGGCATGAGGCGGATCAATTCAGAGTGAGCCATGCTAGAGATACCCAGGTGTTGAATAATGGCATAGCGAATCTTTTCTTCAGATGTCTCGCCAGATGCATAGCCGCGTTCGGTGGCGCAGATGATGAGCAGATTGATGAACTCTTCGACAATGTAGTTCACATTGGAAGTGTCATATTCCGAGATGTGTTTTTTAGGTCTACCACGGAACCAGTTCATGATATCGAAACGGTCCAACATAGTAATAAGCAGCTGGTTAGGATCAGTGACAACAAATCCAACCTGGAGTAAGTAAATATCCTTGTCGTAAGTGTTTTCTCTAACGCTGATGTCCCGATATGTGCGTGCCTAAACCGTTGTAATCAATAAGTTTTTCTGTATTTTTCCTTTCTTCATTCTTTAATTTATTCATTCTATTGTCTATGCTTATATGTGCCTATAGTTGTATAGTTAATCTTAACAACAATTTTATTACCAAGTCCCGGACACTGAATCCATTTCTGACCCACACGCCACAGTTAATCTGAGCCAATACGACCATCGTTCGGAGCGGGTAGTCGAGAATTGCCAGTAAGGTGTCATGAGGAGAATCCTTAAAAGTGCTTCTGATCATCTGCTTAAAGCCGCCTTTCCATCCTGCCCGGCTGAGCAAATCATCCTGGAAAAGGAAAATGTGTTCCAAGAGCTCAGAAAGTAACCAGTGATAGGGATGGTGGAAAGAAACCGGCTCTTTGAGAACATTGTAATCAACAATCTCGTATGGGCCAGCATGTGGTGTATCGATAGTGTGATATTTTTGGTTTTTGATTCCTTTTATCAACATACGCTCATGCTTTTCTCTATCTTCTTCGAGCTCTGAAGCCAGACGAGGAGACCAGTCTGCCAGAGCCTTGAGAACTCTGTAGACCGATCGACACAAGTCTCTTGAAGCTTCGGTGAGATCTATTGTAGGATTGTTATTCAATGCAATGAAGCAATCTGAGAATTGACGACAGAGCCTTGAGATCTGGAGTGTTGCATTAAAGGCGTTTGTCCATGAGTTAGATTCGTATTCTACGTGGACATCTTCTTGGTGTTTCAAGGGATCCATGGCTTGGAATTGATATATCATGTCGAGAAAGTAGCGTAAATAAATCGGGCTGTGACACACTTCGATCTTTACTGGGTCAGCATTGAGAACATATCGTAGGTCGAAGAAGGTACATGCGTATCTGTGTCGTGTCATCGCTCGAGTGAGACAATTGACCTGCATGTCTCGGTACTCATCTGGTACAATTACTTGTACATTGTTTGTCAAAAAGAAGCCAGAGAGAATAGAGCACACCATCCCAAAGAACCTATAGTCTTTTACAAGCAATGCTGCTACACTCGGAACGGTCAATAATTGAACAGAAAGTGTACTGGCCGAGTGTCCCGGCTCTCTGTCCTTGAAGAAAAAGGCATCAACTAATTCTGGATAATTACGAACAAATCGAATACCTAATTATCACAATATAATATATATATGTGTGTGTGTATGTGTGTTTGGATTAGTAATCATGGCAGCAATGTGTACTAATGCCTAATTTTTTTAGAGAGCGAAAATAAATATATATATGTATATACTCATTTACCCATCACACGTCGATATTCAAAGTTGGATATAAGGGTGCCCAACAAGAGATCCTTGATACTTTCTCGCGCAGACTTCCACAGTCGTAAATCAAACTGTAGTATATAATCGAGTCTGACTTTACGTTTGAATTCCTTTTTCAAGAAAGCATTGGCTTCTTCTACAGGGGTCTGACCGGCAGTTACAGGTACACCCATATCTGCTGCTATGGATCTCTCTTCCTTTTCAAATTTGGCAGTCTGAGCCAACCATGCGTCGATATCCCAGTCTAAATCAATAATATCGTGTGGTTGCTTTTGCTTTGTATTGTCTTTAGAATGTCTTGAGGTATTATCATGTCGGTGTCGAGATGTTTCTTCTTGTGAGCTTGTCGCAATCTGATGTTGGCTATTGCTGTGGTCTTGGTTATGGTCTTGGTTGTGGTCTTGGTCGTGGTCTTGGTCACGGGTGTGGTTATATTCGTGGTTGTGATCTTGATTTTGATTTTGATCGTGGGTTTGGGTTTGATCATGGCTATGATCATGTTCGTGGCTATTGTGCTGTGAATCTTCAGCGGCTACATGATCTGTAGTGTTTTGATGGTCTGCTTCAGGTGTAGGGTTTGCCGAGACCATATCCACATCCTCTTCTGAGTGGACTCCTGACATAGCATTGCCATAATCTTCTCCTTCAGAATCGGTGTGATATTCTGATTCGTTATGGTCGACTACTTCATCAATGTCGTCTTCACTTAGCATAGCTTCTTCAAACCCATCCTCTTCATCATCGTCATAGTCCATCATACCAAAGTCTTCGGTAACAATAAAGTCTGCGTCGTTTTCATCATCCAACTCATCTCCAAATCCTTCTCCTCCATCATCGCTTTCAAGACCAGTAAAAGTATCATCTTCTTCTGCCATGCGTCCACGTCTAGAGCGAGTAGAAAGGGAAGCGAGATCTGGTGAAAGAGACCATTCGTCAGAAAGGACCTGGCAGATGATGTCGCGAAGGATAACATTTCCACCCTGGACGCCTCCAAAGAACTTGTAACGACCGCTGATAAGGTCTTTGAGCCAGTCCAGAAGTAGCCCGGAAATTTCTTCTCTGACACTTGTCTGCACAGAACGAATGGTGACAGCAAGCTTTATTTCGTAAATCTGGTCTGCAACTTTAATAGCCTCGTCGAGGTCGTTTGAGCTAAACACAAGATGGCGTCCATAAGTATCGACTTCTTCAGCCACTCTCATAGCGTGTTCCTTGCTACACTGGATTGCGCTAGACACAACGTTGATCACCTCATCGAATGAATGCTGTTCGTCATTCCACAGCATACACACATATGATGTGTTTGCGGCGTTGTATGGAATGTGGTGTGCCTTGTGAGAATCACGACAATCGCGTATGATATTTTCTTTTTTACCGGGCGAGACGTCTTCTGGCGAGGTTGCAAAAGTCTCCAGAATGTAATCCAGGACAACTTCAATCGTCTGCTTGATGGATTTTATCAACAAAGGGTCTATTGGTTCTTCAGGGTCTGTCTTGCATCCAGAAGACGAGCCATCTGCCGCAGATTTTCCAGGAACATTTGGAGAATGGATTGTGCATTCCAAAGGTGTTTTCCATGCTTCAGGATCCCCACAGTCGCAACAACCGCCGGATCCTCGGCTGATATTTATCTTGATGTCGTGACCTTCGTGGTTCGTAGAGTGAAAGCAATGCGAGCACAATACACACGTATTATCTAATCCACAGTTCCTATAAAATAAATAAATAAACAAAATTTCATAAAAGGAAGATTTATGTTCATAATGATCATTAGGATTTTGATTCTAAAGCATTAAAGATGAATTGCTTACTTGCAACGGTAAATGCTTTCTCCTTTCTTGAACAGGTGTCCACATTGCTTTCCACGTTGTGATTCCCAATATTCGGGCTCATCTTCTGATGGATTGACAAGTGCATTTCCGGGATTAGAGGGTACGATTACTGAAGTGTCGTCATTCGATCCAAAAAGATTATATTTTTCGAGTAGCTTTGAAAGACTTTTTGCATCGGATACGTCCTCTTTAAAAAAGTACTTTTTCATCCACGCGGGATTATTACACCATAATGCTCGATAACAGTTTGTCAGAATCAAACGCTTGTCAGAGTCAGACAGCTCTTTTGAGTAAATTACAGGTGCATCCGTAAGGAATCTGTATAGTGTTTCGGGCGTTATGACAGCAGGAATTGTGTTATCTGCCATTGATTCATGAGTTGACATTGGGACAGTCAATATCAATCAAGTAAATATATGTACGTATGTATGTGTGTGTTTGTATGTTTGTGGGTGTTTGTATGTGTGCGTGTGAGTATGCGTGTGCGTGTGCGTGTACGTGTGCGTGTGCGTGTACGTGTGCGTGTGCGTGTGCGTGTGCGTGTGCGTGTGCGTGTGCGTGTGTGTAATTATAGTATTAACAGAGAAGAAAAGAAGAAGATCGATTGTATCTTGTTCGATTTTTTATTTTATTTTATTCTGCTTTTTCTTCTTCTTCTTTCTTCTTCTATTTGCTAAAGTAATATATGAAAAAGAAAAAGAAAATATATAGACAGATAGAGAAGATGAAAATGAATATAAAATGTCACTGAAACGCATTATATAAAAATGTGACATCACACTATTAGTTTATTCCTAGGCAAATGACAAATACAGCAACACCAACCACCAAAAACGTGAAAAAAAATTGGAACAGGTATATTGTATTTATTTGAATTGCTAAGCTAAACTAAGCTAAGTTAAGCTAAGTTAAGCTAAGTTAAGCTGAGCTGAGCTGAGCTGAGCTGTCAAGGTAATACTATCAAAGCTTTGAGAACACAGCAGGCTTCTTGGTAACATAGGATTCCACAGCCTTTGTAATATCCTAAAGTAATGTATGAGATATGAGATGTTGCATATTTCAAATAGAATAAGATAAAGTCAATACCTCTGTGTTTAACATTGCCGAGTTCCAGGTTACAGTGTAAGCAAGACTCTCGGCAACTGTATGGTCGCGCGAGAAATTCAACAAGTGCCTGTTGAAAGAGAAAGGATTAGTAAAGATTTGAAAAAGCGAACCATTTGTGTGTATATGTTTTAGCTTACTTTGTTCCAGTGATGGCTACAGGGGACTTTGTTGCAATAAGACGAGCAGTCTTGAGGGCCTCATCTAAATGCACACATAAATTACGTTGATTAATATTAATTTTGTACAGGTAAGAAGAAAGTTTGTTGTAATTAAATGGCTTACTAAGCACTTCCTCCTTGGTTTCCAGGACTTTATTGACCAAACCACATTCAAGAGCTTCAGGTGCATACAAGCTTGATAAGTTTAGTTAGTAAGAATACCAAGAGAAAAGACCGGGGGATATATTTCTTACTTTCTTCCGGTGAAACAAAGTTCACGGACCAAACTATTATTACCAATAACTTTAGGGAGACGCTGTAAGCTGCCTACATCTGCAGCCAGACCAACATCAACTTCCTAAAGAGTTGGACAAGAAGAAATTGATCTTATTAGTTTTTTTATTATTATTGTATGATAGATGTTTATGGTTAACCTTGACACAAAAGTAAGCATCCTTGGTGCAATAACGGATATCACAGGCAGTGGTCATATCAACACCAGCACCAAAGCAGCCATTGTGAATTGCAGCAATCACTGGCTTTTCACAGTTTTCAATTGCAGTAAAGCTTGCTTGGAAATCACGGATGTGGGCGCGGTTATTGTATGCGATACGGGCACCATCCGAATCAGAGACAAGCTTTTTGAGACTGTTTTCTGCCACTATTGATTTGATAGACGTTGAAATATATTTTAGGTTTTCTTTTTATGAATGAAAATAAAAGGGGGTTGGATAACTTACAATCAAGGCCAGCAGTAAACATACGACCAGAGCCGGATACCACTACGGCACGAATGTTTTGGTCGACGGCCAAAAGTTCAAATACGGAACGGACCTCCTTTACAAGACTGTTTTTTTTTTTTTTTTTTTTTAAAAAAAAGGGTATTTTTAGACTATTTTGTTTTGCTTTGTATATCATATTATTAAGACCAAAAGAAAAGGTCTGTATCGATATGTATTGGTATGTATTGGTATGTAGGTTGAGTGTTCAACGTACCAGTCGTTGAAAGCATTAAGGGACTTGGGACGGTTGAGTTGGACGTGGGCAATGTTTCCGTCGATAATATCAACTTTGATAGTTTCAAACTCATACTTTGTGGCGTCGGGCATGATTTCAAAAAAAGAAAAGGCTTGAGAAAATGAAGCAGGAAAGAAGGTGGGGTAAGAGTAAAGAGATGTGGGGAAGGGTTGGTTTATAAGCGTCTGTACTTGTTTATTATTTTAAAAGTTAAAATAGCTTTGTCATGGTAAATCCCTTAATCTAAAACCCGCCTATTCACACGCCATAATGCAATTGAATAAGCAACTTTGTGAATAAGTTTCACTAGAGACTAGCTGTTTTTCTTTAACTTGGTAATGTATTCTTTGTGGTTTGATATTCTGATACTCTTGATATTCTAGTACTTTGGTATTCTGGTATTCTGTTATTCTGATGATATGGAAATAATAGGTCATTGTGATTCCAGTACTAAATGAGCTACGTCATCCTTAAAATTGAAAATGATGAAGGGGTAAAAAGCAAGAGACATTTTGTGTGTGTGTGTTTTTTTTTTAAGAAAAAGAATTGTACACAAATATCCCCCCCGTCTCCTTTCGTTTTCATTTTATTATTATTACTATTATTATTTTTGTACCTTTTTTTCCTTCCTTTTTATCTTTCTTGCCAAAACCTTTTAAGATCCACCACATACATTTATCTACTCACTCTTTTTTGATTGACCAAGGTAAAGGCAGTCAGATCAAAGCAGCCAAGAAGAAATAATTAGGTACATGCTTATATATAATTTATCTGTAGATTAATAGATAGATAGTAGATGTACTTTGTTTTTTTTTGAGTCCGCTTTCCAGAATTGATTGGAATGCATAAAACAGAAAAGAAAAAAAAAATGAAAATGAAAATGAAATTAGTTGAGAGTCACAAAGCAAAAGTCTTTTTTTTTTTTTTTGGTTTTAGGCTTGGCTTTGGAATTGTTATAGATTATTGTTGTTAATATGTATGTATCAGTAAGATGTCTTGGGTGGGAAAGTAAGCTGAAGGATATTGTGTGGGTATAGGATACAAAAAAAAAGAGAGAATAAGGATTTATACTGGAATCCAAGCGAATTGTTATGAGCATTGTGGAAGCTGAGATGACCGTCTGATTTGTTTGGAGAGCAGGATCATTCGGTCACTGGACAAGACTTCGTCAAGTTTTGCCTGTGCAGCAGGATCCTGAGTGTAAAACCGGCTTGTTCTTCTTGCTGGGATAGAAGTTGGTAGAGAGCTTATTTTTTGGTTCTCTGAATCAAAAGGTTCAACGAGAGTCTTTTCTTTGGTGTTTGTTGCAGGCTGGCGAGAGGATCCCCGCGGCAGGCTGTTAAGAGAGTATGCACGAGCTGGAGAGGTATTTTGAGATATCTGAATGTTCTCCATATCGACTGAATATCTTCCGTTTGAGGGCATGGTTTCGGAGAGGTCCGACGATGCAAACCATGATTGTGGTCGTTTGGAAAAGAGTCTTCTTAATCTCGATTCTGGTTTTGGCTGTTCGACCTGCATTTGGAACCCAAGACGAGATTATCTATATAGGGTATAGAAAGAGAGCAAGAAGAGTAAAGAAATGAAGAAAGGAAGAAATGAAGAAAGGAAGAAAGAAAGGAAGGAAGGAAGAAAGAAATAAATAAAACTGTAAATTATATTTTTGCCCATATTAAAGGCTCTATTAATATTATTATCATTCATTAGTGGGGCGTTTTAGTATTTTGTCTATTTTGATACCAAAAAAAACAACTCCAAATACATTGTATAGATCTATATTTATCAGCCAATACGTACAACATTAAACAAAGACAGCTTGGAAACACAATAATCAAACGAAGCCTCTGACCCTAATACACGGTTATATATATTATACATACATACAATATTCATACATATATAGTCTGAGCCACACCTATATATATTTTATATTTTATATACATATTTGACCCTCTTAAAATTAAGTTACCCGATCCTTACAACAAATCATCTACAATTCCATCGATGATGAATCCAATCGAATTATACTCTCTATTCCTTATTCTTTATTTGTGTGGGAAACTCGGATATAGAGAGATATTTGTTTTGATTTTGGTGATCAATATGTATATAAAATGTTCAAATATTCAAATATTGAAATATATATATTTTATAAGATCACACAATCACAGGTTAGACCTTTTTTTTCTTTTTTTTTTGCAAAATTCAATTCATTATATGCACATTTACCCAAAACAGTCTTTATTTACTTATTGCCTCTTATCTATTTCCTCTCTACACTTCAACACCATCACAGTCCTATATATCACATATTCTTTGTTTCAAATTGTTTATACTTTTTATTTTTATTTATTTTGCCAGGTACAACTTTATCCAAATATGGTATTTTGTTAAATGACAGATCCAATAAAATTCATTTTTTTCTACTATAGTCGTAGTTTGGAATGAACTTTATACTGTACTCAGTATAAGCATTTGCACTACTTTCGAATAATTGTATATCCATTATACACACAAACACAGACATACACGCACTAACAATAAGAAGAAAAAAAGACTACTAGATTTGCTTTAGTTTGATAGCAGACTATATAGCTTATTCTTATTAAAAGCCACTGATTATGCCAGTAGCTAACACTTGGCCAAGAGTTGAGTTATTTTTTTTTACACGACCAAAACAAAATAGGAAATTTAATAATGGGTAACAATTTTGTAGCTTATATATATATATTAAAAACGGCTTTTTATTTTATTTCAGAGAAATTACTCATAATATCATCATTCAACAGAAGAATAAAACGAAAAAGAAAATCAAGATAACTATAGTGACCATTGTGATTGAATTGGCCAAGAGTCTCTTTGGGGTTATTCTCGTTAATCATTCCATAGTGTATGATATAAGTTGGTTAAAATAGATGGTTGTTGTTGTGGGAATTGATCTTCAAGGGATATTAGAATCTTACAATTTTGGATATCAAAAGTAACATAAAATAAAAAGGAGTAAAGAGATCAAATAAGGAGTATTAGATATCGAAAAAAGCAAATACTTCATTTAAGCACATAATCTACGCTTATAACTCACAACAAGAGCCATAGTTGTTAGTATGTTTCTTATGTATTAAAATCCAATATATAAAGTTAATCATTTGTTGCTATGGTTACTTGGTTCTATTTTATAGAATAATATGACTAAAAGGAATAGTAAATGCACGTTACATATCTGTCTTTAAATGCCTTGGATAAATAGGATACTGAAAATAATGATAGATCGTTATCTTGTAAAGCGAACAGTCGATGGGAAATATATAGTGTTTTCAATAGATAGATACGTGTATATATGGACCTATTCTTCTTCTAGATATTGAGGTTTAAACATATATCACAATCAGAATACATATATTGCTTATCTTAAAAAGGAAATGTACCTGATAATAACTATTATATTCGATTCTTTAAATATTCAAAGTTTATAGTCTTTATACAGTTAATTCTTCTTTTTTTTTTAAAAAAGTATCTTGCCTTCACAAATTAATAAATCGTACACAGCATATGACCTGAAAAGAGAAAAATGGAATAATATCCAACAACCTGAGTTCAACCAATGAATCCTTTATATACCATGTACAACTTTATGAGAACGGCATACTAATTATTCCAATAATATAATCAAGTACTCACTTTTAATAATAGACTCCTTACATATATATTCACATAAAAATAACTTGAAGCCTGTATGGTAAGCACAGGCAAAGGCTTTGTAGGCAACGAAGCCAAAAAGAAAAGAAAAATGAAATTAAAGACGTTAAAAATATATCTCTAACTGTCTTGCAAATAGTATGGTCTGTGGGTAGATAATGATGTCTCTAACCTAATACGATTAGATATTTGATTCCAAAAGACATAGATGGCGCGGAATATTCCATGAGATATACTCATCATTGTTCTTTAATTTCAACATGACTTTTTTTTTCTGCCTTAGAAAAAACACTCCACAAAACCTTGAAGATGTTCTAGTCATATCTTTGAGGTTTACCCAATATTTGATTGTGAAGCTAATTATGCAAAGGGATAATGAGCTACAGAAGAATATGGGGCTTATATCCAATTAGAGCATGGTTATAATTCACTAAAGAGATTATCTAAACAGCTAACTAATACAGACAAGATATGATTACTAAGATAACGCGCGATGATATATAAAAACAATCAAAATAGCCAGTATATTCCTTATTATTCTGATGTACATAATGATCTATATTCTGTACCAATTGTTTGTACACTGTACTATTATTACATTACTCAAGAATATAAATACCATATATCAAATATCAAATATCAGTTATCCTGAATAATTTTAATTTTTGTATTATTCTTTGATTATCGGAGTATGCCAGAAAATAAAGAATAAGAATATTGAAACAAATACTTTTTTTTTGGAATAGTAAAATACGGTCGCACGATATTCTTTGTACACTAGGTTGTGCAGGACAGAAAACAAGGTCGTATTCTATACGAGTTTTAAGTTAAATATTAGACTTTTGTTCTACAGTAATTTCACATTCCTGTTGTAATAACTGTACACTACGAGAAACAAAAATGAAGAAATCTAGAGGGATATTCCGATAGAGAGACAGAGAATTGCGTTAACTATCTTCAATATCCTCTTGTTTGTTCTGAACAATTAGATGTTTTCATTGTATAGCAAACGTTAAGTTTAATTGATTTAACAGGATATTTTTCTATTTATGAATCTGGTACATCCAAGTACCACCCTTCGTGTCCCCGGACGTTTCTTGAAAAGTTTAAACAAGTCTTCAGCCCTGGTCTATATTTCTGTTCTCAATCCCCAAATATAACTTTTTTTTTATGATCTTTTAAGATAATATTACAATGCCCTTTGTTTTTTAGTATTGTTTTTATAAGCCATTTCTAGATCTACTGATCCAAGTTATTTGGAGAATGTGGCTTCGTTGCACTTTGGACGTCGTTTGTCGAATAAAGACCTTGTTGTTGGCTTGGATTTCCGACACCTTTCACTAATTACGACATGATGGCACAGCTCCTGATAGGTTCATCCGTGTCATTCAAGGTGAACATACTGTGAGACCAAGATAAGATGTTTCGGAAGGTCGTCGCGTAAGACCAAAAATAAAATAAAATAAAGCTGACAAGTTTCAAAAAGAAGAACACTAGAAAAAATAAGAAGGAAAAGAAGAATATAGCCTATTTTTTTCTTTCTTTCTTTCTCTCTTTCTTTCCAATTTGGTTATTTGCAGGTATCCTTAAGATTTTATTTGGCGAGTCATTGAATTCTTTGAATTCTTTGGTGAATTACTTTATTATCATCTTTGTACTGCATGGTAAAGGGTAAAGGTAATTTCCGTCAATTGTAAAAAAAAAAAACTACAAAAATCTCCTAGTAAAATCACTTTTATCCATACCTTTTTCTTTTAAGCATCGCGTATATTATCAACAAAGTAAAATAAAAAGTTAGTAGAGCAAAAATAAGAGCACAAATTAATATGGAAGAATGAGGCACAGATGAAATTGAAGCATAAATTCTGGCTTGTACCGTGGCTTGTGTAAGCAGAAGAAAAATAATGAAAGGTATTTAATATACAAGTATTAATATCAAATAACCATATTGAATTCAAAAAAAAAAGTCAAATTACTCATTTATTAATTTACTAATTATTTATTTATTTTTTACTTTATTATTTGAAAATATTCATAAATGTATAATATTAACAAAAACATCTTACCTTGTAGATAGGTAGCTTAAGTAGATTTAGAGCGCATATGTATATAAACGCACACACAATAGAGCATTCGTCCGTTGAAATGTATTTCGAATTACAAGAAAACGTTGACTTGATATTCGTTCGTTAGCTTAGGGTAGCCAAGATATGGTAACAGTTCCAGAAATATGGTGGCACAGGCCATGTATTTGGAAAGCGGTGACAGTGATTTTACGTGTAAAACAAGACCTTTTTGTTCAATTGACATGCAAGATAAATTTCTAGTAATTTGTGTATTCTAATTCCATTTCATAAACATATATTAGTAACATATTACTGTGCTAGTGCTCTAAAACTAAATGAGTTCAAGCGACAAATCTGTGTATTTCAAGTGGATAGCCAAATAAAATAGCTATTCTGTACTCGTTTAAAATTTTATCGTCTATTTAATCACGTCTTGGGTTAGTACGTCCAACAGCTGTCCAAAGAGCCTAGAACGTATTAAATCAAAACTTAAAGAAGAATAAGAGTAAGAAAATACAACCAAACCTTTTGTTACTAGCTCGCTGGGACATATTGGAAGTAATCTTTTTTTTTTTATCTTTTTTTTTTCCTTTGCGCAATGTGTGACGAAAGCACGCTTTAACACGCTTTAACACGCTCAAACTCACGTACAAATTTAGACCTGCGTTCGTATGATGTGTTCAGGGTGTGATTATAGCTAATTTAATTTGCCATGAGCTTCAGTATGAGCAAATACACCTCTCTCTATCTCTTTCTTTCCTTTTCTCTTTTCATTGTTTTCACATGGGCGCAAAACAGTCAAAGCGTAATTTTAAAATGTCCGAAATCGTTCATCCCACTACAAATCCAAGTCCAATGCCCAGTGCAACACATTCATCTGGTGGATCTTCGGGCGCAAATTGGAAAATGTCTGCAGATGGTCGCATATATCACAACGTAGAATCAAGCGCATACATACTTCCTCAAGACGAAGAAGAACAAGACCGGCTTAACTCTGTAAGCAGATATAATTTCAATTTCCGAAAAAAAGAACTTCCAAGAAAAACAAAGCTCACTATTTTATTTACATAGCAACATTTTGCAGCAAAAGCCCTCTCGAATGGGTAAGATTAGATACTGCCCATAGCATATAGATCTCTAACACGATATTGAAATATATCAGGAACATGCTGGCCTCAGTTGTAGAAGCTCTTCCCCAAGAAGCCAAGATCCTCGATATTGGGTGCGGTTCTGGGTCTTGGGTCATGGTAATCATTACCAACAAGCTTATTTTATTTAACACACACATGTACAATTTCTTATTGACTTTTCTATCAGGATGTAGCTATAGATAATCCTTGTACTCATATCACTGGTATTGATATTGCCGACATCTTCCCTGCCATCATTCGACCAAAAAACGCCGATTTCAAACTCGTTAATGTACTCGACGGTCTCCCGTTCCCAGACGCCACTTTTGATTTTGTTCATATGCGTCTTTTAATTGTTGCCTTTCGCATAAACGAATGGGACAAAGTGATTGATGAAATCTACCGTGTTCTTAAGCCCGGAGGACTTATCCAGCTAGTTGAATCTCAATATACAGTTTGTATCTCTTATTTTTTTCTTTTTAAAAAAAAATCTTTTCAACTGACAAATCATATAATTAGGATACAGAGCAGAGTCCAAAAATCCACCGCTTTGTCTCGGCCCGTAAGATTTTGTTATTATTATTATTATTATTATTATTATTATTATTATTACTGGGATCTGTAGATGGTATGTATAGCTATCTGACATGCTTATTATCATTAGTACTTTCCTTAATGGCGGATAAGCACCAAGATCCGTTAATTGGCTCAAAACTTGAGGGCAAGGTAATAGCCCATGGTTTTGAGTTGATGCAAAAAGAACGTATAAGAATACCATTTTGTAAGTCCAATAATAATTTTTTTTTTAAAAAATAATAATAATAATAATAATAATAATAATAATAATAATAATAATGTAATAATTAATATATTTCTATTTTAGCCAATCCCCAGAACGCTGTTTATGCTGAATTATTGTGGGGCTGGGGTAATGCTATGAAAGCCCTCAAACAAGCTCTCGCTCCTAGATTATGTCCAGATAATGAGAGCGACTATGATCAAATATTGAATGAATATCTTAAGGACTGTGCTGATTTTGGGTGGGTGGTTTACATTTGGTCAGTTGCCGGCCGTAAACCTCTGACTGTCTAGAAAATTGCTTATCCTTTGTACTCTAAATGTTATATATCCTGAATTTTTTATTTTATTTTTTACTCTCCTTTAGAAGAAATATGCTAAACCTTTAACTTTGCTCATGCTTACCATTATTACTATTACTACTATTACCATTATTCTAAATCTTACAATTATTTTTACCTTTCTTTATTTATTTATTTATTAATTAATTATATGCTAAAATATCTTGCTTTTACTTTTATTTCTTTCTATAAAAAAAAAAAAAAAAACACTGGCAATATTGGTTGCCAAGATGATTTATATTTTGTCATAGTTAGTGTTTTGTACCACACTTTCTGACATTTAGATGGTTGTATTATCTTTATCTTTTTCTTTTAAAACAGAATAATAATATTTATATATGAATGGCCACAATAGGAAAAAAAAATCTTCATCTGACAGCTTAACATAAAACACGGAGAATCTTCTATTCATTTACTTGTTTACAACAAAAGGAAAGAAAAGATGTATATATGAATCTACATTTGTCTCCAATCTATCCAATGTTTGGCTCTACCCAACTTTCGGTTCGCTCCCCGACATTTCTCTTAGGATCAAGTACGTGTGGTGTAGTGTTACCTTGTACACGAAGCATAATAACTGTAACCTTGGACCTACACCCTTTTTTGGAACATGTATTAGAAGCTGTTTTGTAATTGTGTGTACAGAATATGAGTAAAAAGAAAAAGAAGAAGAAAAAAGGCGGGTACCGATAGTAGAAGTATTCAAGTATTACGATCAAAAGGCCTCAAGATAAAGAAGATACAACCGTTGTGGTTGAAATGAGAAGAAAACAAAGCTCTATTCTTACTACAAAATATATCTATATATATTTGTACCGGACCTTGAGCGGGTGATTTACACAAAACTAAAACTAAATAGTATTATAATGAGATGTGTATTCGGAGAGCGGTTTATTTTATTTTATTTATTTTGTCGGAGAGACCTGTTGCGTGTTTTCTATCTATACAAACTATATTGTTAAAATAAAGTCGTGTAATATAAACCTTTTTATATAAAGAATATATTGATATAAATACCAAATATACACAAAATTCGTTTGCTTCTCACAAAAGCAGAGCAGTATCTATGACAAACTTTATAGAAGCAGAACAAGAGTCTTAAAGCTATTGGTTACTATTACTAAACACATACACAGATATAAATATAAATATCTACTTGTAAAAGTAGGACAAAAGAAAAAAAGAACACATACCACAGATAGAGACTTTCTTAGTTTGGACTCATGGTTTATTCAATTGGCGCCTTCTGTGTTAATTTGTATCATGTCAAATAAAAGACAAAAGGAGATGAACTTTATTTAACGATCGAGTTTTATTTTTTTTTATTTTTGATTTTATTTTTGATAGTATATTTGCATCTTCATCTATATTCAATAAATCGTTCAATTTATATTTTATTGTATTGTATTTTAGCTCTCATTATTATCTCATTCAAAGAGTCACAGAATTTAAGATAGGTTACTAGCTGTGTAATATGTATATATATATATTTTTAAAAAATACCATCCTTTCCTTTGTTTTCGTCTTATTTTTCTCTCACTATCTTTGGATCATGATCGTTATTGGGGCTTAAAAAAAATCAGTAGCCAACACCATGCAGCACTGGCAGAATTCCTGGGTCTTATTTTGCATGTGGACAACTTTGTACATTTTACAAAATTTAGTATTTAAAATACAAACTCCGAGTACATATTCAATTGTTGAAGATTAAAACACCCAATAATATTCTATTGGGGTGTAAATACTCTCAAACCTTAATTTATCGTGATAATTATATGCGCTTCAAGGGTCTGAGTTCATTAAACAAAAACACACATTTACACATTTACATAATAACAGGATACTATCTGTAGTTCTACTTGATTATAGTCAACAATATTTACTCAATAGATAATACAAAAAAAAGTTTTGCTAAGCATAGATCGGGAATATTTTTTTTTGGATTATTATTTTAATGTGGGTACATATGCATAGAGAATAGTATATCCCAAAACAAAAATGGGCAGTAAATCAAAAGAAACCTTGGACTACAAGGGTATCTTCGTTTGCCCAAAAATTAAAACTAAAATAATAATCAATAGGCTTTGTGAACAAATATGTTAATTTAACTATATTATATGATATTCAACCTCATTAACAATATAAAAGAAGGTACAAAAGGTACATGTTAAAATAGAAATTACCCACAGTAATATATGCAAGCCAAACAGAAAAAAAAAAGTGAAAAGCATTTGTCTTTCATATTACCACATATTTTAGTAAACACGCCTTTACCAAACTTTGATTCAAGGTGTACAAGTTTTTATTTTTATTGGATTTTTCTTTAAAGACAGAGGTGTCTTGTCCAGACCAGTCCTTTTTATGTTCTCTCATTTCTACTTGTGAAAGACAAGTCATTTTGTTATGCAAAATCTATACACATTTACACTAGTCATGGTAGTGAGTCTCTAGATAAATGTAATTTATAGAAATCCTTGGTATACAAGTAGCTGGTACGACATGAAAAGCTAAAAGAATACAAACATACAAACATGCAAACATAAATATATTAATTAAAGGCAGTGACAATTGAACAGACAGACATAATAAAAAAAAGTATTGCAAGAGCTGTCACTTTCCGAGCATTCGATTCTATTAGGTATTTATAAAACAATCTGAGCCATTGTTTTTGAGCATGCTGACAGACGTATACTGAAAACGATTAACCACTTGCAATTACCAAGATTCCGCGGATTTAAAGATTCAACAAAAAAAAAAAGAAGATGTGTAGTGGGTGTATTTATAAAAAGACGATTTAAGGTTCTTTTGTACCTCCTCTGCGCAATAGGTGTAAAAAAAATGAATTTATAAAATTCACAGGTATGCTGGTAACCAATAGTATATAATCTTCCTATACTTCAATAACGATAACAATATACTCGATAATAGGCGGGCATAATTTACACACACATTATTTTACTCTTTATATTATCAGGGACAAACAAATAGACATTATCCCTGATCTAAAAAACTTACCCTCTAAACCGAAATAAAGCTAGCCGTCCAGAATATTCTTAGAATTTATAAAAAAAAAAGTATGGTATTTATATACAGCCAAACCGGGAAAGAGCCGATTTATCTTATTCTGTATAGAAATAAACCATGCGGAGACTCTTTGTATGGATTGATATACATTTTTATAATGAACAGAAAATCACAAGCACAGGATTACATCTATCATTCCAATATAATTGTATTCCAAAAAAGAGATGTTACTATTTCATTAAATTACCCACCAAAAGGTGACCAGGGTTTACTTAAAGATCATTTGTCTAGAAGCTCTTTTTTCAAATGAAATTACACACACACACACACACAATGGAGTTTAGAAAGAGCTACATTTTATGCTGGTAGCATTGGCCTGCGCGTTTTATTTTGTTTTGTTTGTATAGTATAGAGATCAGTGCATTAATTGCCGCCCAGAGCGAGATTTACAGTATATTATATAACATATTTCTCCTAAAATATCTAACATGTCCGTTGTGTTAAAAGAACTAAAAGAACTAGGAAAGATGTAGTGGCATTACTTAAACAGTAAAGATGGAGTTTTACATTGGTGACAGTGGTTAGAAAGGGTATCGTGCCAAAAGTACAAGAATCAAAAGATAGAAATCTGTACATCAAATTCAGCTCAAATTTAGCTTTTTATTGGCTCTTAAGTGGATAACTACCTATAAGCAGATAAAACGCACCCATTAAAAGAGCATCTCACAACACATATAAAGACAGTAAATACAAATAATATCACAGTATATAGGTGGATAAGGAAAACCACGTGTATTCCAAAAATATACATACTTCTCTAACATCTTAGATTTGCATGATATTCGCATTTCTATTAGTAATTAAGACCCAATAAAAACTCTTTCTCAACAAATAATAATTCAAATTATCTCAAGCATATTCATTGTACCAAGTCAGATTGATCTTGTTGTAAACAAGTTATGCATAAGCTGCTACATTTGTTTATTATTTATTATTTATATTAAAGATTAACATTCTGCATGCTGATCAAAACTGGTGCCTAATCCAGAGAAGAAAAAGATGAGATTCAGCGAGAGGATTGTATTACTTCCCCTCAGTATCATCCTGTCTGTTACGAAAAATTAGGTGTTTCCACTATACAGCAAACGATAGGCTTTATTCAGATTGTTTAGAGAATATAGCTCTCCGTTACAGTTTGAGCATCATTTGTCTAATAGATTCTGTTGTTATTCTAGGCTTCTCCACATCTTTCGCCAAATATGACACGATAACACGATTCCAGAGGGACCTACGTGTGCTCTTCAAATCAAAAGTGCAGTCTGGCAAAAGATAATATGTCCCAGAAGGATTTCATGTGAGACAAATGCTGTAAAGTGCAAGACAATAAACAAATGTCAGAAAAGCAATGCTGATAAGAGTCAGTTAAATTTTCCTGCCTGATTATCTTCGAGAATCCCCAAGATGTTATTTTGGTAAGCCATTACATTTTTTTTGAGGATTTTAGTGATATTTTTCTGTTTCTTTGTTTTGTTTTGTAATGCTTGGAGTATTGTAAAGTGTTTTGAATCTATTGCAAAAATACGGCTTCAAAATGTTATATAAAAAAAACAGGTGGGACTAGCTTGAGATATTAAAGATACCTTTTCAAGATTGAACTATAATATTGAAGAAATAAGAAAAATTGAAATTGAAACACAGACACACACATATATATAAAACGAAGAAAGCATCATTTTGCTAAAATACCACCCCTAAACCCACCCAATAAGATTGTAAAAATCTCCTATTAAATTTACTCTTTTTTTTATTACAGTGTATGCGCCCTAAGATATGTACATTACTTATAGTTAGGTATCAGTTTAATGATCTCAGAAATATGGATTATGTAACGAACTTTGTTTTTATATAATGAGAATAATGATGAAAATAAAGTTTTCTTTTCTTTCCTTCAAACGGACAAAATATTAATGATCTCCATTGATCGACAATGCAATATCGACTTTTTATCTTGCTTCAAACCCAACAAATTTTACATGATAAATTGAGGATTTAGTTACAAAAACTAATAGCCACTAACCGTATCTGTTCATACAAATCCCGGTAAAGAAGAATGTATATGCAAATATGATACATAACAAATTATAAGCAAATGCCTCAGGTACATACAAATAATATTCACATAATTATTAAAATTAATTAGCAGTAATAAATTATTGCTATTAGAAGGGAGGTGTATAGAATGAAGAAAATGATAGATAATAAATACAAAGAATAAAAGTGGTAGGTAGCTGAGGGGTGTTTATATCATGTAACTTTCTATAGCATCAGTTCGTAATATATCACGATCTCCTGTACGATATCGAACCATCCATGTCCCGTCAGGTAATTGAACATAGAAATTAGAGTAAGGAAACTCGTTTGGTTTGCAATACGTTGGACTATAAGGAGGCACAATCACAGTAGTGCTGGTTTGATTGGCATCTTCCTTTAATTGCTTTCTTTGACGCTTTTTACGAGTACTCGTGTATTCTGGAACAGAATATGAAGAGGAGCTGTCTGCTGAATCGGATGATCTAGAGGACACGGTGTCCAAAGAATCGCGTCGTTGTTCATGGCGGTGGAAGATATTGGTGAGTTTTGACCAGACTGAGGAAGCAGATCGATGAGTCTTGGAAGAAGTCAAGTCATTAGAATATATTAAGCGTGTAGACATAATAACAAAAAGTTTTCTTTTGTTAAAAGATCCAAGAAATTCTCAATAATGTAGGGGTGTATTTATGGAGATTATCATGAAACAGAATAACCGATTTGATGAAAAAAAAAAAGAAGAGCTTCTTTGTCTCTCCGCAACCACTGAGAGAAGTAAAAACTTGCTCAGCAGTGTTCTCTTACGTGGCTTCTACTGTACCGATTTGTAAGCAGTAAGTCTTATTTTTTATTTTATTTTATGTTATGTTATGTTATGTTATTTTACTTTATTATGTTTTATTTTCATTGTAAATAATACCAGTCTATAATCGCTGTTTGGTTTCTATTGCCTGGATACATTGAATTATATCACCAGCCTGGAACTCCTTGAACCCTTCAAAGGACATTCCGCACTCCAGACCCTTTTTCGCTTCGGCAATATCTTTCTTTACCTGACGGAGTTGGTCCAGTTCACCTAAAACATTTATAGAAAATTAGCTTAGTAGTTTGCTTACATATGCATTCTAGCTAAACAAATATACGCCCAAAGAAAAAGAACAAGAAAAAATAAATCCATGTTTTACCTTCCCAGATCGTCTCTTTGTTACGCACTATTCTAACCCGGCCATTTCGATTGATTGCTCCATTTGTAACTCGGCAACCAGCCACTGGCTTAGTTTCGCGACCCTTTGTACTAATATCAAATACTTGCAGGATACTTGCTTCTCCCACTACTTGTGTAGTTACAATTGGTGGGAGCATATCACTCAACTGGTCCTTCACCTCTTCAAGCAATTTGTATATCACAGAGTAAGACCGAACGTTGACTCCATGTCGAGAAGCCTCAGCTTGGATCTTCTTGTCTGCCTTTACATTAAACCCGATAACCTGCCCCTCACATGCGGCTGCTAACAGTACATCACCTTCTGTGATATTTCCGACGCCACTCTGGACCACCTTGACCTTGATTAACTTATTCTGCAGTCCGTTAAGACAATCAACAACGGCCTCTACTGTGCCACTAACATCACCTGGGTGACCAAAACAATTTAATTCACTCTCTCTTGGCAAATTTGTGTTTGTACAGGTATGTGTAGCTGTCTGTAACCAAAGTTTTTTTGTTTGTTTGTTTGTTTTTTTATAAATAATACCTTTCACAACCGCTCTTAATTCCTGTTGAATAGGTCCACTTTCTGCGGCATTTTCTTCACGATCAGCCTGAAGTTCACTCATTCTTTTACCAAGAGAATCAGGCATTTTTTCAGTCATACCACGCTGGTACAGATACATCTCTTTTTTGTACGCCTTCTCAGCCAAACGTTCCTGTTCAAGCTGCTCCCGCTGAGCACGACGCTTATCGTTAATTACTTCCAAATCACGTAATTGCTGATCTCTTTGTTGACGTGCCAAACGGTTGTCAACCACTGTCTTTGCTGTGTTCTAGAGTACAAATAAAATTGAATATTGGCTCAGCATATTTCTTAAAATGATTTTTCTCGTTAAAGTTTCCATAATAGTAATTTTCTTTTTACCTCATCTGGAGATGGTAGCATCTCATCACCAGCGTGTGGTACCTCCTTCCAACCAATAACCTTAACAGGTGTACCAGGAAGAGCCTCCTTAATACTCTTGCCAGTGTGATCTGTCATAGATCTGATTTTGCACCACGTTTGTCCAGCAACAACAACAGATCCAACCTTGAGTGTACCACTTCTCACCAGGACAGTAGCTACATTTCCACGACCCTTCTCCATTTGCGACTCAATAACTACACCTTCAGCGCCTGCATTACGCTCCGCCTTAAGTTCCAGAACTTCTGATAAAGTGGAAATGGTTTCTTCGAGTTGATCAAGATTGAGACCTGTCAGTCCAGATACCTCTACACAAGGAACATCGCCACCGATTTCTTCCAAGTGAACATTGTAGCGAGCAAGTTCTTGTTTAACCTTTGAAGAGTCTACGCCCGGTTTGTCACATTTATTGATAGCTACCACAAGAGGAACACCTGAATTGTGAGCATGCTGGATCGCCTCCTGTGTCTGAGGCATCACTCCATCATCTGCTGCGACCACCAAGACAATAATATCAGTAACTTGTGCGCCACGGGCGCGCATAGAAGAAAATGCAGCGTGTCCAGGTGTATCCAAGAAAGTGATTTGCTTCTTTGAGGGAAGTTGTACTAGCGTGTACAGAATAAATGAGACGAGAACAAACGTTTAGTGTATCCTTTTGAGATCACTCACCAGAAAAGGCACCGATATGTTGAGTAATTCCACCAGCTTCCCCTGCTGCTACTGATGTCTGTCGCAAAGTGTCTAGCAGGGTTGTCTTTCCGTGATCTACGTGACCCATAATAGTTACTATAGGTGGTCTTCCTGGTAATTTACTAGTGTCTTCCGTAGGAGGTCTGACCACAGTAAAGCATAATGTAATGTATCACGTCAGAATATGACATAAACCTTATTATTAATAATTGTCTGTGAAGGAATAAATACCTTGGAAACAAATCTAACGACTGCCGAGAGTCTACTACAGGGTTCATATCTAGCTGCATAGCAATCAAACTAGATTCGTCTGAATTGAGCACTAGAGAGGAAAATCACAATATTTCTTAGGCTCTTCTGAATCCATTTTTATGCATTCAGTCGTTTATTAGTGTGGTACCTACTGCGATCATGCGATGTACTACCCATATCTAACTCTTCCATTGTTTGAATAATTTGCTCTAATTAACCAAAAAAAAATGTAATTAGAGAATATGTTAATTGCCTATTTTTCTTATCATTACACGATAATCGATTTACCAATGCGAACACCAAGAACACGCGATAGATTGGCTACATTGATGATTTCTGGGATATAAACTTCTTGAGACTGTCGGGCCAGTTCGGCCTCTTTAGCTCTCTGTTTTGCACGTCTATCAAGAATCATCTGTCTAGCCTTTTCTTCTTCTCTAATTGCTTTTGCAAGTTCTTCCTCCTTTTGCTTTCTCTCACGTCTTTGGGTAGCAGACTCGTTTACTGGTGGTGGTTTAGAGAACTTCATGACATGACGCTCATGCTGTTTCGGTAATTCATTGGCATATTTCTCTACATGCTGATCTACAGGTCGAGTCCAATCACGCTTTGGAGAGATACGTTTTCCAGAAGTTGAGGGAGCATTGTCTTTTTTAGGAGTGTCGTTTCTAGGCGATCTTCCGTCTTGATTATTGTTTCTTTGGTTGTTGAATCGTTGTTGGCCTCCTCTTTCTCCTTCTGGGCCAGAGCGAGACCAAGTTCTCGGCGATCTTTCTTTTTTAGGTGGTGCCGACCAATCGGTCTTAGCAATTGTTCGACCAGGTGCATTGTTTGCTCCAATATCAAGCTTTCCGAGACCTTCGATTTTTCCCGGAGGTTTCTTCTCACTTTCAAAGACTTTACAGCTGGTCTGGAAAGTCATGCGCCGATTAGGCAATCCAAGCCCTTGAATGCTACGCATTCTAAGTATTGTGGTACCTTTGCATAACAAAAGTGCTTTTTGTCCACTCATGCTTTCTGTCTATGCTTCAAGCTCTTGAAAGAAGGAACGCCAATTCAAAAAAAGACAGGTTGCCCTGCAGTAATGATACACGTGACTGTGACTAAGTAAAATACAAGTCATATTTTGACAAGTTAATGTGCACAGAAAGTAAGACAAATCTAAAAGTTCAAGTGCTTCAAGCAAGGGAACCTTTTTTTCTTCTTTCTTTCTTTTTATTTTACTTTTTGAGAATGTTTTACGATTTTAACATTCCACATCCTTCCTCTTTGGAACGAGCAGATCTGGAAAGACTGGAGAGAATTCTTGCGCGTGTCAGTTCTTGTAAATACCATGCATTTCGACCCAGAATTACAACCTACAACTGACAATGAAACTTGCAGTCCAAAAGGCCACCATTGCACTGAATCAAACGATTACCAATAATCTTAAAATTACCGAAGTAGGATTAAATTTACACAAGTACCTCATAAAGCAAATATTTAGTAACAATTTTAATATACAGCCGCTCAAGCCTATTAGCCCTGAAAAATTTAAGAATGTTCAGCAATTGACCAGAGTGACGCTGATTATAGAAGACTCCAAGACAAATTACCAATTGGTGAGACTATATAAAATTCCAAAAGAAAAGAAAAATCTATCTTTGAAATATTCTAACATCCAAGGTATTGTTAGTCTTCAAGCAATTCCTGTAATTCTTTAATTGATATCTTGGCCGTTAAACCCACTCATGTTGACATATGCAAACATGCTTGTCAATCCTACGAAGTTGACCTTATTTCCATTGACCTGTCACAAAGAAAAGTTCTTCCAGGATATGTATCGGCCCAAGTTGCTATTACACGCGGTATTTTCTTCGAAATCTGCTATACTCAAGGAAACAGAGGTATATATATATATATGTATGTATATATAACGCTTTTCTTGGCTCTAATTATCGCTCCTTTGTTCTGGAGTGGGATACAATAGATGTCAAAAAGAGAAGTACATTCTATAGTAATGCCAAGAGACTTGTGGAAACAACACGCGGAAAAAACTTGATCATTTCAAGTGAGGCTTTACGCGCACTTGAAATCAAACGACCTTCTGATCTTCGTGTGCTGTAAGTCAATATAATGGCACACAAAAAGCATAACATGTTAGTATACTAATATGCTCAATGTCTTTTCTCTATTCAAATAAAAGTGGATTATTGATTGGTATGACTGAAGACCAAATTGAAGCTGCTGTTAGTTACAACTATGTACGATTACTCAGAAAAGGAGGTAAGAAAATTTAGACTCTACACAACAAAATACTAATGCTACTACCAAAGAAACAAGGAAGAACACTATCAATGCTGCAATCGCATTTACCCCATCAATTACTATTACCGATGGTAAAAAAAGAAAGGAAGATGAATCCTCAAACGAAGAGCCAAAAACCAAGAAAACGAAAAAGTCCAAATAGACTATAATAGAAGAAACATACCAAGGGTTGAGGCTATAATAAGAAGCCATAATGTACAGACAGTAAAATATATATATACATTTATATAGATATCAAGGTGTTCATATCATAACACACACTCTTCATTAATATTCTTTTACTTTTATATTTTTCACTGGTTTTGTAATGCTTGGTCCTTTTTTTTTTCATTCTATTATCTATGTATTCCCTACAGATACTTTTCACGAATATTCTTTGCAAATCTAACTAAATTATCGTGCTTGAGCACCAAATTACGCAGAGTACTCGCCTGGCGTTTCTCTTCATCTGACACAGATGAGTCTGTAAACTGTGGTGCACCCAAAATAATATGTATATATGAGAAAATAACTGCATCAACCCAAGTGGGATCGCTACAAAGAAAAAGAATCATATTTAATCTCCTTTCACCGCCTACACTTTTATCCTCACCTTGAACCAAAAAAGTATGTAGCTTCTCCCAATTTGACAGAAAGAGCTTCAAGAGCGTGAACAGCATCCGAATAAATCTATTTCAAGAAATAAATATTTGCCATTTAATCTCTCACAATAAATTGGTTTACCTCTTCCCTGACAAGAATGTCACGATCAGCCAGCAATTGCTGAACAACCTTGTTTTGTTTCTTGTAGGCCAGGATATAATCTACTGGAGCAGGAACGTGACCAAAATAGGCCTCAGAAGTTGCTTTTGAGTAATTGAGAGGTTCCAACCACATGGAGAAAATCTTGTAAGAATATAATAATAAAATAAAGTCAATACTTTGATAATCACTACTTTATACCTTCCCTTTTTTCTAAATATTACTTACCAATGCAGCATTCAATTTTGTGTTTGCCAAAGAAATAAATGCCTTTGCATCCTCACTGTGCTCACCCGCCAGAACTTGGCTCTTTCCCTATTACAAAACAAAATGAGTAAATAAAGTAGCTCCATTCATCTTAACCCAGTATTGTCCAAGTGTTCATCACTCTTGTTATTTACCATGTCGTCTATCCATTTGTGAATCTGTTGGTCATGATAAATTGCACCAGGAACAGTGGCCAAGAAAGGCAGCTTTCCTAAAAAAATAGAAACAGTATTAGTATTCTACAAGATTCCAATTCTTTCTGTATTTATTGCTATTTAAAGTACCAGAGGGAGAGGCATCGGGTTCATTACTGTTGATGACATCAAATTCAAGACCGGCAAATTTGAGGTAGATCTAAAATTCATGTAATAAGCCTTAATTAATTTTGTAGGTGTATGGAGAGATAATGTACCTGGAATTGCAAACATTCGGCATCGAAGCTTCCCCATGTATTTCTCCAGCCAGGACCAAAGATGTATAACGTGTCTTTTGTCAGACGTGGGGGTTGGTACACGGATGGATAGGTCTTGAGAGGAAAGTTTTTAAGCTTAAGAAATTCAAGACAGGCAGGAAGTTCTATCTTAGGAAGAACGCCGAATCGTTCAGAGGGAGTCGTAGTCATAATGTATGCGTCTATATTGTACAAGCAAGTCCGTTGTCCGTTGCGTTAATCAGTCCAATATAAGCATAAATTGTCTCCATCAGAAACCCCATGGATTTAGAAAGTGGCTTAGAGTTGCAATAATATTTAATATTATACATTTGTTTCAAAATAGGTGAAGGATATTTTATAATGATTTTATTTTTATTTTAAGCAGATAAAAAGACGATGTGCGTGTGTGTGTGTGTGCGTGTGTGTGTGTACGTATGGGATAGTAAATATAACTTTTCTACAAACATAAAGGGATGGATCTTATGTTCTACTTGGTATGTACTTGCCAACAGAACTCATACCCATAATCTTGAAGCCGCTCGTATCTCCTCTGAGGCGTACAATACCATCATGGCTGTCTACACCAATAAGAGATCCTAGCTCTCCACGATGCTCACCCAAAATAACCTTGACATCATCCTTCTTGCTTGGCCGCACTGGCTCCAGGCTTTCAAATGGAAGTTCTGCGGTGGTGTTATTGCTGCTCAGCTGAATTGTACATGTCCTTGCTCCATGATTTACTGCAGTAATGGCAGCCAATTGACCTTCATTAACGTTACCATGGGAAGAGACAACCTTAACCTCAATTTCTTCAATAGGCCAGTCACCAACATCGTCTTGATCTATGAAACAGATAATCATGCATAAATAGATAAAATCTCTACAATGAATTTGTTATATAGTTTACCTTCATCCTCAACATGGTGATAATTGCCTCCAGTTGGCATGAACGGTGTTTGTGCTGAAATACCGGGTGTGGTAGGTAAATAATTTCCAGGTGTGGGTGCACTTAACATATGTGCTACAGGTGTAGGTGCACTCATAGCTGCTGGTGTTGCAGGAATAAGGTTGGCGCCAGGTGTCGGCGCACTGTCGTAGAGGGTGTTTGTGTGATCGTACATTGATGCGCCATAGTTGGCAGCTGGTGTCTGAGGATATGGTGCTGGTGAAGGAGCAGTATTGCCATATGACGCCTAAAATTGTTGATACCCCCATTAATTTCATTATAAGGATGCATTGTTTTTTATATAGTAATGGATGTAAAGCTTACCGCTGGTGTAGGTGGAACCATTGAGTGTGCAGCAGGAGTTGGTGCCATATCATTTTCAGAATAGCGTCCACTCCACATGGGTGTCTTGCTACCAGGATCCACAAAACCAGGTGTCTTTGCAATCATGCCGCTGTTTCTATGTGGTGTCTCTGCTCCCCACATTGGTGTTTTACTTCCTGAATCCCAGGCAGATGACTTTGATCCACTACCAAAAGCATGTGGGTTGGGTGTTTTACTTCCTGAATCCCAAGCCGGGGTTTTGCTGCCATTCATTGTGTAAGGGTTAGGTGTCCGTGCTCCAGAATTCCATGCAGGTGTTCTGGCTCCAGATGCGAAATGCATTGGTGTTGTTCCACCATCACCATAGCGTCTGGGTGTAGATGATGGAGCAGCAAAATCATTTGGTGTCGCGAATCTGTCATTGGTAACTGCCATGCCAATGGTACCTCCTTGTGCATCAAGAAGTACCAATTTGGATTTGTCTACGTTTATGACTTTACTGTTTGTGTGAAGCTCAACTCTGGCCATATCATCAGTAGTGTCTTTGACAATGCCAACGTATCCCTTATGAGGTCCTTGAGCAATTCTAACAGTTTTTGCGACCAAGTTGTCGCGGCCACCTCTGCCACGACCGTAGAACCCACCACGAGCAGCTCCTCTTCCACGACCACGACTGTCAGGTGCACCTCTTCCCATGCCATGAGAATTACCGAATGGCTGCTGTTGACGAGATAAATCACGACCTTGTGCAAGTCCTTGCTATAGAAGTAGTAAGAAGGATAATCCACATATATTTGAAAGACAATAGAAGCTTACCAGACTAGGTCTACTCTTGGCAGCAACACTAACAACAGATCTGGTATTGTTGACCCAGACACCGTAATTTTCCACATTCTCACGAGAGTGCAAGAAGACTAAATTACGGTAGAGATGAAGGATGGTACAAGCGCGTCTTTCCCCGTCAATCTCAACTACAGAGTCACCCGAGCGAATGCTATTTCCATTGGCGTCTGTAGCTACTGCTCTATTGGTATCACGTTTGCTAGTAATCTGATGGGGTGCAACTGTTCGAATCTCAGATTCCTGAGTCAAGACTTTGAATGAATCACGATCGACCTTAACAATTGTACCAACTGTATGGAAACTAAACAGACAGAGTGTTCAATTACACCCTCTCTTTCTTACTCCTATTTCTTTCTCTAATTGTCCTTTCAAAGTGACTTACTCGAGTTGGACTAAATCGTGAAGTTCATAATTTCCGATGACTGTTCTGGTGAGTGTGATATCTGCTGCCTCTCTCAAATCCTTTGCAAACACCTTGACTTCATTTAATGTTGCATCTGAAAGGATTGTAACAACACTATCCATCACATTGACAATCATGCCACTCTCGTCCTTGTAGCGACCATTGATAACCTTGACATGGTCACCCTCTCTAAATTTCTTTCGCAATTGTTTTGCAGGGAGGGTTACTCGTTTTTTCATTCCATCGACATCAAGCATAACAACCACTGATGATTCTTCAACGCTGTCAACAACACCAATACTGTGGATCATGTCACCTTCAATAACTTCTACTGTATCGCCACCTTGGAATAAGGTGGATGCCTGCGCACTGTTAACTGCCTGTACAGATAGTTTCGAAAGATCAAGCGCACGATCGCCGTCTTCTCCATTAAGTTCTCCTCCACTCGCAAATTTGGCGATTTCATCCAAAGTTGGGCTCACATCCTCGACCTGTAATGTGGCCACTTTCATATTCTTTTCGAGATAGCCATCGCGGAAGTGGTCAGTTCCCAAAAACCAATAAGGACCTTTCTTTTGTAAGCTAGAAATTGATCGGCTAGCAAGTCTTTCTGGATTAAATAATTTTTGAGGGGGACGAGATGCAACCAAGCCTCTCTTTCGTTTTTTTTGTGGGTCATCTTCGTCAGATTCCAGATCAAGACGAGGAACTAGTTTGACACGTGCGCTATCTTGAGAGTCTGAAACCTCCAAGACTTGTGCAAGATCGCCAGCATATCTACCGCGCTTCACACGCACCCAGCCTCCCAAAGGTAGCTCTACTTCCTTTCTTTGGATACTGATCGAATCGATCATATCTTTAATAGGTACCAGCATAAGAGTTGAATGGTATACATAAGGAATATTCAATAGTGCCTGTAGAGATTTATCCAATTCAGCATTCATATTTCATAATAAAGGTTACCACACACCTGTTGAACATGGGCTTGGCGTCTGGCTTCAATGTAGATATATCCTTTTAGTGATTCTCGGGCAAATGCAGAGAATGTATCCAATGGGTCATCGCCGTTTAGTCTATCAAAGTAACGCTTCATCAAACCAAAAACAACGTCTCTTTCTTTTCCGGGCTAAATAAAAATAGACACAATAATTAGAAAATAAGGATTCGATTTTTTTTCCTTCGAGAAAAAAAATTGTTACCTTGCATTTCACCATCCACAAATTAGGATCGTTAACACTAGGAAGCAGTAATTGCTGCGGAACTTCTTCAGATGCTCTGAAACCCTGGGATTTTCGTGCACTATATTTACTTTTAAAGAAAGCAGCAACTTCTTCATCATTCATTCCATCTGTTTCTTGTTGTCTCCGGCGATCGAGCTCGATGTGACGTCTTTGTATGGCAGCTGCTGAAGGAAGCTCTTCGGTTTCCTCTTCAATGAAGCCGTCTGTATTCGTAATTATGATGTTTAATCGTGTCAATCATCCATTTAGATCTTTCGAATATTGTATAATTCTGACCTTCACGACCATAATCCTCGTCGTCTTCTTCATCGTCGTCGTCATCATCAACGATGGCCATTTCGTCAATGAAAGGATTATACTTTCTCTTGGCTGGGCGTTGCTAATGAGCCATGAAAGACGAGTCGTTTACAAAGCAGGACACTACGTAGTGTACCTAAAAAGGTTGTTATACATACCACGTCTTCGTCTTCGTCTTCTTCGTCATCATCGTCTTCCTCGTCTTCCTCATTGTCGTAAGGGACTTCGTCTTCTTCACGGTTATTCTTATTTCTGCGTGCCATTGTTGTGTGTATTATCAAAAAAGTGTTTGCGTTTCTGCAAAGCTTAGAAGACGGAAGACTTTCAAAGTCACATGACTATAGGATGACGTAGAAAGTGACGCCAGTTTGGTTCGCTATCTGCACTTCGGCTAGTTTTTTTTTACTTTAGAAAAGGGCAAATCAAACCTTATGCTTGACATAATTATTTTGTAAAGATTTCAGGAAGTATTATAATAGCAGAATACTTATGCTGTTATGAATACCCATAGATATAAATTTTAGAGGCTTCCAGCTATATATATATGTATTGATATATAAAGTAACAGGCCCCTAATATATTACTTGGTCTATATATTCCTATTATTAATGGGTTCAAAAAGTATTCTGGCACAAAAGTGTGCATTCTTATAATCTTAAATATCATTATACAAGAAACTAGGCCTATATATTTGATTTCTTATAGAGTGGAATCCATTTAAGATGAGAGAGTCTCTGAATAGAAGGCTCTAATATACAATGTTTCTACCTGAGATTGAGATGATTTGTACATATATATTTTTGAACTGCGATAAAGACACTGATCCAAAATACCGTTTCCGTTTCCTTATGTAAAATTTCCTTGAAGACTTTCTAAAAGGACATTTGTTTTATTTACACTTGGTTTACAGCCCAAAAGAAAATCCTGCTTTTTTAGTGTTATGGACACTACTTTGCTTCTTCTCGGGAATACCACCTGCAGTCTTAGCTCCTAATGTTTTAGCACCACTCAACGACTTCATGCCTCCCATCATCATTTTCATTTTAGCTCCTCCTGGTTTTGTCGGTCCAGTATTTATCCCAGAAGACGGTGGGGCCGTTAATTTCATCGACATATTCAGCTTAATCTTTCCTTGTTCGTCCTCCCGCTTAAGTTCACCAGACTTTTGCTCCAAAAGTCCACGCTCTTCGGCCAGTTTAGACGCCCGGTCTATCTGTTTCTGGAGCTGTTGTTGTTCTCGATCATCATCATCTTTCTGTGCTCTTTCTAACTTTTGGATAGCCGCCTAAGAATATATATATATTTAGTAATGAATTGGTTATTTAAGTAACTGCTTTTGTATTACCTGTCTTTCTAAAGCCTTTGGGCTATTATCAATCCAAGTTATATACCAGCCTTTTTCTGTCTCATCCACATGACAGATACTCTCTCGACCGAGATACTTCACAAATTCAGAAAGCGATGTCCATTTTGTAGCGTTCATGTGTAAATGTTCTCGATCAGATATGTATTCCTGGTAGACTTGATTTGCAAAAATTCTTTTGGTACCATGTCGCCGAGACAAGATGCTCAAGAAATCACTTTTGAATTGATCAGAGTAACTGTCGACATACTTTGCAGGATTCTCGGCAACAAGAAGCATCTGCCGTTGATGAGATTCTGACATCGTGTGGCATTTGAATCCATTCTCATCTCGACAAGCTTTCTCGCAAACTTGGCAGTAAAATTTGAGTTTAAGGAGACCCTTTGATTTGATGCGGTTTCCAATCGCCTTTGCGGTTAAGAATCCATCTTTACCCATGATTACGATGAAGAGGTGTGCGCAGAACTTTTGAGAGTGAGTCACGCATATACGGTAGAACAATTTCCCGCATATTAGAATGTGCAGCACCAAAATGACTGTGCTTCTTTAAGCACTCAGTTTCTGAGCTCAATCGTACCACATTAGGCGGACTTGACATGAAACGCGTACATGGGTGATGAGGTGTTATTGGGCGAAGGTGAAATATACAATTATATGTCTCCATTTTTTTTTAAGGAATTCCTTGGTTCCTCTGCTCTTTCTCCCTTTTTCTCTTTAGGGATGAAATTATGATCTACTCCTACAAATTCTCAAAATACGATACAGCTGTTTGGTACCCAACTCAAGAGCCTAGATAATAGCATCCATTAAAAGGGTTTCATAACCAATAACGACGCGTAAGTTGTTTTTTTTTATTCCTCTTATTTTTCCTGGTGAATATATGTTATGTATCTATGAGTATCAGTTGAGCTAAAATGCCTATAAATTATCGATTATTTGCTGTACCCAAATATCAAATTTTGATCAATGTGTTTTTGTGTATGTAGGTTAATCCTATTTGAAACTTGCTGTTTATTATAAGAAAAACAAAAATCGGTTGTGGAAAACAAAAAAAAAAGTGGAGTTTTACATTCTGTCAATGTGTTTGCAAAACCTTGGCACTTGAATATGCGAATTGAAAAGAAGGCTTTTTTTTGTAAATTCTTTATACAAGCATCATTTCCGCTGCCAATCCCACCATCGAAGGCTCCTTTCTGCTTTTCTCGTTGTACGGGGGGATATAAAGCAGGGTGTTTATATGAGGGGTAAAAAATAATATCCCTGCTGTTTTCTCTGCGTGCTTTCTACGCACTCCGGGATCGAGCAATTACGGCGAGTACATAATATTGTTCTGGGGTGGGTTGCTTGATGGAGTGGTAAGTAAGTATCGTTTTCATAACTCATTCTTAATACTTCATAAATCAAGTTCAACGGGTGACTCAATTATCGTTTTTTTATTACTATTATTAATAGCGAGTTACCTGCCATCGTCGCCCTCCTCTCCCCTCTTTAGTCGATGAGGAGAATTGTCTAAAGATGTATAAACAAAAAGCAAATCTTTAAAATTTTTACATATTTCGGATCATTAGAATTTCCCTGATTGTTTAAAGTCAATAAAAATAATTGATATCTTTCAGTAATATGTACGCTTAATAGAAATATAAGATTCGCTATAAGAAATTCAGTTAGTCATGGTTAACGTTGAGCCCCATCGTGCCCTGTATTATAGTTTAGACCTCTCATTCACTCGGTTAGAAACATTCCAAGATTTGACACTTCATACAAAGTCAGGAGTACGTTAGGACACTACCATTCGTACATCTTTGGACATATTTGGTATCACACGTCAGATGGTTTGGGAACACCACCAGCTATATATTTTGGTGGTACAGTATGCTCTATATCTATAACCTTCCACTTGATCGCATGATATCACATCCGATTCATATCTATTGCTTTCCGCTTTTCCGACGCCCTAGATCACATGCTCTCAAATGAACAGCATAACGATTAATGCATCAAATTTTTCATGTCGTTTTTCTAATGCCGCGCGTCTTTACATAAATATTTCTTTTTTGATAAGAATGATATTGCTGGGCGGTCTATGACTGTCTGGAACTAAGCAGATCACTCATACACACACAAATACTATGACAAGTCATTAAGGATTATCACAGGCTTACATAAAGGATTTATAGTCTTAATTTGAATTAGATGCGCAGTAATGTTAACTGTAATACTGTTGATCAATTACTTTTGCATGGTAATTTTTTTTTTAAAAAAAAATCTTGGACCCTCACTTTATATTGTGATAATACAGGGTACAGCCATATTTTTTCCATTTAAAGCCAAAATTTTATAGTACATACTTCTTTATATTTAACCCCACAATAAAACCCATGCAACTCTTGCAGACTTCCGATTTTTACACTTACTCTAGTAAAGCAGATTATGCTTATAATAATAATAATATTAAAATAAAATTGGTTTAACATGGAATATCATTAAAACTATTGTTTTTTAAAGGAGCTAAGCGTTTTTCTATATTCAGGGAGTAAGCGTGATAAGTGTTTAGGTTAATGGAGCCCCACTCTTTTGCCCCAACTCCTCTAGCTTGCCCAGAGTTGCAGACTGACGTTTGGGGAAGTGTACACAATCCTTAATATAAGTCCTAATGCTCTCTATAGAGCTTAAGTCAGGACTACTCAGCGGGCAAACCAGAAACATTTAACTTAACACGTTCCTTGTACACCTGTAACTTTTGCCTTGTGTCCTGGGGCACTGTTCTCCTGGAAAATATAGTTGCCACTTTATGCAGCTATAAAACTGCTCAAAAAGGCAACCGATGCTTTTCAAGAGCCTCAATATACTTGGGGTCATTCATATTGTCATCTAAAAATACAAGTAGATATTTCCCTCATGACACAATACACTCCCAAACTATAAATGTCCCTTCATTTTATACAAAGCCTTTGTGATTGTTTGTTTACTGGTAGATGCTTCTCTCTCAGCCTCGAGATTATATGTTATATCTGCTAAAGTGTGGAATCAATTTTTTCTAATATTTGATAGAATATAGCGAACTTTCTAGGTTTAATTAGCTTAGGCTTTTTAGGACTGTTCTTGTGAGCATTGGATCCCATTGTTTCGTATTTTGTCACCAAACGACTCATTATTCTTCTTGGAACGTTGACTATAGTGGAAATTTCAGAATCAACAATTCCTACAAGATAAAACCCTATAAATTCGCTTTTTCTCTATATTTGAGAGTTTCTTATGATATTTGTGAATGTTACTGCTTTGAGTTATAGGTATAATGGTAAAGATCTTTATTGAATTCAAGAGAGAGAGCAAATTATGGGAATTGATGAAAGAATATATAAACGGGGCTTTACATGTACAAAGAATATAACTACACCCAAATATTGCTGTTGTTGCGGATCCATTTATACAAGTATGGAAGCTTATGAATAAAGTACATAGGATGTACACCATACCTTGTTTGGTATTTCCTTTGACCTTCATTGAAAAATGATAATTGGGGTACTTGAAGTACTACGCAACCTTCCCGAACTCCATCTCCACTTGAACCCTTGTTTTTAACATTGCAGTATTGAATTCCTTTCTGCGGGCTAAAGACATACACGTCAGATTTGTACCACATTTATTAAAACTATGCTATTAGATTGCTTTGACTTTATTTTAAATGATTCGCCATCTTGAGCAATCTCATATGTCGTGAAAGGCCAGTAAATGTACATATACTTATCGTATGCTTGGTAACCATATAAAGCATACTTGAGATCTGAGTCATTTTCTGGCTGCATATGACCCACATGAACAATAAGTATTTCGAGTGTCTTTGATTGGTCAAACATTTTTGCGCCATGGCTAGTTCCAGCAAAAGGACCAAGGAGGCTGCTTTTTAGGACATCAGAAGTGACAAATCTCTTGTTAGACAATGGATATGCTATACATATAACATCCCATAAAATACACGGGTATTTAATAAGCTACATTTCTGTTTAAGCCATTTTTTTGTAATTTATATGTTGTCTTCCATCCACTGTACATAACTTTCTGTTTCTCGTTTTTCGTTGGGCAAGAAGTCTTTTGTATTGTACCGTCTATAAACCCAATTAGATTTGGGTACATACCACCTATAAAAAGAGATACAACAGAAGACGTGTTAAAACTGAATAAAGCAGTATAGGAGTATCTGTGATAAAAAACGTGTGATTACTTTTGCAAATATGGCAGCAAGAAATCTCTTGCAATTTTCTTCAGAGAATTGACGCGAGCCAAACTTCAACCCATGCTTAAATTTTCCAAAAGTAGGACTGGGAACTGGTTCACAGTACAAGCCAGATTCTTCTCGTTCATTCTCCACATTCTCTCTATCGAACAGTACAGATATGGGAATGAGTAGTTATACAAAACGAATGCAAAAGCGAATTAACACTGGACCTGTATAATTTATTTTTCGGGTTTAACACGTAGAAAATGACCCAAATTCATAAAAGCGCTCATTTTCTTTATCTAACATATAAAAAATGAGTAAGGGGTTTCGTTGATACTTTTACATATAAAAACATACATTTGCGAAGAATAGACTACCTCTAAAAGAGTAAAACGGAACTCTTGCTTGCATTCAATATCAGAAAGCTCTCTAATTTTTATACGTTTATAGTGTGCTTTCTTGGTTCTTGTTCTAGGTTACAATTCATCAGTGAGGGAAAGATACTATATCGGGTCAGGGCCAAGAAAAAGCATTTTTGTATTGCTATTGAAACACTGAATGTAATTTTATTTCTCATATAAATTTGGTAATGTAAGGCAGCGACATATATTCCGGCGCTGGATAGCAGTTTTTTATATTTAAGCAGCCCAGAATTTTCTGTGAAACAATATCTTTATTAAGTACCAGTGATTTTAAGGGCACAACGTTTCCAAGATAGAGAGCCGGGTTTTATTTTAGAGTATACTATTCTGAAATAGTATTCTAGGCAGTTCTTTTATTACACAGACACATATGTGTATAAAAGATAGAACTTACACTCGTAGTGTCAATATGTATTTACAAAAGTATATAATTAATATGGTATTCTTTATACTTATCTAAAGACATTATTCTGCCTTACATTAAAAAGTGTGTAAATTGTAGCAGCTGCTCATAAAGTTACTACAAGTCTACACCCTATCTACCATATCAAGTTTCTGCTGTGGTGTATCAGGCCAATAAACTTGACAAGAAGCGGGTTAATGGCCCGGGCTAAGGAACCAGGTTAATAATAGGTTACAATTTTTTGTTGAACTCGTCTTACACCATGTTATATTACCGTAGGATTACTCAACGGGATTTTTTGTATAGCCTTGAATTTTGAAAACAATATTATTGAAAGAAAAGACTTTTACCAACGTACAAAAAACCTGCATCCAAGAAAACGATGGTGAATTGTTACAAGCCCACACACTATCTATCTGTTAAAGTAACTTAATAATAATCTTAATGATAACATATGTACCATTAGGGACCAGAAATAAGAAAGGTTTGCAGAAATATCCTACTAAGCTCGCCTTTATTTTTACTTTAATATTGTTTTATACTCTTAAGAATGGAGTGTATTATAGCAGCTCTGAAAGGCTTGTAAAGAAGAACATGAACATTCTAAGTTAAAAAAACTATCACTCCCAAAGCTTCAGAGGTTTACTGTCTCAAAGATTAACGATAATCATAAAACTGAGAAATATTCAGCTGTATACTTTCAAAATATAAGAATAATAAGTCTTTAGAACACTATTGTTCTTCTTCAGATGAATATATATATATCAATTTTGAATTATTATCTCTTCACAAAAAGAAAGTGGAGTTCTGGGTTTTTGAAGAAGCAAACACAAAATACCTAGTGTATAGCTTGGTCAAATGAATCAATGAACCTATAAAATTATTGAATCATTATTTATAATTTCTAAACTTACCCTTTGTATTTTCTTTGTTTAGTTGCATATCTTATATCCTTTGATTTATTATCAGAAGATGCTTTGAATAATAAATACCTGTACACTTTTACACGACAATCCTTATGATGTATAATAAGCACATGAGCATATTACAGGATAATACTATCTAAAAAAAAAGCCGAGATATACTAGAGGAAATCAGCGACAGGCGAGTGATGATCAAAGAGAAAAAAAATTCTGGCGAATAATCCATAAAGTAAGGTACACCAGATATGATAATACTATCTAGTAGATAATGTGACTTGGGTATAATGATGCTTTTAGCTCAATGAAGAAAGGAAAATTGGATTGCAGAATCAAGAAAACTGCGGAAGACTTTATGAGCTGTACTCATCATTTTCCTTGCATATTGACTCGCCTTTTTATTACAGAGAACATTGCCACAAAGCTTCACAGAGCTTAGGTTAAATTTCTAAGCTTTAGAAAAATCTTTATTATGAATGCAATTTAATTGAGAGGTAATGCAAGGCATCCCAACGCAAGGGGTATCTGCAGCTCTATTGCAGCTACAAGTCACCGAAAATCAATATCCACACTTTCAACTTTTTTTTAAAAAAAAAACAAAACAGAAATAGAACAACTTCACAAATGCGTCCCTAATGTATTTATTCTTGCCAATGAACCGAAAACCACAATCAAGAGACGAGTGCCAAATAAGCCTGTGAAGCTATCAAAAACTTTGTATATATGTATATATATATATTAAAAAAGAAACTCACACATCTTTGTACAGTGCGATAAATTAACAGTAGTTATACTTGGTTTTATATGCTACATATTACTATTGAGTATTAAATATATATATATATTTATTTTTTTAGATAAATTGATGCATATATTTTAGTAACAATTTTTCGACAAAACTATCAATAAGCGCCTTTCAAAAAGAACAGAGACATTGCATAAACAAAGCAATGTTTTTTTGTTTGGAATAAAACAATACTTATTCATTTTCCTAATAGCCAGTGTTGTGTACAAAAATAGTAAGAGTAAGTACCAACCATGTTTGTTAAGTTTTGAACTCATGTTCACCAACTATCACACTTGGCCAAAACAAAACACAAACATTCCTAAATTAATAAAAGGCAAAATATTTAGAAAGAGCAGAACATTGTAATACGAGGTTTGTAACGCACAAAAAAAAAGAGCGGGTTATCCTGGGAAAATATGTATCTGTAGTCGACTTTAAAAAAGATTAGAGCTACATGTGAGAATTGGAGATTATAGGTGAATGATATGCTGGTTGATCTATCTTTTCGGCCGAATCAAATCAAAACCGAGTAATAAAATGCAGTCATAAATCATATGCTGTTTACAAGAAAACAATTGATTGCAGCTTTTGATAATATATATATATATATATAGTTCAAATAGAGATAAAATGGCAGACATTTTCTTGTGTGAACAAGAAGTATTTGAATTTAGTGTTTCCCACAGCTATCAAAAAAAAAAGGAATCCCGTGGGGAAGCACCCGGTTTAATTTTGATCTATTTATGTCATTAATGTTTATAAAGTCGATTGTCGTTTATTGAACTACTTGTGGGGATATATATGAGTACTTATTGCACAGTTGCTAAACAAGAATATATTAAACATTTAGAAAGGGACAGTCGAAGGGTTTAAGAAAGAAAAAAGAAGAAACCAGGACTATGCAGCCACAGGTTGCGGGGTTGCATAAAGAGCAGCTTGTACAGCATCTAACTGTGTATCGTTTTGGATCATTGCTATCTTTTCGTCTTCCTCAACCAGACCAATATTGGGATCCAATACACTCGATTCAAAGAGCAATTTTGAAGTTATTTGCGCAATTTCAGCTTGAGAAACTAAGCAATCTGCATTCTGGCTTGTAACTTCAATTGTTTCTCGTGCTTCTTTGATGGACTTGGCCATAAAATCGACAAAAGTGTGATCATACTTTTCAAACAGATGTCTGTCCTCCTGTGGGACAATCTCTTGTACAAAATACCAATCATGGACAAGGTCTTCTCTGTGTATGTCAACATTGAATTTACTGTCTTCCATAATTCTGCTTGCTGTACCCAGAATATCGTCTCGCATAACCTCTTGCTCTCCTACGTATACGGAAACATTCTTTGGGAAAAATCGATCGAAGCCGCTAGTGATGCCATAGAGACGGAATGATGGGATTTCTTCCTTCGTTTTATTGGGGAAATCGAGATATTCTTTAAATACAAGCTCTGCAAGCTGCGGAGATACAATATCGTGCTTGTTAGCCTCCCAGAGCCAGTTGTCTTTATCTCCTGACACCAAGGGCGAGAAAAGTGCCATACCAGCTGGCAATGTCGCCTTCATGTATTCACGCGGGGAATTGATATCATTTATAACATTTGGAGCATAGAATCTCATTAATGTTTCCATACAGAGAGCACCTCCAGCAGAGTCTCCTGCAAGGACGATCTTTGAAGCTGGTACATTTAATTCTTCGAGCAAATAACGATAGGCGTCCATGCATTCATGAATCTGTGTGGGGTATTTGTGTAATGGTGCCAGTCCTGTATCCAGATTGACGTTAGATTAGAGAAAAAGAAGTGTAAATGTCATAAATCTTTCAAATACTTGCCATATTCAATCGACACTATAACAGCGTTTATTCCGTGCTTCTTCTTTAGGAGAGTTAGCCATGTAGTGAAGTGTTTCATATACATAAGACAGTGACCAATTCTAAAGCCACCTCCTATAATAATAATAATAATAATAATAATAAAAGTTTAGTTTTCATTTAATCAATTTTTTTTTAAAAAAAAATAGGGGATAATCTTTTACCATGAACTTCATAGATAATCAAGTCTGCTGCTTTCACACGCTCCAACACTTCTTGCTGGTTGCATTCGCCAAGTCCAGGTGCAATCCAGGCACCTGTCCATGTGTCTTGTTTAATTCTACAAATCCAATTCTCCTCTTGTTGGGTAGGAGTGGTATAATCAGCGACTAAACGCTGTGCGACACTTGGAGGTAAAGCCAATATAAGGCGCATTGACTTGAGAACAATTGGAATAGGAACTGCGTTAAGCAGAGTAGATTTAACAAGTGCGCGAAGACTCTCCATTGTATATTTGGGTTTTTAAAAAGACTAGATAGATGAAGCAGTCGAACAATTGATTTCTTTTATGCTTGAAATTTTAAGAATATGCTGTGCACCCAGCCTTATTTCACCCCTGCCTTCAAGGGCTGTCTGGTTAGATCCAATTAGCCTTGTTGCATTAGAGCGGAGGTTGTGCCGACCAATGCTATCAAGACAGTCTCACAAAAGCAGCCAAAAAAAGCTACAGTAATACCAAACAAAAAATAATAAAAAAGTATTTATTTATATGTACTTACCCCAGCATTATGGGCACAAACAATACAGCCAAATACAGGTTGTTTCCAATTGTCACCTTTAATTTATAAATTTGTACTTTGTATTACAGTTAGATAAAAGCAGGCTTGGTGGTAGACGTACTAGATTCGTCTATCATAAGTGGCACGTATTCACAGAAGCCTGGCTAGCTCCATGTGCTTCCCCAGACGAATTCTCTTCATCTTCATCATTGTTTAGTGGCACGTAGCCCCCAAAAACCTCATGCTCCAAAGCAGCGCGACCATCATTGCGAATTGATTGATTGTACGACTTTCCAGGTGTGTCTTTGACTATGATTTGATAGTACTACATCATAGTTTTTAGCGCAAAGAAATTAAAGGGATCTTTGATTAACAACTTACCCAAAACACAGAACACACCAGCATGAAGACAATGGCTGAGACATATGGCACTACACGTGAAAAAAGATCAGGGATACATATCGGACACTTAATAAATATCTACCCCAATACGGATAATACGGGTTCTTGACAGGGATAAAGACAAAAATTAGGGCATAGATAGTAAAGCACAAGAATACTAGAACACACACTGAAAAGAGAAAAAAAGTTAGATAGTTGATATTAGCTTCAATTATCATTGGAATGAATACGATCTTACCCAAAGGAGCTACTATTGGTCTCTTGTTGAGCGGTTCTCTTTTCCTCAGAATGAGAACAGAAAGAGCAATTAGAGTATAAAATATCTAAAATTACAAAGAGACCCACATACCAGTCGTTAAACTAGATATTTTGAGAACAGTAATACATACATATACTGGATAGGCAGCAAATGCGACAATGAATTGATATACTGCACCAGGGGGTGGGACAACAGCAAAAAATATCGCAAGAAAATACTGAAGCAAGTAGGCATTCACAGGACTACTTGTAAGGGGGTGAACATGACCGAAAGTTCTTCCAAAGGGTAAAAGGCCATTTCTGGCTGTCTCCATAATAACCCTGAATTTTAATGAGTACACATGTGATTGATATTTGCACACAAATGAGAATCTATTATATCAACAAAAGAGAGTATACCTTCCGCCAGAGAAATTGATAGCTGCACCACATCCAAATGCACTTAGGCCAATAAATACAGGCAAAACTGTTGACGCAAAGCTTTCACCAAAACATTTTGTAAAGCTATAGATATATAATATATTTAAAGGTGTTTGTAGATACAGAATGTTGTGTGATGTAAAGTAAAGTGAAACAAGCTTACAATGCGGCTGCCACGATGAATTGCGAATTCTTCATAGATTCCATCGGGAGCACTACCAAATAAGCAATATTTGTCAAAATGTAGAGGAGAGCAGTAGAGCCTAATGCAGCAGCGGAGGCCTTAGGGAGGTTACGGATTGGATCCTATTACGAACAGTAATATGTTTGTCCATTTTAATGTATATGTTGAAAGATATACTCTTTTGGTAATTTACCTTTACTTCGTCTAGAATAAAATTTAAGTTATGCCACCCGCTGTAGCTGTTCATTACCTAGAATTGGGTATGAGAGAGAACCACTTTTCTGACAGCTATAGGAACTTACATAATACAAAGCAGATGCATAGGGTCCCAGAGTAGAAGCTGTACCGTGAAATGAAAGATTTTCTCCTGCATCTACGTCTGAAGGGATTGCTTTTACAAGGACCAGTACGCCAATGGTAGCAATCAATAAAAGAACCCCGATCTTTATTCCAGTCAAGCCAGCCATCATACTCATTGAGGCCTAGATTGATTCTGTTATTAAACACACTGATCGGAAAGTTTTTTTAAGAAGTAATAATAATATGAATAGTTTACTTTGGTTGAGAATATATTTGTAGCCATAAGGATTGTTGCACACAAAACTGTACAATATTGTAAGCATCAGAAATTGGGACCTCAATAACTTCTTTTTTTTTCCACTTACTAGCCCACCCTCTTTCTCCCCAACTTGACTTGAATGTTGAACCAAATAATGCATAGTTCATATAACCACCAAACACAATGCCTTGATATATGTATATGTATGAGTATGAGTATGAGTATGATTACATATTATATCTTATATATTTATAAAGCTTTTATTGTACCTTGGGCAGCTACACCGCTACCTCTATTCATCAGACTCCACCAGGTAAAAAGATACGCAAACAAATATTTTGGCTTTCTGTAACAATACTCCAAGTATCCAACCTCGCCTCCACTAATTACAATCAGACCATGTCTCTATCGCTGTTACCTGTCTCTCCTTTTATTTACATATATTATATACCTTCGAGGAAGCTAATGAATGAATAAATAAGGACAAGATTTTATTTAAAAGGTCAATTATAAAATATCATTTGTGCGAATAACCAATATTCCTCTTACCATTGTACCCAATTCAGCAAATGTCCAAGTTCCTGCCATAGCTATACCTGCACCAGCCAGCCATATCACCAAGTTCATTCCACCGGAGCCAACTAGCTGGAGGGTAAACGCCGGACCAGCAAATATGCCAGCGCCTATAATATAGCTCACATTGATCATAGCTCCCATAGCCCAGCCTATCTTGCGTTCGAGTCTCTGGTCTGAAAGAATGAAAGATGATTGGGTTTATGAATCATAATTGAGATGGCAATGTAGGTTCTGATTCTCACCTCCAATGGCAAGTGGCTCAAGATGGTTGATTTGGTCAGCATAGTTTGGATTAGCATCATGACCATTATCCTCAACAGAGTTACGAGTCATGCTTAAACGGAAGCTTGATTTAAAGCTTGGATTTTTTTATACTTTATTTTATTTTATTTATGGGATAAATATTTCCTCAAAAATCGGATATTTAATCTCTAGCTTATATATTTTTTTATTGCTCTTTGAAAAGATAAGATAGAACAGATACAGGTACAGGTACAGATAAAGAAAAGTAAAAACAAAAACAAAAACAAAAACAAAAAATAGAAGAAGTATAATACATTATCTGTACTGAGAGAATAAGACAGTACAATTTTCTTTAATAATAATAATAATAATTGGACAACTGAAAAAATTAAGATATGAAATTTGACTTATCAAGTATACCTTATAATCTACACCGGCTACAAAACTTTATTATGTGATCCAATGTAATCTCTCTATGTGTATATGTGTTTGGATGTTATTAACGGGGTACTATGTTGAAACAAGTGTCACATTTGGCCATGTCTATATTTGAACGCCCATGTCACAAAGAATATGTGGAATTAACGGGTATCAAAATAATAATAATCGTAATAGGATACTCTACTTCTGCTTTAAATAAACTTTGTTTTGTTTTGAGATGAAAAAGAATATCAGACAAGTATAATTCTGATAATATTATTAGTGTGAAAAAGAAAATAACGCATTAAGCTGTAACATGAGTAAGTTTCAAGTGCTTTGAAGATCAAAAGATTTCCTAGATGATTTCACGACCCCCCTCCCCTTTTCTTCTTCTTTTTCATTATGACACAAAAATGTATTTTTAATAATACAAATTTAGCGAAGAGACTGTTAGGATAATTAGATCTGTATGCCTTAATATTATTATGGTATTGAACATAATAACGAATCAATATTGTCAATAAAATTCACATTGCTATCTAGCATAGCAGAATAATAATAATAATAATAATAATAATAATAATAAAAGTGATATTTAAAGTCTTTACCAAGTAGCATTTGACTGAAATGTTTCTCAGGTTCAACACCAGAAATATCACTTTTTTATTATTAAAGTTTTAAAACTTTGAAGATCTGTAAATAAATGATACACATCTTGGAAAATCAATTGGCGTTTCATATATATATGTGTGTGTGTGTGTGTGTGTAAAACGGAGCTCGAGGCCAGCAACTGCGACAACTCATTCTTGGTCCGCTTGGAACGATGGTCTGTGCACACACAAACTATATAAATGCAGTTATAAATGGTTTGTTTGATGATTATAAAGCGACATTCAAGAGCCTTTAGTATTCAACTTTGATAGAGCCTTATAAGTACCCCAAAGATACCTGTATTAGTCTTGACACGAGGTATGGCTGAATGTCTTGGAAATAAAATCAACCAATAAAGTTGTGCTTTGGGTTGTTCAAAATTTAACCGTGGCTTGTTCAAGTTTTGAATCAGGAACACCGGTCTTCTTGTTTATATAGCTTAATCTAATGAAGATACATACACCAAATATATAAAGCACCCACATAATTGATTATTCTTATTAACAAAAAGCATACGTCTTATTGATCAATAGAACTTGATATATGTATTTTTCTCTTAAAAAGGTTGAATACCTTTCTTGAACACATTTGGTTTGAACTTTGACATTTCCCACCTAAAAACCATTTAATATAGAGCATATCTTGTACACCTGAGCTAATAAAGTTTATCTTGTGATTACTTGAAACAATAAAAAGCTCTAGCTCACTACCAATATATATATATATATATTGCGAGTAGATCTCAATGCTACCTACAAGATCAATGGTCTATAAATTCAAATCCAAGAGTTTTTGGCTGCACAGCCAAGTGGTTTGGATTATCTCTCTTTCTCTCTCTTGTATACATAGTATAGTTTAGTAGTGATAGTAATGTTACTTTGTTAAATTTTTTGGTATTATAGTAGTAACAATCTTTTAGCTAGTCTTACATTTCTTTATTTATCGTAAAAATAATAATATTATTAAGTTATGCTCAAGATAATATATTAATAACAAAAACTCAATTCAAATCTACGCATAAAAGTGGATATAACAACTGCTTTTTTAGAGCATATAATTTAATTTTTATATACAATTGGGTACATAATAGTCTAGTACCCAATTGAAATATCAAATGACCTTATAACAACCTCTTTAGACATCAAAGGTTTTATTTTTCTTCTTGGTTCACCATACATTATTATTTAAAAAAATATGGTAAAATTATCAACCTAATAAACCTATATGATTGGCTTGAAAGCATTTACCATTGTCGGAATATCTAAAAAAAAAATGATACTCTCCAGTGCAAAAGAATTTAATTTTGAATGGTCACATTCCTTTTTTGGGAATGACACAAGGTGAATTTCCAAGTCCTCGCTTCACTGAAGAACAAGACAAGACAATTAGTCTTCCTTCTTTATTTATATCTATTCCTCAACCTCTTACCTTTTTTATTTATATATATATATAATCGTTTATGTCTGACGCAAAGTACTTTCAAAGAGGTAAAGGCAATACTTTCCAATTGAAGTTTTGAAATATACGTACCTCGCGCAAACTTCAACAAAAAGAAAAGAAAAAAGCAAGCAAGCAAGAAAACAAACAAACAAATGAAATAAATAATAGTCATCAGTACATTAACATTCTGTGAGAAACTTTAGGCAAGATTCAGGAGCTTCGGGCAGAGCTCAATTCAGAGAAGCGCGACCCTAAGCATCAGCGCAAGAAGACAGTGATGAAGAAGATTGTTGCCAACATGACTATGGGCAACGACATGTCACTGCTATTCCCGGACATTCTGAATGTAATGAATGTTCCAATCCTCGAAATCAAAAAGATGGTCTATCTCTACTTGATCAACTATGCACGAAGCAAACCTGACATGGCTATGATGGCAATTACCATGTTTATCAAGGTAAGCCTGTTAAACAAAGATATTTATCATTTCATACATATATACATTATATGAAAAAAATATCATTCGGTACCTGGATAAATAAACACCCACATAATTATAGGATGTCGAAGACCCCAACCCATTAATCAGAGCATTGGCTATCCGTACCATGGGATATATACAAGTAGAGAAAATAGTCGATTGTCTCGTAGATCCATTGCGACACTGCCTGCGTGATAGGGATCCTTATGTCCGCAAGACAGCTGCAATTTGCGTAGCCAAACTATACATGTATGACAATGTGCTTGTAGAGAGTGAACATTTTATCGATATGTTGAGAGAACTCTTGACCGATCCTAACCCAACTGTAAGTATTATTGATCAATTTTAATTTTGTTATCTTGTATATATATATATATATATTAATCAATTTCTAATGTGTATTTATTTATTTTTGGTATAAAGGTGGTTGCCAATGCTGTCGCTGCATTGACTGAAATATCAGAAAGGTCTGAAAATACTCAACTCAAATTGAACCACTCAATTGCCAACAAACTCGCAGCCGCATTAAACGAATGCTCAGAGTAAGCAAAATTATGATTCTTTGTTGTTGTTTGTGCCCTAATCACAGAATAAATGTTTTCAGGTGGGGGCAGACTTATATCCTTGAGGCATTGATGTATTATGTACCTCAAGAAGCAGGTGATGCTGAAATGCTTGCCGAACGAATTGCCCCCCGTCTTCAACACGCTAATTCTGCCGTTGTCCTGACGTGTGTCAAGGTGATGATGTACCTGATGAACTATATGAAAAATGAAGCCGACGTGAATGCATTCTGTCGTAAATTGAGTCCTCCTCTTGGTAATTATTTTTATACCATATATATATATATAAGTACGATTAAATCCAACGATCTTGCATTTACAGTGACCCTCTTGTCATCCGGACCTGAAGTACAATACGTAGCTCTTCGTAACATTCTGTTGGTTATTCAGCGAAGGCCTGAAGTTCTTAGAAACGATATGAAAGTCTTCTTTTGCAAATACAATGATCCTATCTATGTCAAACTCGCAAAACTCGAAATTATCTTTAGACTTGCAAATGCCCAAAGTGTAGACCAAGTATTGAGTGAATTGACAGAGTAAGTTACTATTGAACGTGAGAGAATTTAAGCATTATTTTAATCCAATATAATATCCTACTTACCCAAAAAACAAAAAGGTATGCAGCTGAAGTTGATGTTGACTTTGTTCGCAAAGCGGTGCGCTCTATTGGAAGATTGGCTGTAAAGATCGAAAGTGCGGCTGAGCGCTGTATTACTGCTCTTTTGGATCTAATCCATACAAAGGTGAACTATGTGGTACAGGAGGCAATCGTTGTAATCAGGGTAAGAACACACAAAGGAAGAGAGAAGGAAATATTTATACATTTAGATACTCATGTGGTATTATTATGATAATTTTTTTAGGATATTTTCCGCAAATACCCAAACCAATACGAGAGTATCATTGGTACATTGTGTGAGAACCTTGATAACTTGGATGAGCCAGAAGCCAAGGCTGCAATGATTTGGATTATTGGTCAATACGCAGACAGAATTGAAAATGCAGACGTATTGCTAGATGACTTTTTATACACATTCTTGGAAGAACCAGTAGAGGTACATATTTTCTCCAAACTAAATAATAATATTAAAAAGAAAGAAGAGGGGGGGAGGAAGACATATTGTTAGTGAAAAGGATAAGGTATTGATTTTTGAGAGATTTACAGGTACAAATGGCATTACTGACAGCCACCGTAAAGCTGTTCATTAAGCGACCGACTGCTGGACAGGATCTGGTTCCAAAAGTGTTGAAATGGGCAACAGAAGAGGCTGTAAACCCAGACTTGCGTGATAGAGGATACATTTATTGGCGTCTTCTCTCTACAGATCCTGCGGCAGCAAAGGTAAATACAATAATGACAATAATAATAAACCGGACTACAAATATAGTTTCATTTTCTGTTTAGTAACCTTACTCATGTTTCTGTAAATTTAGGCTATAGTATTGTCAGATAAGCCATCTATTTCAACGGAGAGTGATAATATGGATCCAGCGTTCCTGAATGAACTACTTCTCCATATTTCCAGTTTGGCATCAATATATCACAAAAGCCCAACCACCTTTATCAGTCATTACAAGCCACGATTCTTAATACCATCTCCTGCTCTCCAACTCCCAGATAGTCCCTCCACATTCAGTTTGCAACCTCTGCAACCACAGCAACCACAGCAACCACAGCAGACCCAAATGAGAATGCAACAGCCTGGCTCATTCAATGACCTAGGCTATAATAATGTAGCAGCTAATAGGTAAATTTAAATAGGGCACAACTCATCAAAATTAAATTACATTACATTATATCGTATCCCATCCACTGTCTATTGTTTTCTAGCTCAGTGTAGCTCACTTTCTTTTTCTTTCTTTTTCTTGTATGGAAACAATTCTCACTAGGCAATCGTTCACTGGTATCAATGGTTACCAGACAGAGAACCCATACGCAACGGATGTAGTTAATCCATCCAATGCAATGACCAACCAACATTCAGTTAGTAACAGTGATCTGTTACTTGATCTATAAAATAAATGGCTGAAATATTCAGTCATGTGGAGTATGATTTGTAGCATTATATAAATTTGTAACAAGTGGATTTGGATAAAAAGAAAAGAAAAGAAAATAATTAAAAACATGTCTGTGTATATAAGCATGAGATGGGTAGTTGTATCTTTGTGTGTAGGTGTAGGTGTAGGTGTAGGTGTAGGTGTAGGTGTAGGTGTAGGTGTAGGTGGATGTGGTTGGCTTTTGTCGTTGTTTTATATTACTGGTTTTTGCCCGTGGCCTTGGTGCTGTTAATGATGATGTTGTTGTTATTTTTGTTGTTGTTGTATTATTCACACTTGACCATATATTGGCCATTTATTGAGTTTGTTCTTGTCCACCGTTTGGACTGTTACTCAATTGTCCACCGTGCATCTTTGTAAGATCTTCATAATATTTTATCCGCTTCTTATATTCGGCTTCTTTGGCGCACATACTCCGCTTATCTGACTCCAACAAGGCATTACTCAATACCAATTTTGCATTCTCTGCCTGAAGCTGGTTCACTCGATGCTCGAGGTGTTCAATCTTTAATAACTTCTTCATCCTTGATCTCCGTGCCGCTGATGCATTCTACAACCCCAAAAGAAAATTAGTCAGATTGAAGGAGTTTTACGACCAAGAATCCAATTTGAAATAAAATAAATAAATAAATAAATGAATGAAAGAAAAGGGAGCTTCCACCTTTCTACGTTTAAGTGTGTCTTCGTCCAACATGCCATCTTCTCCAGGTTCTGGTTCAGGCAGTTTTCGAATACCGCGTGGTTTGGGTAATGGTCTTGTCGAAACAACTGTCTCAGGTTCTTCTTGTGGATGGAGATCAACAGGAGGTGTGTCGTTTCCTCCCCAAGAAATATTAAAGCTTGTTGAGTCAACCACTACTGGTACTGATCCAGGCACACGAGACGCCCGGTCAAAATCTGTCTGGGGACGTGTCTCGTAAAAATCGTTTTTAGGCATTTCATTAGGAGAGCTGTTAGTGTAGTCTTGGTCTGATTCATGAGGAATTGAGAATGTCTTGACATTATCCCAAAGAAAATCTGGGTCTGTTCCGCTCTTGATCGTGTGTGGAGACACGCTTTGGGAATCTTGGTGTGAGTGGTGTAATCCATGGGAATCGTAATCGTGATCATGATCTACATCTTCTGTAAAAATCATAAGAGAAGTATTTGGTTGGATACTAGCGTCCTGTCCCAGCGGAGGGAAGAGACAGACGTTTGTATTATGTGCTCCGTCTAATTGATTATCTCTAACGTCTCGTTGATCGTTCATTATAAGAGTTTGGTGGACAAAAAATGGAAGAATTAATATGTATATATATAAGGTAAAATTGGTATTGATATTATAAAGATATATATAAAAGAAGAAGTAAAAGAGGAATTGATTTCTTGATAGTACTTTCAATGAGTCAATGTGACTGTAGTTTTGTTGGGGATTAAGAGGGGGGTATTCTTTTCTGGATAGTCATATTTCTTATTTTATTCATGTTTGGACTACTGAGGTATTCTCACTTGTATCTATTGGAATATCATATGTATATAGATGAGGGAGAGAAATGGAACTTTAATAAAATGAAGAAAATTGCTAATTTATTATCTCTTATTCTGTTTCCTATATAAACTGATTCTCAAGATATTACTGTAAAATACAAGTTTAAGTTTTATAAGCTTCAATTTGATATGCTTCTGTGTGTGCAAATGGATATACAATGAAAACGGTAAATTTTGTCTCTTTGAAAAAATCAATGGTGTTCTCCAGCATACGGGCCAAATTATTTAAGAATGGAAAAAAGTGAAGAATTACAAATTTAGCTTCAAATTATTTTATGTAGTAAGTTTTATGGCATCACTTTCACTTTGGGGGTACTCAGCCAGATTGATCGATAAAATTCTTGTGGGAGTTTTAGCCAATGATATCAATTTTTAGTTGAAGACACCAAAAGACAAAAGTACAAAATTCATAGAATAGAATAGACTTTTGCACAATCTTATTTCTTCTTTGAGCCAATATGCACCTAAACTCTCGAAGAAGCAAAGTGTTTTTTCCTTTGACTCAAGATCTGGCAATATATTGTCAACCTTGTGCATGTATTTATTGGCTTTAAGTGTTTGCTCAAGCTCCTTCACGGCAGCTATCTGCTCCAACTTTACATCAACTTCCTTTTCGATTACTTCTAAAATATCCTTAATAAATTCGCCAGTAATCTTACGGGGACGACGTTCCTTGATGGGGAACGACGTTTCTATATAACCGGACTAGTTAATTATGACTACCTGTCTGGACTGGTACCTTTCTCTAATCCTTCAGGGCAAAACGATGTGTCCTGAAAAAACGTAATATATTTATTGTACACATTAGCTTACTACTTTGTCACCACATTTTGTGTTAATCTCTCTCTCTCTCTCTCTCTCCAAACACCTAACTCTCATTCTTTTAAGGGTTAAAGTCTGTATTTGGGTAACTTAATAATGAAATACTGTCTCATACGAAAAACAAAACCTGTATATTCAATTAACAGCAGTTTGCGTCTTAAATTTAGAATTAACAATAAATAAATAATAATTAGTCGCATATATACTATATCAATAGCCAGTTATGCAGAACAGTATGAGTTGTTGTCATTAGAGTGTGACGCAATATTGTTGAATATTTTACTATGTATTGGCCTTCTCACGCGTATCATGTCTTTGCCTTTCTTTTACCTACTTATATTCTCAGAGTATAACACCACCAACCGGTAAGTAATTCCTTCTCATCCCTTTTTTTTCTGAAAAGCACAAAAGAGAGTCTTTATACGAATACTATGTGTGCTTAGGGAACAAATAGAATGATTTAATCCCGGCAAAAAGGTCACGGTTTGTGATCCGGTAGAATCAAAGTGCTGTATCCCACCAGGAAAGTCTTTCCCCTTAAAAAAAGCGATAAACTATTAAGAAGAAAGATAAAAACAATAAGAATTCAGCCGGTCAGAGAGCCGTACGTTTTTCGATCAAGATTTGATCGAAATTTGATCTTTCAAAAAGACGTACAAATTTTGATCGTCGCTATTGCAATTGTAGGCCAATAATATTGCTTCCTAAATTTGAAATTCGATCGATCAATCTGGCTGACTACCCCCAGTAACTTAAAAATGCAAGTTTTTGGATGCCAGATTGTCGACTCTTATCCATAAATCAATTTATGAATAACTTAGAGGTGGATTTCTCAACTCAAGAGGTATCTTATTTAGCAGTCATTGTGGATGATATTCAAACCAGGCAAAAGTTGACTATCGATACTTAACTGGGTCTCCTTCTCAAAGCCAAAACCATGGATCCTGTCAAAGCAGCTCTGGTACGTGGTATTGCAAATTTGTAAGTCTATATAAATTGGAGGGGGAGGGGAGGGGAGGGGAGGAAAAATGAAAAAAAGAAAGATAGAAAGAAAAAAAGTACGTATACTATACTAACTCCTTCCACATAGTGTGGTCAAACTCCCTACCCGAGAAGTTGCTGACATGGATTCCATTGGAAAAACTGAATTGTAATCAACTTACTTTGATTCCGTGCTGGTGTCCATCCTCTCAAGCCCTCAACAGAATGTCGTCTTGCGCTGGGAAAACAAGAATGAAGAAGTATCAGATATCCGCCCTGACGCTGCCATCTCTACTATCGTCCAATCAAAGTATGGTCGCCCTTTGGACTTTGGCGAGGTGAAACCAGGTAACTCCTCAACAAAAAGAACACTCATTCTGCATAGACACCCTTCGCCTAGCAATATTATCGAAAGACACTAATGATCGTTACAGTCAGGATGTCTGCTTTGCCTTTCAAGTCAACGGTATGCACTAACAGCAAAAGCAAAAAAAAACAAAAGCGAAAGCAAAAGCAAAGAAACTTACCATCAATTGTTAAGGCTACCGGATATCGTTTTTCATGGTATACATGCAACACCAAGATTTGTATATCATGGTGGAAGTAGCGTCATTTAACTTCCCTAGCTCCCTGGATGACCTTGATAAATTGACAACTAAGAAGAATTTATGCACATTGGCGCGAGTCAGTTCCTCGTTTTGGAACAACAGTATTAACCTGCTCAAATCGCCTATATCCTCGTCACCTCGTTTGCCCATATCTACTCTGTATCAATTAATTGAAAAGTCCCACAAGAAGAGTATCAGAACAACATCCTGTTATTAGTATTCTTACCGCCACTTCCCTTTTCATTATATAAATACCTTTGCATTTTGTTGTTTAATAAACACAATAGATAAACAGCGTCAAAGTATTTTTATCATTATCATTTTATTTTTCTTATGAAATATCACATGTACTTTTGAAGGAATAGAAAGATCACAATAAGTTAAACCAAATTGTCCTAAAAAAATAATCAGGAAAACGTTTATAACGAGTAAAGGATAAAAGTTTTTGACCCTATGGAGGATATTCTAACGTTGTTCTGGAAAATATAACCATACATAGCTCGTATTTGGAAGCTTTCAAGTCTATTGAGGAAAAGAGAGTTATGATAAGTGACGATATATGTAAGTACCAAGAGTCGCTACCAAATTAAAATAGAAGCAGAATATGTACAGCAGTTATAGCAATAGAGCAAGAGAAGTGTCTTTAGATAGAATGTTGGAAAGTACTGAAGAAAGAGGAAGCATAGTTCGGTTCGCAAAGGAGCTTGGTGTTGAAATTCGTACTGCCTGACGATGGTGGGAAACTTTATCGGGAAACAGATGAAGTGCCATACAAACTTTCAAAAAAATAAAAATGACATTGGCCGCCCAAGCTCTTTCACGACTTCGCTAGATATTCTGAACGGCAAACCATTCATTGTTATAATAAAACTCCATTCTAAAGTCAAAGGTAATATAAACAAGCATCATTCTTTTATTTTAAAACAATCATTTTTATTAAAGTGACAAAATTTACCGTTTTCACTGTATTCGAATTTTTAGGTGATCAAAGTTAAGACTTTGCAAGTGGTCTCTGTGTACCCACTGCAACCCTTAACAAATTACTCGTTTTAGATTTATTTATGTGACTAAAGAATAGGTAATATATATATATATATACATATACATAATACAGTTGGATTAAACTGTTAAATGGGCTTTTTCTGTTGTCAACCTATCATTATTTTCGAATGGTGGCTTGAGATAGTAAAACTAAAATGGGAAAAAACAGAAAGTTGATACTGTGGCTAGTAATTGAAATATGTGTTGGAATTGGCCAGTGAATTATCTGTATAATATATACTTTGTGTGATTTGTGTTATTTAATTAAATACAATTTGTATGTATTTTAGAAAACAGGTTGAATCAGTATACCTTTGGTGTATTGATGCACATTTTAGCTGTAAAGAATGTCTTGACTTCTTTCTTTCTTGTACTATAACTATATAGTACATGTATGAAGGTAATACATTGAATTAGGTATTGATGGTTGAAATATGAATGTCTTGACTGTTGGCCAATTATTCTCCTATAAGCTACAACAGAGTTTTAAGATATATATATATATATATACTAGGTTGTGTTTGTTTGGATTTATCCAGATAGATTATATAATAGCTAGTTCTTTTTCTCTTTAACTGTTTATACGTAATACACCATTAAAAAAAAAGTATTGGTTGGTATCTTGTGGTTTTCTTCTTATTCTACTTCTTCTAAACAATGTATTCACTTAAATGTATGTAAGTATCGGGGAATAATAGATAGAGAGTCAGCTTTATGTTAATTAGCTTTCGATTCAAAATATTTAATCCTGGTACTATTCATTGAAACTGCCTATTATTAATTATTGGATAAAGACAAAATTTCTATTGCTCTCTTTATCTGAACAATAATAAGCAAAAACAAGAGCTGATATATAAAATATCTCATTTAGCATGATTTCTTTGTCAAGACTATTATTTGAATATGATTATCACAAAACAAAGCAAATAAATAAATGCAAAATACTCACAAATACGCACCAGTATATACACATTCATACAGAGCAACATTGACTTGAGAAGTTTAGTGTGGCCACATTTTCTATTAGTATTATTATTTCGGAAGGTGAAAAACAACTGGATTCCTGGAAATTGTAATCATATCCCTTTCGTTTTTCTCTTATTATTATTTATTTACTTTTCTTCCTTTCTCTCGTAAACCACAAATCTACAGCTACACACATACACATTTGTACGTTTGGTTCAAGTGCAGAACTAGAGTATAGCCACCGCTAGTATGAACAAGATAAAGAACACCTTATTTCACTCCAAGAACAAAGATGAAAAAAATCGCAAAGCACATCATCTTGGAGAAAGAAGTATCAGTGACCCAGTTTTATCTCAAGCATCAATATCCGAACCAGAGCCTTCAACAGACGTTCCTGAAGTGGGTATAGAGAACCTTACTGATATCGAGCAGCAGATCTACACGGTCTGGTGGAACGAACTCGATCCATATTCTCTTGGCCACCTTGACAATAAAGCTCTTTTAAAGTTCTTGGTTGGATGCAACTTGGAATATCAAAAACTAGGGCAGGTATAATACAGCAAATAAATAAATAAATAAATAAATAAAAGAACATTATATATTTATACTAATATTAAATATTGACCATTACATATAGATTTTGGCCTTATTTGACAAGGTTACAGATGGCTTGACTGAATCTCAGTTTTATGCTGTGCTCAGACTTGTGTCTCATGCACAGAATGGCAGGGCAATCCACCGAGATCTCTGCTATTTAGGTGGTAAGTTTTGTAAATATAATACAATACAATATAATATATATAGTGGTTTTCTTGATTTAAAGACAAATCTTGAAAATAAAAAGTTCAAATGTTAACTATTGATCAACAGCATCTGTACCCCACTTTGTTGCGAGTCCTAAAAGCGCAAATATTGAACAGGCAAGTCAAGGCTTATTTATACATCATCAAATAACTAACCATATATATATATATATAATAGGGCGATCACACAACTTATGACTCGTTACAATGGAATTCTAGCATAAATCCTGTGCCGTATGTTCCGCAAAATTGTCATGAAACATATGTTGGATCATATGGTGGACCAGCTTCTGATGCCCAGAGAGCATATCCACAAGTCATCTTCCAACCTCCCAATCAAAGCATCAACCATCAGATATCTCCAGTAAATGGTGGCCTAATGAACCATCCACAGGAAGTATTTATTCCTGCCACGATTCCTATAGCTGAGCTAGTCCACACACCGATTATTACTTGGACAAGTGGACCTAATAATAATAATAATAATAATAGTGATAGTAGTAATAATCAGCATCAGAAACAAGAAGAAGAAGAAGAAGGAGAAGAAGGAGAACCCTGTATGGCTTATCCATCGTCTGCTGCAATTGTTGCCTTGTCAGAAAAGAATCATCAAAGGCACCAAGCACAGCACATACGTTCAAAGTCAGTACCGGACAACATGATGGCTTATGAGTCAGAGTTAGAGAATGATAGCTATGCACCTGATCACCACTCAGCACAGGATCCGTCCGGAACTCCCACCAGTATGTCCTCTCCATCAGAAAGATATTACGAATTTATTGAATACACAGAACCGCAGTCTACGCCACGAAATTCGATGCTATTGACTCAATCGTACAATCCACCTGTAAGTAGCATTAGATAGATAAATGATTGAGGTGTGGTTTATATATTCTACCAAAGTGAAGCCTTGATTATTTACTACTCATATACATATACATATTACTATTACTATTACTATTATTCTTTATTATAATTATATCGTAATTATCGTAATTATGATTCCTATTGCTCTTGTTCTTCTTGTTGTTAAAATTTTGTAGCCTAATGCTGATTATGATGAATTGGGTAGCCCTTTTAAAGACCCTCCCGAGAGTATGACTTTTGGGTCATTTAATGAAAATGGTCTCTTTCCCAACCAACAGCCCAATGTGTTTGATATTCCTCCTCCACATGTACCTTGTCAATCTACCAAACCAAAACTATTACTACATACTAAACGAGTCTCTTGTTGATTAATATTACTTTTGTATAATAATAATAATAATAATAAATGTAAGCCAAACCAGTATGATTCAAAGTAGTAAAGACTCTTTTATATGTATATGTATATTTCTCAACAAAACTATAAAATTAAATTAAAATCAATCTGACTTGACTGTGCTGATAAACATGACGTAATAAATAGTGAGGTCTTGAGATTTCATAGTTTTGCATTGATCTATAAATGATTTCTTGTTATTGATTTTTGTTGACAATTAATTAAATAATTAATTAATAAACTTACTATTAAACGCCTGATTTTTTTTCAAGAAAATAAAAATGAGTGAATAAATGAATTTGTACAATGTTTGTATGGAATTCTTTTCTGATAATAATAATAATACTAATAAATGTAAATTTACCTCGGTTATACGGTCAATTAAACCTCATTTTACGGAAGTCTTTCCGAAATCCCAAAGATTGGCTGATGTCATTTAGGGCATAAAGGTTAAAGGGATATTAAAAAAAACAGCAAAAAAAAACAACAATACCAGCAGCAGCAGCAGCAGCAGCAGCAGCAATAGCAGCAATAGTAAAAAATAATATATATTATTATTATTTTTAAAAAAAAATTAAAATTTACTTGGTGTAATCCTGATAAGACCACTAACAATCTTTCTACTAACAAAACACCCTATTTTATTTTATGTTGGTTTACTTTACTGAGTAGGCTTTGTCGTTTAGCTTTAGTTATATAAAAGGTGATTTTGAGCGTGCGTGTTCTTGTGTGGGTATATTTGTATATATCGTGTACAGTATCAGTACCAATAGAACAAAAAAGAAAAGAAAAGAAAAGCCAAACCAATCCTTTCTCACCCTTATTTTCCCTCTTTCCCCGGTTTAGATCTCAATTTGCGATAATGAGTATAAAATAATAAGAATATGGCATACTAAGTACTAAGTGCTAAGTAGCAAGTAGCAAGTACCAAAATGTGCTGTAACAAGGAAACAGGAGATAAATATATATAATACATTTATTCCAATAATCTGTTATCGATATTCATCTTCCGATATCCGATATCCTTCCAAATCAGGAAGAATAATCTCCACACATAGAAATATTTATGTACGGTGTGTGTATGTGACAAATGTTGCGTGACTGATCTTTATCCTTTATCCAATCCATCAATGCGATATAAAAAGGGTTGTATCCGCTTCCGTTAAATCTACTTTCTCTTTTCTTTATTAAAAATTAAATTAAATAAGTTAAATACTACCCAATCATGAACCCATTTACCTTACCACCAGAGATCATCGCCATCATCCTCTCCAACGTCAGCCTTAAAGATCTTGTACGAATCGAACGAACCTCAAAAAAGATCCAATCGTTTTGTCTTTGGGAAATCGGACGACGCATTAAAGCAGGATCTTCCATTGACGCATGGGCCATTCTGGTAAAAACAAAACAAATAATAGCCTATTTATTAATAATCAATTAAACAATTTTCTTTTATATCATTAGATTCATCTTGGTCAGACAAAGGCAATCCCAACAAGATTCGACCCTAAATCAAAAATGGTATATTATTCAGTACCAATGGATCCAATCGAAATACACGCCATGTTCGATCACAGACGTCAGATACCTTGCTTTGTGTTCTGCAAAGAAAGCAGTCAGGGCCAGCCGATCAGTGATCCGGCAAATCAAGACGACTTTAATATCACTGTCGAACAAGGAATGGTCGAAGGAAAGACAGTCGAAGTAGACGTAAAAGGAAAGCTGTGTCAGATACATGCAGCATTAACCAGAGTCCCAACCCCCTTATCGTCACCCACTATCGAAAAGACAAATCAAGAAACAATGGATGTCCAGCCAATCGCACCATCTCCACTAACCTACATTGTCAAAGTAACCGAAATGTGTTTACCATTGTCACATTTGTCTGCACACTAAAACCCCTAATAGACATTACCTATCTATCTATCTATCTATATATATAGCTATTCTTTCTTTCTTTAAAAAGAATTAGCTTGTAAATATTCAATTGTACATAATAATTACCTCCACCTCAATTTTTCACTTTAATTTCCCCTCCTCTTTCTTTATACTTCTTTAAAACATAAATCTTATCAAGTCATTAATTATTAATTATAACAATATACCTCTTTTAAACAAAGCAAGATATACATACGTACAAATTAAATGTGGTTGTAAATGACTATCAAATAAAAATAAATCTATACAATTTTTATTTTATTTTAAATATCTTTTTTGGAATCATTTGTATTTTCTGCTACAGCCAGATCATTAACAGGTTCTGGTGTATTGATATCATTGGGTGGATCTGTTACTGTTGTGAGCATATAGGCCGCTGCAGCCTGAGCAATACCGTATCCGATAAAACCAACATAGGGGATGCGGATAATAATGTATGCAATGGCCGAGAACCCAAACAAGATATCTTTCCGCCCGCTAAACCATTTCCGTTTCTCAGAGTGAGACATATTCATCCTAGCAAAATATGGCTCTAGTAATTCGCGTGTCAAGGATCGCATGCCAATCAAAGCTCGGACCAGGCGCATTACTGCCCACCGTGGTAAAAAGAAAAAACAGAGTCCAACAGCTATACCCTGGGTATTTCCCAAAGATTTAAATGTTGCATATGCACCTATCAATTTATATCACATGCATATATATATATATATATTTTATAAATTAAACAAGAGAGAAAGATATATACAGGTTTATATTTTTTATATATTTTTTATATATATTATATATTTACCTGCAGCTGGGAAAACAAACTGGCCTACGACTGGTAAAAGTGATAGTAAGCAGATGGCTACTCCCAATCGCAACTTTTTCCATGTTCGAAACACATAGTCCTTCATATTTGCCCAGTGTTCTTTACGGAATTCACGTTTTGCAGCCGGGAGTGTGTAAGGCTTGCGCTCGGGGTGGATACTGTCCACAAAGGCCAGGGATTCTACAAACAGGTCGTCCAATGGTTTGGCGTAGATGTAGCGCATAAACAGCAGCGTCAGGAACGGAACCGAAGAAACGATTTCGCGCAGAATTGAGGTTACTTTATCATAGGCCGCGTCTGCACTTTCGGAATCATAGCTAGAGAACAGCCAGAATACGACACGGAGGATAAAGAGCGGAATGGCAATGAGGAGCTTTGTGATGCAAAAGAGGACGATTGAGACGAGTGAAAGGTAGAGAAAGATTCTCAGGAACTTTTGTTTGCGTAGGTTGGGATTCTTTATAACGACAGCAATACCCTGAACGGCGTATTCGGCACCGTTCAGTAGGCCTGTGAGTGTCCAGCGAGCCATTGAAGAGAATAAGGAGGAACGATGATTTTGAGATTTGATGATCAAGATGAGCCAAGAACTTTTTTCTCTTTCTTTCTTTCTTTCTTTCTTTCTCTGTTCTGACTTTGCTTGTCAGTCCACTTTTTATAGCATTTTCTTTTATGTATATAATAAAATATAATAGGAATCCAGGAGTTGAATGTGTTCAAAGCTACAGTGTGACGGTGACACGTTTAATGCATCATGGACTTTGCCAAGCACAAACCAAAAATAATAAATTATATAATACAATATATACATACACATATTGAACATGCAAGTTTTAACAATCTCTGGGCAAATTTCCCTTTATTATATTATATTATATTATATTATATATTTTTGACAAGCAATTTCTCATATAATAATAATTAATGCTCTTTTTTAAAATATTTATATAAAAAAGAAAGAACCTCTTCTAACATTCAGACAAATGCTTTATTAAGAATACAAAAGAATATATATATATAAACTAAAGACAGAGACAAAGAAACAAAGATGAAGATAGAAAGAAAGAAACTTTTGTTGTGTATTATTGTGCGGTCTTCTTTTCCCACTCCTCGGGTGTGTAGGATTTCTTTAGGTACATAATTAAAGAACATAAAGAATAAAGAAAAATAATAATAATGATGTTAGTAATGAGTGAGAATGAGAATGATGATGATCATTTAAAACAATAAGTAATCAACCAAATCTACTTCTTTATTACCTGAGAAAAGGCATGAACCTTACTAATCTCATCCTTGAGCTTCTCATTGACCAACTTGTGTCTAGCCAAAAGTCTCTTTTCTCTAAAAAGAGGAGATACGATAACTACTTCGTACATTTGTCCACAACCAGCAGAGAGATCTATGATTTCCTGTTTTTTTTGGAGGATTCTTTATTATTGTTGTTTCGGTTTCTTTAAAAAAAAAAACTAATTTTGTGATTTGTAATTACACATGCACACACATAAACATATATGTATATATGTATGTGTACACTGATAAGAAAGAAGAATGTATATTTATTTATTTATATATATATATAAAATAAAAACAAGAAAAGAGAGAAAATCATACAACATGTTCAGCTTCAAGGCGTTGAAGGATGGCAGTCTTGAGGGAATCTGCTGTTACTCCAGAGTGATCTGCCATTGTGAATCTGCCTTTAAAGAGGTTTGATTTTTTTTAATTCCTTTTTTATATATATTTATTTATTTATTTATTTTTATTTATATAAAAGGCTGTATTGTTTAACAATAAACATTTAAAATTCATACTTTGATCTAATGGGGAATTAAAACTCAAGATATATCACGTGATTAATGGCACAAGTATTTTTATTGTTAATGTGAATAAGATGTCATTCGTCTATGGTTAAAGAATATATATTGAAGTTTATCTGATATAATCAATTTACAGAGCCTTTTTCTTTGAATGACATGACATGAACACGACTAATATTGAAGTGTCTAAAAATAAGATAGAAGATAAGGCATATCTACAATAGACTTTGATAAAGTGAGGATCCAGAAGAAAGATGTGACGATTCCAAGCTTGTAAAATATATCAATGGAACTGTGGTCTAATGGAACCAGAACATGTAAGCACTTTGTTCATGGCATTCATAGCATCAATTGTCAAAGTTTGTACACCGTCTATATATAATCAATAGTCATGTCCAGGACCATATCACTAAAAGAAATATTGTACCTTTTTTTGTTGCTGTTACAAGTAAGAAGGATACCCAGATGCAGGTAACACTTTATGTTTGTTTCCTTTACTTCAACAAAATTACACAAACACACACACACACATATATATATACATTGATTCTGACGACCGATTTACCTCCCTTCCCTTGCTATTTCTTGTCAATTAGAGTAGCAAGTGTAGCCAAACAAGGCGGTTCAAAAGGTTCCAATAATATCATTTGCACATCCTGCCCTTTTCATGCAATAACATTTGACAATACGAAATATTCTTTCTTTTCCTTCCAAAAGTTAATAAATTAGTGACCTCATTTTTCTGAATAGAAGCAAAGAAGGGTGGAGAGATCAATAAGCCATACAAAAAACTATCTGCATAAATATGTATAGATAGACGCAATAGACAGTGACGCCATCAACTCTTATAGCAATAAAAAAAAACAAATCGATGATTTTCAGTACCTTATTTTCTATATTTTCTTTCCATAATTTGCAGATATTCATAAGCGAATATTGGAGAGCCTTCACACAGTATCCAAAATACACTACAAGTATACTACTATAAAAGAAAAAAATAACTTGATGAATGTATAATATTTGTGAATAAGGGTTGAAAAGTTAGACTGTACTATTTTGAGCCGATTTGGTGACGAAGACACTACTTGAACAAATTTTAGTTTATTTATTTTGAAAGAAAAAAGAGCCTGTGGTTTACAAGAGTGACCACAGAACAAAAGCCGGAAAGAAAGTATGAAACGATTGAAAGTAGAGATTTGTATTGGCGATCCCAATTTAATAATCTTGACACCCGATGATACAAGTAACTGGCAAGGGACACAATTGATGTCACTAGTGTTGTTGCTACCAGTAGAAGACTAAACCCAACTGGTAAATAAGATAAATAGAGAGAGAGAAAGCACATTTTCAACAACTTGGATGAAAGTAAAACATAAGTTCTTTCGACCGGAACTGCCGTTTTAGAAACGAATGAGATTTAGCTTTAGCTTTGGCTCTTGCATTAGCTTCAAACCTTGAAAATCCTTGCCATTCCTTTAATATTCGACCTTGATGACCAAACCCGATCCGAATAATTCACAGATTAAAACGAATGAAACAGGAGTTTCCAGAAATTACAAGTTGAAATAACTACCTGAAGAAGTTGTAAAATGCTCGGCTCCATTTGGGTATATCAAAGATGCCAAAGACGCATACAATTAGACGTTCCAAACATTTTTTTTCTGCGATCCAATGGAACAGTAAGATTTATCTTGGATCCAATTATCATTAAAATAAATCATACGTTTATATATAAACTGGGACGATGGACTTTACAAGTAGGCCTGAGGTTGACCTTTCATAGGCACTGGATTTAATAAAGACAACTTTGGACATATCCCAGATAAGTACCATAAATGACCAAAAAGAAAAAGAAAAGACAAAAATAAGCAGCAAGCTACACAGTACCTAGTAGTCCGGATAAAATAAAATAAATAAATTAAAGCTCGAGACTATTAAGCAAAGAAAGCAAAGTTTTTATTGGTGTAAAGATAGATTTGCCTTCATTTTACGACAACACCTGGAGAGGATGAGTAATTGTGGGTATAATGAGGTGGATATCTCAAAGGGCCGAACAACAATGGGAAAAAATGAAGCAGCTCAAAACATTAAAAGAAACGTTGTGCCAGCCTGTGACCAATTTTTTTGGAGTCTTGCAAGACGTCTTATGCACAGTGAAGCTATACACTTGTGAGCTCGTGAAACAAGTATGTATTTTCCAAGTGAATACATATGTCGGTTAATAAGGATATGCAGCTTTTCTACTGCCCTGATGACTTCAAGAAATTTGTCAGAGGGATGAAACCATTGATGGTTCTTGCATAGCATAGCATAGCATAGCATAGCATGGCATAGAATGGAATAGCAGATCTCCTATAAAAGAGTCCCTGAATCTGATTGATGATGACCACGAAGGAACTAATATCAATTTTACTGGTTATACTGCTAATGAAGACTTGATCGCTTCTCTTCCTTCCACACCTGGTTTCTGGTCATCATATCGTTAAACATAAACCCTATAAATTTCAACCTTTCTTTCTTTTTGCCCTACTGAGATGTATATAATTACACAAGTTGAAAGGCCTGTATTTAGTGTGGCTTGATAACGAGTAAATGGTTTGTCAAGAAAAGGTATTTGTGATATTGTCACAGGGCAAAGCTACTAGAGTGTATACTAGGATTGCATTGAATGATATTCGTGCTCCAGACTTTAATTACGACAAGTTTAAAGATACCAAAGGATGTTAAGAAGTCTGGATAAGTAAGCATTGTTACTGCTGTGGAACATTATTTTTAGCTTTTTTTTTGAAAGAGAAAAAAAGTGTCTTGCCACATTAGATTAAATGAGCCTAGTGTAAGCAAGAGAGACGGTACTACATCATTGTGAGCAGAATTTCTGTTCACTAGTCTGCAGATATTGGGAGGATATATTACGTCTCGAGGTTGTCACTTTGCCTATCTTCCTTTTTGTATTCTCCTGAACTTAACCTAATTGACCAATTGGTTCTTTATATATATATATTTATATGTAGACAAAAGTAAATCTCAACGTCATAGAGTTCTATATATAAAGATATCGTTAAAAGAGATGGAGCGATATATTTATCATAATCAGACAGAGAAGAGGCTGTTGACGGCTTAAGATTAAAAATTATGTATTTTTTCTCTATGACTCTGTTCTTCATGAACAAAAAATAGAACAAGTTTTACACCGGTGAAAGAAAAGAGAAGTGATTAATGTGGTTTGGATTAATCACCTGCAAAAGAAAAAAAAAGGTCAAGCAATCAGAAAAATCCCTTTTACTCCACATGTACTTTCTTCTTCTCTTATTTAAAAAGGTGTTTGAGTATTTGAATATATTGCTAAGCTAAATATTCATATTATTAATAGTAGTGGTAGTAGTACTAATAGTATAGTCGGTGATAGGTAAAGCTGGTGATGCGTTTGTGAGACGCGACAAATGGGGTTTTCAACAAATGACATTTGATTCCCGAGCAAAACGATAGACCCAATTATTTTTATTATTATTATTTTTAAAAAAAATAATATACTTCTTTTATATACTTCTTTTATTTATTTATTTTACCGTATAAATTCAGTCTCTCTCCCTTTCTCTCTATGTGTGTATGTGTATATGAGAGTATGGAAAAGGCAGAAAGAGAGAAAGAGAGAGTATGTGTGTAAACATAATGAATCCCCGGTTTCTTTTCGGAAGACTCTTTTTCTTCTTCCTCTTCTTTTTTTTTTCTTTCCTTCTTTCCGTCCGTCCGTCTGCCTGGCTACCTGCCTGGCTACCTGCCTGGCTGGCTGGCTGGCTGCCTTTGGTTTATTGTCCAGTTCCATTTTGATTTTCTAGATCTCTGTGGTCTACAGTGTTCCTAGAAAAGAATCGTAGAATTTCAGAATCGGATTTGCTGAGCAGAAAATTCTTTTTATTCTACACATTCCTTTCTGTTCGTACAAAGTCTACAAGCCATTTTATTCACAATAAGAATTTAATCATAGATTATATAATATCATTATCCTCAAATATATACACACAGAAAGAGAGCAATTCGATTGCCATAAGAAGAGGGGTAGTGTAACGGTTGAGGAAATTAAACAAAAAAGAACAAAAAATAATAATAATATTATGAATTATACAAGATTATATTATATATTTATTTATATAATTTTTTTAATAGAGAATAATAGGAGTAAATATGCTATACAATATACAGTGACCAAAATAATAATAAGTAGAAGAGAATAGGTTGGTCAGAAACAAACAATAGATTGTTCCTCTCTATCTCACTACCTTTCTATCTTTCTACTTCTCTGTCTTTCTCATTGTTCTTTCTTCTTCTTTTCTTTTGGTACTAAATCATTAAATCAATAGTATTAAAAGAGAAGAATAAGAAACATAAGAAGACAAAGAAGAAGAAAAGATCCTTAGGCTCCCTGAAGGCGAGGGTCTTTGTTATAATCTTGATAAGATGGTGGTGGTATAGCTACACTGGTGCCTTGTGGTTTGTAAGCAGGAGGTGTTGTAGAAGAACTAGGGTTGGTGGTGGTAGCTGTGGCGCGATTGTCTGGATATGGTTGCCCGTAGTATGGGTTGGGTGGGTCTTGGATATTGATTGTTGTATGGTTTGGAGGACTGTAGACGGGTGCTGCATACTGTTGGTAAGCAGGAACAGCTACTCTTTGTGTAGAAGCTATAGTATTAAACCGGGTTAGTGAACAACTGATCAAACCATAGATATGCATCTCTTTATGTTACTATTTCTATTTCTATTTTTATTGTATTTGACTTGATTTTGTACTTATATTTATGTTTCTTATATATATATATAGTTTTTTCTTTACCTGTCATACGTGCTCTGGCAGCATTTCTATTCCTCTTTATAAAGAAGAAGATGGAAAAGACAAGTATAATGACGCATACAATCCACAGTGCGTTGTAGTAATACATTGTTATGTTTTGTGTATGCTGTGTATGCTGTGTATGTGTTTATGTAAAAGTGTGTATATAGAAAATAGTAGTTGAATAGTAAAGAAAGACGTCCAATCTATATTTTTTGATCAATTTTGGGTCTTTTACACCCTACGGCATGTGATGACTGGCATTCAAACCCCATTTCAGAACGCGGTTTTAAGAATATAATATATATATTATTTTTTATATTTTATTTTATTTTATACAAAGTCTAGTATAAAATTTTTAATCATTTTGCTTGGCTTGCTGAGCCAATCCAAACCACTATCAGATTACAAGCAATTGATAGATAGATAGAAAGAAAGAAAAAAGAATTTTCTTTTTAATACATATATATATATATCATACTATTCATACATACATAGATACATACATATATCATTCATTTTATGCAAGCTTTATAAATTACTTCTTTAGATATACATTTATATACATATACATATATTGCTAAATTATCTCATAAATCAAAACCAAAACCAAAGGCAAAGGCAAAGGCAAACAATAAGAATTAAATGTGTGTGTGTGTGTGCATGTATTTATATGTGGGTATTATATTTGTATATGAAATGTTAGCATTTTTACAGTCTTAACTCTAGTGGCTTGTAAAAATGTGACTCGTTCTCCTTGTTCCTTTACTCCAAAAAAAGCTCAATCGACACTCTCTCATTTATTATACATACGATCATGTCACCCGTGGCCTCTAGAAAACAATTAAGAAAGAGCAAGAAGGCTGCCAAGGTTGCTTCTCCAGTCGAAGAGGTAGTCGAGCCTGTTGTTGAACAAGTTGAAGAAGAAGAAGACGATATTGAAGAAGTTCTTGAAAACGACGAAGACGAGGAAGACGAAGAAGAATTTAGCGATGACGAAGAAGACGTTGTTGTCAAGGAACAGCGCCCTCTCTACAATGACGAGGTACAATTCCCCCCTTTTTTCATTTTGCTTTAATTTTAATTTTTAATTTAATGTATCACTATTATGTTATATATTTCAAATTTATAAGAAGTATAAACAGCTTTTCAGTCAAATAACCAACATATGTATTTATTCTTTGCATTATTCTTTCTATGCTTTAACATTACCAAACGATCCAAAAACAACAACAAACAAAAATATGCACCTATATATGTATATAGGCTGCTTTGACAAGACTTGCCAATGATCTTAAGCTCAAGGATCTCCCTTGGATCGAGACAATGGTCGTAACTTCTTCAGAGCCCACCGTTGTTGCCGATGTCGAGGACGAAATGGCAAGAGAACTTTCATTCTATCAACAAGCTTTGGAAGCAGCAAACATTGCTAGAGACCTCGTTAACCAGGCTGGCGATGCATTCACACGTCCTGACGATTACTTTGCCGAGATGTTGAAGAGTGACGAACATATGGCCAAGGTAAGAAATAAGCAGTGCGATATATAAATATATATAAGCAATAGCAGAACTAAAATATAGGCTATAATTATTATTACTATTATTGGGTGTAAATTTCTGCCTCTCTCTCTAACTGCTATTATTTATAATGTCCATAGGTCAGACAGAGATTGTTGGATGAAACCGCTCGTCTCAAGGCTTCCGCAGATGCTAAGCGTCAGCGCAACCTCAAGAAGTTCGGCAAGAAGGTTCAGGTTGAGAAGCAATTGGAGAGACAGAAGCAAAAGACAGATATGCTTGATAAGATCAAGCTTCTCAAGCGCAGTAAGTAAATTGTACACGTATAATACACACACACATATATATATATATATATATCTGTGTCTGTGTCTGTGTGTGTGTTGGTTTAATTCAGAGTCTCAAATTTACTTAATCTTAATATTTTTGTTGTATAGAGCGTAAGGATGGTGCTGGAGGTGATCTCACATTGGATAATGACTTTGATATCGCACTCGAGAACACAACCGACAAAAAGCGTGCAAAGACAGACAGCTCCCAAAAGGGCTCTAAGAAGGACGCTCCCCAGAAGGGTGCCAAACGTGCTCACAAGGATACTAAGTACGGTATGGGTGGCAAGAAGAGACACGCAAAGTCCAACACCGCAGAGTCATCTGGCGCATTGGGTGGTTTCAACAAGATGAAGGGCAAGCCCATCTACAAGGCCAAGGGAAAGACTGTCGGAAAGGCCAAGCGATAAAGAAGGAGAAAATAAGAACAATAATTACACACGCACAAGTACAAGTACAAGTAAAGAACAAGTACATGTACAAATCAATCATATACACAGCACATTTTAGCCTTCCCTCACCTATCAAAAAAAATCAAACAGAAAGAAAGAAAGAAAAGAAAAGAAACGACCAAATCAATAAAGATGATCAGCATTCAAATATCCATTCTCACAAGACTTCTTTACCAACAAAACTTCATTGAATAACATAAATATACACACACAGAAAGAGAACAAATGATTATATGAGAGAAAGGGAAATATATCTGGGAGTGCCCTGAATCAATGAAAAGGTTCTTGTTCAAAACAAGTGTATTATCTAGTAGAAAAGCTATATGAGCCCTTTAAACATTTTTACATTTCCTTTTCGAGTTGAAAAAGGTGATTTAAATGCCAGCTGTCTATAAATGGCGTCAAAATACTAAACTATTTACTAAATTAACAGGCAAATAAAGTGGTAGCTGGTCTAAATGACAGTTACTTGATCTAAGATTTGCACTACAAATAATTCTATCCTAACGCTAAACAAAATCAAGACATTTAATTGGCTACAGCTATTTACACTTCCAAAAAAAGAAATCGGGTACTGAATTGCATTAAAGTATCAGATTTTTTTTATCAATCAAAAAGCTTTTTTTTTAAGCTGGTAAGTACACCGGGGATCGAAATACACGTGATGGGTCAAACAAAATGTCTTGCTACAAATCTTGTCAACTTTGATATATATATATTTTTTTCTATTTATTTTATTTATTTATTTTATTAATTAATTAATTAATTAAAAAAAAAATAAGAAAAGAAAAGAAAAAAAAAATAACAAATAAAATATAAACTACATTTGCTACAATGGGTATTTTAGAGAAGATCCAGGACATTGAAAATGAGATCAAGCGTACCCAAAAGAACAAGGGTAGGCGATGAAGTAAACCAGAAGAAATAGAAGAAGACGAAAACGACGTTACTCGAAAGACAAAAGAGAAATATAAAAAAATATAATGTCATTATATTTCTTGTTTTATTTGTAAAAAATTATATATATATATATATATTCAGATAATGATAATAATAATACTTCATTGTCAATCCAGCTACCGAGTACCATCTCGGTCTCTTGAAGGCAAAGTTGGCCAAATATCGTGTTCAACTACTTGAAGGCTCTAAAACAAAGTCAGAAAAGGTGCGTATAGTCTAAATTATAAACTAACCAGGATTCCAATTAATAGCAGCAATCTTTAAAAAAAAAACTACAAGTGTGTGTGTGTTTAAATCTATATATATATATTAACATATACCTTTATTTTATTTTATGTATGTATATTTATGTAATAAAAAAAATATTGTATTCTCTTTATCTATTTCTCTCTTTTATTTCTTTATTGGAAATGATTTCTATGCATTAGGGAGAAGGTTTCGATGTTATGAAATCTGGAGATGCTCGTGTAGTCATGATTGGTTTTCCATCCGTTGGTAAATCAACTCTGCTGAACAAGTTGACAACAACCGAATCCATTGCAGCAGCCTACGAGTTCACAACCCTTACATGTGTTCCCGGTAAATTCACACACAACGGTGCCAACATTCAGTTGCTCGATTTGCCCGGTATTATCGAAGGTGCTTCTCAGGGTAAAGGTCGTGGTAGACAAGTTATTGCTGTTGCCAGAACTGCCGATGTGGTATTGATGATGCTTGATGCTACCAAATCTTCCCAACAAAGGCAAGTATACTTGACATTATATAAAAAGAGAAATGATTTATCTACATAATAATAATAATAATAAAAAAAACGAACAATGCAGAGAACTATTGGAAGCCGAATTGGAAGCAGTCGGTATCCGTCTCAACCAAAGATTCCCCAACGTATCATTCAAGATCAAAAAGGCGGGTGGTATTAGTTTCAACGCGACTCTCAAATTACATTATATCGATCAAAAGATGGTTCACAACATTTTGCACGATTACAGTGAGTATAAATGAAGAAAATTTGGGCTATAGATGACGAATGAATATCTGTTTATTTAAAGAAAAAGGAATGTATCATGTGTAGAGATCTTTAATGCCGATGTAGTAATCCGTGAAGATATTACTGTTGAGCAGTTTATTGACGTTGTATTGGGTAACAGACGTTATATTGACTGTATCTATGTAAGTTATTATAGTTGTCATTGTTGTTTTTTTTTATTCTTTTGGGGGGGGGGGGGGGGGGGGGATAGTAGTAGCAGTAGTAATATATAAATATAAGTATATATGGGTGTGCGTGAAGTAGTAATAGTAGTGAAAGCATTTTAACAGAGTAATATTGTGAATTAGTGTTACAACAAGATTGATCAAATCACAATGGAAGAAATTGACCGCCTGGCTCATGAGCCTGATACTGTGGTCGTGTCTTGCGAACAGGACCTGAATATGGATTACTTGGTTGAGCGTATCTGGAAGAAATTGAATTTGATGCGTGTGTATACAAAAAAGAGAGGAGATCTTCCCGACTTTGAGGATGGCTTAATTGTCAGAAGTGGAGCCACCATTGAGCATGTATGCCACGCTGTCCACAGAAGTCTTGCAGAGAGTTTCAGATATGCCTTGGTTTGGGTAAGTTTTTCTGTGTGTTTATGTGGGAAAACACTGATGGATTTAAAACCTGATAAAAATATCTATACATTATATTACACAGGGTACATCTACCAAGCACAACCCACAGCGTGTCGGTATCAGCCACCAAGTACACGATGAGGATGTTGTCCAGGTGGTGAAGAAATAGTTAAATAAATGTATGAATTAAGTATTAAAATTGAGGGACAAAGTTGTGGATAACATTATTTTTTTTTTCAATTTGTAAAATCGAGCAAAGCATATCAAAACATCTAATAAAGAAAGAAAGAAAAAATGAAGAGGAACAAGAAGAGTAAAGAGTAAAAAAGAAAAGCAGATTTTCCTGTCTTTGTGTTTGATATGAAGGTTTTAGTTTGGAATGAAAGAAATGGGAGGGATTTGTGGATATCTATATATATATATATATATATATGTGTGTGTGTGTAGTATGTTTAGATATAAGCAAAAAGAAAGAAGTAAATGAATAATAGTAAGAGTAAGAGTAAGGATAAGGATAAAAATAATAGTAATAACGGATTTTAAAGGCCATGGGTCGCAGGCTCGGTCTCAATAACTACTTCTTGATGCTGTTTGATTGCTAGTTTGACAGGCAAGTTTTCATCAAACTGACCAAGACCTTTGATAAGATTGTGTTCCTCATCAGGATGAGCAGAAACTAATGAATTTCAAAAGACAAAGTTAGATTAATAATAGTAATGGTAATGGTTATAAGTTTTTATTTTATACTTACTCCAGAATATGATGCATGCAACAATTGAAAGGTCCTATAATACAAGTAAATATATGTATGTAAGCATTTAATAATGATCTTTCTTTTAAAAAATAATAATCTTACAGCAGTGGAAATGCTCATGGCTACCAATCCTCGTTCTCGCCCATCAAATCCAACCATTAAAGCGTAGTTGGCACACGATGCTACAAAAGAGGAGAGGACTCCGACAAAGTTTCGTTTGGATTCAATAGTGATGATATGGGACATAGGGGACGTGTGCTGTTTGTGGTTGGGGTGAATAATGAACTTTGCAAAGATGGAGAGAAAGTATAGGTTGATAAAGGCTTCGTAGGCAGTACAGGCAATTGATGCAGGCATTTCATATCCAATTGTACAAACAAATGGAAACTGTTCGCTGACATCGACGACACGGTAAACGACCATAAGTATAACTATTGCTACATGTGGCAAAAGAAGTCCAAGACTGATGATATACAAGATAGATCTGAAACGAGGTTTTTTCGACGCGGATAAAATATAGATCTGTTGTTTATTGATCAATAAATAAAAATAAGATTTTTGGATTTTGTTGAGAATCATTCTTACTTTCTCAATAAAATACAGGTAAACGGCTATTTTGGCAGCTGTGTAGATAAAAGTACAGTGGAGGACACTGAGGAGGCAGGCTACATAGTTTCTGTTGTTTGTGCTCGTCAGCATGCAGGCAATCAAATCAAATCCAATAGATATGCCGATTACTGTAAGGACAAGCTGCTGAGAATAAGAAATCCTGCTTTCGATTGATGCACATTTGAGACCAAAAAGAGTCGACAGGACAGTAATCGATACGACACTGAGAACTTCGGCTCCGATTTCAGAATTGTCAGGAAAATACATTATTGCTTAAAATATATATATTATATATATATATATGTGTGTGTGTGTGTGTGTATGTGTGTATGTGTGAGTGATGACAATAATTAAAATTGGGTTTATAATGTCATATCGCTTCTATACGGCAATAGAATAAGAATAGTAGCAGAATAAGAAGAAGAAGAAGAAGAAGAAGAAGAAGAAGTGGGAAAGAGAGAAGAAGCGAAAGAGAGAGAAAAGAAGAGCAAAATATATATATATAGAATTGTAGAATTTTAAAGAAAGGGAAATGGGGGAGGATCGTAAACTCGGTTCACCGATCACACACGACTTCAATCTACGCCATACAAATTGTACCCCGAAATACCATACACCAGCACAACTTACAATTTGATATGTTCTTTTAGGTCTTCAAAATATAAAGCAGTTCAACTTGACCAGAATTCTCACAGAGAAATATTTCCTGCGAATGCATGTATGCATATATCATAGCCCTAATTTTTTCTGGGTCTTGTATAAAGTAATCTATATACTACAAAGCGATCAAACTCAATAATGAAAAGGTAAAGAAGAGCAAGTAACAATAGTAGTAACAGCCCTAAGAGCAGAAAAGGCAGTTAAACTGGACATTACTGGATTCTTCAATAGCCTGCGCCACTTCAAAATATGGTTTTTTTTTGTTTTGCATTCAGTAAAGCATTTTTTGTATTGCACTAAGGATCAGGTCTGCACATGCTTGTAATTGAATAAAGTAACCAACTAAAAGGAAAGGGATGGAAAGGAAGAACATACCTCTTTAATTCGTTTTGGTGTCTTTAACTTGTGACCTTTTAAGGAAAAAAAGGTACTGCTGGTCTGTTCTTAACAGTTTTGAACAAAAGAAGTTAAGAATCGAAAGTTGCGATATTTCGTGTCTAAAAAGTTTTTTTCTTTCTTTTTTTTTTTTGCTTGTAATCAAGTAAACTTTAGTTTAAACACCGCAAGTCGCGATGAAAAAAAAAATACAACGTCGAGGCGTGTAGGATAACCAAAAATATATCGAGAAACAGAATCCATGTGGAGAAACTCCATTCAATTTAACAAAGGAGTTATGGTAATTTGTTTCTTGTGTATTCAAGGCACTTTTCAAAATAACCAAGCGTAATATCATTACATTTCTACTTAGTATACCAGAAAATGATAGATAATAATAAATCAACCAGAGTCGTACGATATACACCACCCTTTTTTGTGTTATTCTAACACCTCTTTCCTTTCTTCCATATATATTAGTGCGAGTGTGTAGCCTGTAAACTCGGCCTTTAAAAACAATCATTTATACCAGGGAAGTCAAAGAGAAAGAGAAATAACTGATTGTAGTACGGGGTGCCTTGCTAATTTGTCCAGGAAAACAATGACTCAATATGTATTCCATAAAATAAAAAGTTATGGACAATACAACAATGATCCCAGGTTTGAGTGAGGTTGACAGTGTAGCACACGAATAGGGAGATAGCCAGAGAAAGACTACTCTAAGTAAATAATCGTGTAGACAGACTTGACTAATTCTGTCCCACATTTTAATACTACAAGAACAATAGAGTGAGGTCAAGGTAAAGGGAAAAAATAAAGAGGAAGATGTTCAAAAGTTATAAAGCTTTGTAAATCAGAGTAGGCAGAATATGCTTTCTTTTAAAGGAAAAAGAAAAAAGAAAAGAAAAACAAAGTTCGGCTGAAGCCGAGCTCAATTGTAAAAACTCTCGACTAAGAAATCTCTCACAACATGGTACGTAATTTGATGAGCCATTGACAGGCACCAAAATGCTTTCCAGCTGGTATTCGTAATTTTCAATATCTAAGTAATGGTACTGAGTTGAGCCAAAACCACGACATAATACTTTTCATCACTAAAAGTTATAATTAAGGAATGCTTGTGTTTCGTTGGAGATGTGTCCAAATCAATATATTTTAATGATTATGCCAAGCCAATAAAAATTATTCCAAAAGGAAAAAAAAAGTTTGGCAGGGGTTAGTGAGCTCAACTTATTGGTAAATAATTTTTATTGATATACTTTGTCTATACGTTATGATAAGTAGGATAGGATCAATTGCATTTCTCGAATGTAGAATAAAAAGTCGAAACAACCTACTCCCATCCTGATACCGGAATCAAGGTTAATTATTTTATTCTGTTAGAGTTGTAAATCCTACCATTATAATTAAGCGTGAGAATGTTTATATCTTTAGCTGCAGTATAGAATATGTAGATTTTTTTAATGATAGGAAGAAGTAAAGGGGGATGAAAATTATTGTCTGGTTACCAATAAAAGTGTTTCCATGGTAAACGGGACCTACCTAAACAAGATTTGTATTTCTTTGAGTGAGAATGGTACACCACAGCAGATTTTTTTGTGTAATCTTGTTCCTTAAAAGGATTCTTGTATACGGGGCGAATTTTGCCCATAACAGGAAATTCATTTTTTTGGGGGACTGAAAAGTGGGGGGATGGGGGGACTACTCTCGGCCAATAGATTTCGATTAAAAAATGTACTGCACAATTTCAAAAATGGTTCAAATTTTTAATTTGTTTCAAATAATTTTGGGTTGTAAAAAACTTATTTTTTATTTTCGAAAAAAATTAGGCTAAAAAAAAGCTAGACTGGACCATAAAATCCACAGGCAGTAGCACACCAGTATATCCATACCACTAGAAACACTAGTAGTATAACTGTTTGTACTTATGCCTGTAAATTACGCGATCGGTTTGCTGCAAACTACTATGTCTAGCTAATCCAAGAGACCCGGTGCCAGAAATTCCAATAAACCCAAAGAGCATAAAGATTTGAATTTCGAGAAAAGCTAAAGCAGAAGAACTAATAATTAGTAATTAAACTTAGTTATATATATTTAACAGAATTTTACCTTTGACTCTATTAAGGCATTTGCAATAAAAGGCAGCCAAATCTCTGCAAGTGAGGAGTAAATAGTTAGTCTTCTGTTGCTTTGTAAGAGGAACATGTAGTTATTACCTCTTTATTGATTTACCGAGATGATGAAAAACTAATTTATAAACTAGAATTGTATGATTAATAAACACAATGACATAAAAAACTTTGATAGCATAAATACCTTTGAGCTTACGGTCTTTAAGCAAAATTCTGCTTCTATAAATACTATAAGCATACTGGAATATCTTACAAATGGAAGCTCATGCAAATAATAAATATTTTGTGGAAAAGTAAAATGAAAAAGACAAAAACACGTGATATTTTCTTAAAAGAAAAGAAGTAAAAAAAAAGTCTAATTGGTCCGCTGACATTAAATATCGATCTTTCCACATTTTATAAATTCAATTATTTTCGCAAAGTCATTTTCCCCCCTTTGTTTTTACAATCAATTTACTATTATGCAAAAGAATACAAGACAAGAAACATATAAAATCGTTAAGACTCGCCCCCCTAAAAGGCAAGGCGAACTTAACTTTAGCATCAATTCAGGTGTTTTTACCTGCTCTGAATGCGAAAAAGAGTTCGAAAAGCCTTGGTTACTGAAAAGGCATTCGAAGGTTCACCATATAAGTAATCAAATGGCAACCAATACTGTACTCGACGAACCCGAGCAGGCCGAATTGATAGTCGAGAACACTATTCCGGATGCTAATGCATTTGATTACTCGAGTGACGAAGATGACTCCTCCAGTATCGGGGATGAAGAAGACAACATTGTAGACGAGGAAAACGATATTGTCGATAATTTCTTTGATATTGAAATGAACAGTAATCCAGTTTTCAACGCGTTCTCTGACATGTTTTCTTCTGCTGCTGCTGCTGATGAGGTATCAATGACCGATGATGACTCTGAGATCCCGGAAGAAGTCTTTGAGACAATTGGCGCTGTAAATGACCCTACAAGCTGTTATCCTTTTCGCGATCTTCAAACCATGATCCTTTTCGCTTTTATCGATGGGGATAATGACATGATCTCCCAGCGAATGTTGAAGAAGATACTGCTTGCGATGAACTTGATCATTAAGATCCAGCAAGAAACTCCCATAGGATGAACATTTAAGTTACCTCGTTTGGATGCTCTTTTAAATTACCAGGCAAGAAAGAAGTCCAAGATGCCTGTCTTTCCTTCACAAAGAATATCAGTACCTGGATCAAACGGGAACGCATTCGCCCACATTAACCTTCCGTCCGACCACTTGAGATTTCTTATGGCAAACCCAAAGAAATCCAAGTTGATCTCGTCCATGCCCGATCGTACCCCAAACCAATCGATCTGTTTGGAACAAGGTGAAAAGTGGAGAACCCACCATCTCTTTCAGCAGCCTATGCACACTGTAAATGGTATAGATGTCTGGTTTGGAAACATCGTTTACTTGAAGACAAACGATTGCAGCATCCGCTTTTTGGTTGAATCGTTCCACACGGCAAATAAAAACATTTTTGCGAGAGGGTATCTGGTCAGAGCAATTTCGATTGTATGCTATGGCGTTGAGGTTGCTGTTACCGATTTTAGAGTAGAGCAGATCTCTCACGTTGACACCACTCCTGTTGAAAGAGATCACTACTACAGTATCTCAAGTAGCCTTACCAGATTGAGTCCTGCTCATGACTTTCTTCTTTTTGGAGTTCATCCAATGAAGAAGCCTATGCCTCTTTCTGTTTTGCCCGGTAATGTAGATCGCGATGCAGTGTTTTACAAAGTTAGGATTGTTTCAATCATCCTTTTTACAAACGACACTTCCGGCAATCGTTCAAAGCAGTACAATCCGTTTGAAAGCTGGTTAATGAGATGCGCTGCCTTGCCTTTTAAGGATCGAAATTCGATAGCAAACATCCAGTTTCTTTCTACAATCCCTAAGAAAGATGGTGCAAATGGTATGTCTCTTCTGCCAGCAATCGTTGATGACTTTAAGAAACTCGAGAAAGGTGTAAAAATGTTCTCCGCTGAAGACAATGAGTATGTTCTGGTTGTTGCTCCCATCCTTTGGATTGAGGCTGACACGCCATGTCATTCGGAACTTTGCGGATTGCTTGGGCCGGCCACCACATTTCCTTGCAGAAGATGCTACATCGAACTTAGACGTGCAAAAGTCTTTGTGAAGGACTTGTTCTACTTCTGTGAGTGCCATGAGAGACGAACTCGAGAGCACTATGTTCTTGCAAACTCGTCACCTGGCAGAGACACTGAGATCCCAAATGCTCCGAAAATTGGAATGAACACGCCTGCAAACAAGATAAGCTTTAGAGATCGTTCGACTGGCCGCTTATTAGAATTGCAGTCGTTTGATCCAGAAAAGGATACACCAGTGGAAATCCTCCACACGATACTTCTTGGTGTTGCAAAGTATATGGTGATTGACTTGGTTAAGGTCGTGCTTAAGAATGACACAGCCACAATAGCAAGACTTTCAGAATTCTTGACAGATTACACGCGATCAACTGGTCTATCAAGAAAGTTCACCCGAAACTTGAGACATAGTGGTTCATTCCTCGGTAGAGATTTCAAGGTTCTGCTTCAAATACTTCCTGTAATTCTGATTACAGAATTCTCTGGAAATCATGAGCTAGACCTTATAATACCATGCTTTGTTGAACTTGGCCGATTGTGTTCTCTGGTATTCGTTCGTCAGGTGACATCAGACTTTGATAACTATATTATCAGAGTAGATAATGCAGTGAAGTGCTTGATCAGAGCATTATTTGACTACGATAAAGGAACCAAGAACGAGCTCCACAAGGCATATTGCACCAAGCCGAAAGTTTATTACTTGACACATCTCAAGGAAGATATAATTCGTTTTGGCCCAGCCCTCAATTATGAAACAGAAAAGGGCGAACAGTTCAATAAGCACATTCGCGAACATCTGTTTCATACGAATCGCCAAAACACTTCCAGGGATGTTTGCCTAAAGTTTGCAAAGCAGGTAGCATTGCAACATGTAATTGACGGCGGGTCGTGGATTAATAGCTCTGGCAACCGAGAGAAGTCTGGAACTGGAATAGAGAGGTTCATTAAGGACAACAATGAATCTTTGTTCTATTACACCTTCTTTGGCGGCTCGAGAGAGCTAAAGGACAACAACGACACTGGAGATATTGAAGATGACGCCGTCCAAAACAACAGTTTTGGCGCGTTTGTTTTTAAAAATGATCCAATCTCTCGCCCTCGTATAGGACTTGTCTCAGGCTCTGTTGTTAAGTTTCTTAGCATTGTTCCTCGTACGGATAATGACAGAAACAATAACTATGCCAAGGCTGTAATGACAGGTGAGCATTCTGATGTTGCTAACATGAATCTCGTTTGTAAGTTAGATTTGCACATTTTCCGCAACCCATTTTACATTGTAAATTTGAGCAAGTTCGGTTCCTACTGGTTCATTTTCAATAATATTCTTTTTGATGAATAAAATGATGCTACTTCTTTATTATTATTATAATTATTATTTGAACCTTCTGTTTTCTTCTTCTCAACATCAATTTTTTTGCGTAATTTCTGTGAAGTCATTTTTTGGTTACTCAAACCAACCCCCAACTTTCCTTAATAAATCCTTTGTCTCGAACACTTTCTGACTTCCCTAGCAGTTTTTTTTCTTACTTTAAAAGCCCACAAGTAGTACTGAACTTAATTTTATCCTTTATTCGGATGAAAAAAATTGAGTACGAAAACAAATTACAATATTTTGGCCTCTAAGCCAATCATATTGCTTAGGTGCCAATTTTCACCCAAAATGATAACAAAAATCTCTGGTAGTGTAGAACGTTTGTGCGTGTGTGTGTATCTGAAATGTGGTTCTCTATTTTATAAAAAAAAAAAGGGAAAAATACCAAATTTTGAGAAAAACTTTGTTTGTGAACTTGAATCGATTTTTACTGTCATGCTTGTTTTGTTATTGAAATTAACCAAAGCTTCTGCTGGCAATATATAAAAGGTCTTAAACTCTGGGAATTTGGTTGTTGTATTTGCTGATTTAGGAACCAATATCTATATGCTGACTATCGAGAGTACCTTTGAAAGCCAAATTATATGACTTGGTCTTCTTTTCTTCTTCTTTTAATAAATCTAGTAGGTAAATAAGATTAGGTTAATATCACATTTAGGCCTGTTTCTGAGAACCCAAGCCAACAGTTGATAAGCATTTTTTTTTAGTTATTGAGCAATAAGCATATATAAGCAGCTCATGTTTGTATTGACCACCAACACTTGCCCTTAAAAATAATTAAATAAGAATAATAAGAGAAGAATTTTCACAAATTTTGCTTCCGTAAAACCGGGATACGGAGGTAGTCTAACCAACAATTTGTTTTGTAAAACCATAAATTGACTTTGAAGGCACTTTAATCTCAAAAGCCATCAAGATAGGAAATAATCGTGACTGGCAACTGGGCTTTCTACAGAGTAAAGCACTCAGTACGCTTGAAAAAATAATAATTGTAGCAAAGCAATCGCAGCCTTCATTTAATCCTAATGTCTAATCAGATAAACGTATTGTTTGTATGCCTTGGTAATATACTTGACATAAAACAGAAAACCAAAACGAATTAGTCGCCAGCCGAGAAAGAAAGAAAGAAAGAAAGAAAAAGAAAAAAAAAGAAAGAGAAAGAAGATATTATCAGTAGTAAGAGCTACCGACTTTGCGACTAACCTTGGAATATTTTCTATTTTAAACCTACCAACATAGGTAATATTTGCCGTTCTCCAATGGCAGAAGCCGTTTTTGCAGAGACAGTCAAGCAAAAACAACTGAGCGACCACTTTGGAAAGATTGACTCTGCTGGCACTGCAGGCTATCATGTGCGTACTTTGAAACGATATATCGCATTGTTTCAATTGTTGATTTTGGTTTTGGTTTTGATTTTTAGGTAGGAAGTTCACCAGATAAGCGCAGTGCGGCTACTTGCAGAAAGCACGGTGTTCCTATCAACAGTGAAGCCAGAAAGGTAGCTTCCTTTTTGCTTTTTCTTAGTTTGGACATAGGTGATTTATAACTTGTAACACAACACAGGTCAATAAGGGAGACTTTGCTCAATTCGATTACATCCTTTGCATGGACGAATCTAACCTAGAAGATCTTCAGGTAAACCACATTACAAATATGCAAACCACAAAAGAAAAAGAAAGGATGTTCTCAAAATCTAATAAATTATCTATTTAAGCATGCTGCTCCTAATGGATCTAAAGCTGTACTTAAGCTTTTTGGCGAATTCGATCCCAAAGGAGAACGCATTATTCAGGACCCTTATTATGGAGGATCAGAAGGATTTGAACATAACTTCAAGCAGGTTGTCAGAGCAAGCGAAGGTTTCCTCAAGTCACTCAAATTAATCTAAAAACACAATACCCTATTTAAACCACATTGCTCTCTTTTGTTCTTTCGTTCTTTTTTGTTTTTGGATAGAGGAAATAATAATAATGGTGCGAATTTTTTTAGTAGTGAGGATGATGTATAGATTTTTAACGCTTGACCCTAAAGTAGTTTTTTTTAAAGAAAAAAAAAATACACACACATAATAAAATAAGTATTCTCTCGCTTCATAAATACGCAATGGCAATATAACGTACCAGGTATATCTTGCACGAGCCTTTCTCTGACCTTCCTTCTTACGTTCGACAACTCTTGGATCACGGGTAATGCAGCCGGCTAATTTATAGAAACATACAAGCATATATACGTTAGATATCCACAAAATCCAGATTAAATCTCCATCACCATTTTTTTATCTCTTTATCTTTTTATCTCTTTCTTTTTCGTACCTTCACGCAACAAAGGCTTCCACTCCATGTTGTGAGTTAAGAGTGCCTTTCCGACACCAAGCTTAATAGCTTGTGCCTGACCGGTAGTTCCACCGCCATTGACAGACACCCAGATATTGAATTTATCGGAGTTTTCGGTAACCTTCAAAGGAAGAGTAACTTCATCACGATCGACAGGGCGCTTAAAGTATGTCTCCAGAGATTCGCCGTTAACCAACACCTTGCCTTCACCCTCTACAACCCAGCATCGTGCGCTGGATTCCTTTCTTCTACCAGCAGCATAGGCACGACCAAGATCATCAAGAGTCTTGGGCTTGGCAGTTTGCTGCTGTGCGGCATCGAAACGAGAGTATTGCTGCAAGACAAGCTCAACAGCTGGAGGATGAGGAGCAGGCAAGGATGCAAGTTGGTTCAATTGACCAACGATCTTACGCCATTGTGATGTCTTCAACGGAATGCCAAGCATTTCTGACATCTTTTCACGAAGCTTCCATGCATGCGAAGCTGGTTCTACTTCCAATTCAACAATTTCGACAGTATTCACGCCGTTCTTGGGTGTGGCAAGTTCTGAAGGAAGGCTAGCCTCTGGGATAACAACTTCTATCTTGGGAGAATCACCCTTCCAGTCGGCATACTTTTTGTGGAGAATGTCGAGTTCGATAAGAAGGTCGTTGTACTTGAAGTTGCCGGTGAAGTATGAAAGCGAAGAAGGCTTTTCGCGGTAAGCAAAAACGTCATCGGTGGTGGCAGTGTTTGCCTGGAGAGTGCTAGCACGCATTTGGCTCTGAACAGCCCATCGAGTTACAGTCGAACGAGCAGGGTTGAGGGCCATGAGGCCTCTACGCACCAAAACTGAGGTTGCCATGATGCCAATGTCAAGTTGATTTCGTTATTGTTTTGAGAACCTAAAACCCCCTCTCCGGGCGAGTGACAAGCCCTGCCGTAAAAAAGTAGCTTTCCGTCTTCAAAGCGAGTCACACGGAAAATTTCGGTGGCTGTGTCTTTCTTGAGCTTTCCCTATATCCGACATCTATGCAAAGCACACAAAGAAGTTGTCGTTTTTATTTATTTTATTTTATTTTTATTTTATTGTTTTTATGCGTCCCAAAACATTACAAGCGTACAAGCGTACGCTACACACATATCATGTAGGATTTGGTTTACGTGAACCATATCAAATCTTAGGTATATTCATACACACTTACACACAGTGTAAATATATATATATATATATATACATTAACCGAATTCATCTATTCTATATTAATAGTCGATGGCGATTTCTGTAAAGAAGCTTTGACACAAAAGATTTACATTAAGGATTCTCTACCTGAAATCATGCAGGCACCTACAAAACTGAGTGAGTTTTAATAAATCTGGACAATCAAACACATATACACTATATGCATTTATTAACTATTAATTTATTTAGTGGTAACTGAGTGTACTATCCACGAATTGCAAAGCAAGGGACGTGAATTTACGAATGCCATGATTGTTGCCAAAAGATTCGAGCATCGTCGGTGTGCTCACAAAACACCTGTAAAGAGTGCTGCTTGCATTTCCGAAATCATCGGCTCTACCAACCAATACCATTACTGTGTTGCTTCACAGGATAAGAAACTTCGTTCTCACTTGCGCAGTGTTCCTGGTGTTCCTCTCCTGCATATTAAAAAGAATCTGGTTATACTCGAACCTATGTCAAACGAAAGCAAAGAAGCTCTTAAACGGGTAAGGTTGGACAGCAGATCAATATTTGGAAAGTTCAGACTTATTGATGACAGGAATGGTAGCACGAAATCGAAAAGACGTTACCGATGGGTAAAGAAGCTAGTTTGCTCAAGGGTATTGGTCGTGCGGCTGGAATAATCAAAGATGAGGAGCCCAAAGAAAAGAAGACGAAGAAGGCATTGAAGAAAAAGGGACCAAATCCATTGAGCGTGAAAAAGAAGAAGAAACAGCAGACAACACCCAAAGAAGCAACTAACGAAAAGAAGAAGAGTGAAGAAGCACAAAACAAAAATGATACTACAGAATTATCTCAAGGTCAAAAGAGAAAACGTGATGAGGAGAAATCAACCTCAGTACCAGAAGCTACTTCTTCTGCTACAGCTGAAGCCACTGTGGCTACTGAGGTTACTGAAAAGGCAGAGAATGCAGAGAATGCTGGCGGGGATAAGAAGCGCCGTCGTAGAAAGAAGAAGAAGACTGGTCAGGAAGAAGCTTCCGAGACGAATGTCGAGACGACTGCTGAAAAAGCTTAAACTGTATAATAAATCCATTTGTCAAGGTAATCTTCCAATGCCATTCTTTGTAGTGAAATCTCTTTTATTATTTTATTTTATTTTACTTTATTTTATTTTATTTTTTTGAATATCTGCAGTGGTTCTTTTTTCTGCTTTATGACTATACATGTACATGTACATATACATATATTGCTATATACATATATCTATACATACAAAAAAAAAGAATATTTTTTACTCTATAAGTCAACTGTATAGAACACATTTAAAATCTAGTCTAAAACCCTCTAGCGATGCTTGGGGCTAACACGTGAAAAAGCAAACACTCCGAGAATAACCACACCCAGAAAAGCAATGGATGCGGGCAAAATGAGTTCCTGAGGGAACCCTGTGTTCGACTCATACTCTTCAGGTTCCTCGCTTTCATTGCGTCGAGAACTCTTTCTCTTTGACGAACGTTTACGAGTTGAACGGGAGGTCATTGATGAAGTATCATCGTCTTCTTGGCGCATCGTTTTAGAAGAAACATCAGAAGGAGGCGAAAGTGAGATGACAGGCGCCGGAGGCTCTGCCGTATGCTGTGGCGTTGTTACAGGGGCAGGGGCAGGGGTAGGAACAGGCGCAGGCACAGGAGCAGGAGCAGGAGCAGGAGCGTGTGCCATGATAGGTGTGGGAGGGGCTGTTTCAACAGCAGTGACACTGGTTGAATCATGAGCAAATAGTTTTACACGGTCCTGTCCCAATTTGCGTGCTAACCGAACAGCGTCTTGAACATCAGCATCGGAAGTAATCAAAACCTCATCGTCCTCATCATCCAAGTATGAAATGCTCAACCATTCACCCTCTGCAGCAGAAGGAACGTGTTCGCTCAACACCTTTTGGCGGACGAGTTCCAGTAATTGGGAGTGTTTAGGAGTAGAGGCAATGCGGTGTGTTTTACCACCCTTGGTAGTAAATTTGAAGGCAAAAGACCCATCACCCCCGTTTCCAGACGTTTTAGTGGGGCGTGTATTGTGAGATGAGTTTGCTGATCTATTATCTTCGTTGTGGGCAACCATACTGGCAGACTCGTTAGGTGAAATTTCAGGAAAACCGTGAAGTTGAGAAAACGAAATAGAAGGTTCAGGAGAGATAGCCTCCATTGGGTGTTGCGATGCAGGCAAATGATGATGATGGGAGGTTGGATCCGAGAGCTGAGACTCATTTTCGGCATGTTCAGTGGCACCAAAGCTGTCCCAGAAACGAGACCACATGGGACCTTTTTTTTTTTTTTAAAAAAAAAAGTAATTGTTAGCAAATATTTTGAAAGCAGCCCACCTTAGTAATACAAAATTTACCTTCACCATCAGCGCCTTGAATACTGTTGATCTAAATTACAATTTGAAATACATAGGTATATGAGTATGTTAATATAAAGCATTACTATTAAACTTTCCAAAAATACACGTTTTAATTACCTGCTCTAAAGTGGCATAAGTCAACTTGAGGACATCCACAATGCCTACCACACGACCATCCTCCAATACTGGAAGATTAAGGTAATGACCGTCTATTTACACCCAAAAATAGTCTAATGTTAGCTCCTGTGTTAATTCAAGATAATCATTACTCACCATGCATTTGGCGTAAGGCATCGATGATGGACATATGAGGAGATGCTGTATCAGGATGGGGTGTCATGACACGTACAACAGAACAGTTTTCTGGGTTAAGACCAGCTGCGATTACTCGCAAAACCACATCTTTCCTAATGAAGGTCAGATTATCTATCCCATTACATTTCCCTCTCTCCCTTTGTGTGTGTGTGTCTGATGTCTATTACATAGTATGCTTACGTTGTAAAGATTCCTGCAAGTCCTTCTCTGTCGGAAACCAATACGGCAGTTGTGTGATACTCCTTCATCAATCTAGCTACGTCTCTAACATTGACCTTCACACTAACTTGAGCAGGCAAGGATCCATCCAAAACGGTGTTGAGATCAGGGCATGACATCTTATCTCTCAATGTCTCCATATATTGAGCCAATTGGACTGGACTACCAGACCATTCACGCTCAACACCCTCCAAAGCATCGTAAAGTTTTCTAGATGAGCCAAATGCACGTTCCATCTTATCCAGGGCCTCATAGAGACACTTTGTGATATCTAGCAATCCAAAAATGTCGCCTTCCTCATTACAAACAGGCTAACCATACAGAATCATATTTTAGATCAGATAATACACACTCCTCCTTTGTTTCATGCTATATTATGACTACACAAAAAAAAAACAAAAAAAAAACAAAACAAAACAAAACAAAACAAAAAGCCTTTACCAAATGACGGAATCCTCGAGTCACCATCAAATTCAAGGCATCGGTTGCAGACGTATCAGCTGTAACACACATCGGGCCGGGGGTCATGATCTGGGACACAGGTGTGTGTCTAATGACAGTAAGACCTTTTTGGTATGCCATCCAGAAATAATAAAGTGAAAAGCCAACTACACCCTTACCTGGCATCTAATGATTCAGCTACTACTCGATAAGCTAGATCTTTGGCCTTTTATTTATATATATATTCAGGACAATAAGTAACTTAGTACACCAAATACAAGTATTAGAGGGTTTAATTCAATATACTTACAGTGAAGATACCACTGAGGTGATCATCTTCATCAACTACCAAAACACAATCACTTCGTTTGGCTGCCATGAGCTGAGAAGCCTCGATCACTAGCATGTTCTCCTTAACGGTCAATGCCTGGGCAGGTCGCAAGGCAGAAACAGTGCCAGCGATCTTGCGTGTTTGGCGGACACGAGTAGTGCCTGTTCGTTTTTTCGACAATTCTTGCTCAAGTTTCTTACGAATGGCCTTGTGGATTTTGCGGGGTATTACAAATGAGCAACTCTGGTAATCACCTTTACACTTTTAGTGTTTACCTCGTCTTTCTTTGTTTGACGTTGTCGTCCATTGTTGGCGACATCGGGAGTTTCTGCCCGTGCAGTGGCGATTGCAGGCAATCTCGATCGAGAAGGTTTAGGTAGCATTAGTTTTTTTTCTCTAAAAGAAAAGAATGGCTAGGGCGTTGGACGCTAGGCTACAAAAAGATGCATGGTTTTACCCGGTGTTTCAAATAAAAGTGATGACAAAACAAGAAAAAATAATCCATGGGATTTATACCTTTTAAAAAGTAGTTATTCAAGAAAAAAGAAAAAACCTAATCCAAGAAGCATATTATGTGTTACAGGAAGAGGTCGAATTGATTTTTCTTATTTATTTATTACAATTGCAATTACAATAGATAATTGACTTTTGGTTGTGTTTTGTTTTTGTTTTCGTCTTTTTTTTTAAAAAAAGAAAAAAAAAATGTATATATATTTTAGATAGGGTTGATCTTGCGAGTCTTGTCCATGAAATAAGCAACAGTCTCATCTGTAACTGCATTCTTGCGCTTCTGGAAATCACCAACGAAATTCTGCAACAGTTCAATGCAGGTCTTCTTCAATTCACCTGTCATCATCTCACCAGACTTGTATGACTACAATCGAACCAGGTTAAATACCACAATAATTCACAGTAACAAAACAAATAACGTTACTATAACTTACATCGTGAATACGCTTCAATTCAACATCATCTTCCAAGAAGAAGCTCAAGTATTGGTAGGAAACATCAACATCAGGATTTCCACCGTTAGCTCTGTGCTCCTCAACAGTAACTCCTCCACCAGAGAATGCATATTTGTTGATCTGCATGATATTATGATTAATAAAAAAAAAGTCAAAATCAGCAAAATATATATTATTATTCTAAATATATTTGTTATTTACCTTATTTTTGATCTGGTTGGGAGTATCAGTCATGAAGATAGCAGAAGAGTCAATAGAAGCACTCATCTTTGTCTGAGGACCCTGAAGAGCAGGGAAGAACTTGGCGTGGATGAGAGATGGCTTTGGGTATTTAAGACGTTTAGCCACATCACGGGTCAAACGGAAGTAAGGATCCTGGTCAATTGCACAAGGAATCAAGCAAGGGATATCCTTGGCTCCTCCAAAAATCTGAGGGAAAGAGTTGGAGAAGGAAGGGGCAGCCTGAACAGACACGAAATGCAACTTGCCCACATTGTCACTTTGAAACCCACACATATGCGCATTTAAGTATATATTGATCTCACAATACACACACACATAAATATCCTTTACCTGTCATTGAATCCAAAGGTAGCCTTGGACTGGTTAGAGGTAATACAACGTGAGATACGGACTACATTGTGGTAGAAAGCACCACTATTATATATACACACATGCATAGCTTTGTTAAGTTTCACAGATACATCCCAATTTACAACTTGCTGTAAAAACACAAAGATATTTACCCCATATAATCCAAGTTGGAGAAAATGAAGGTCTTCTCGGGATTGAATCCGCAGGCAATGATATCCTTCGCATTCTGGTAAGCAAACTGGTTGCACTTCTCAACTGTCAAATCTGCTTTGAACAAAAACTTTTCGTCATCGGTCAACTGAATAACAAGAGGAACATCAAATACATCCTGGAGCCATCTAAACAAATAAGAATATAATATCAGCAACAATACCATAATTTACTCAAAATATATCAAAAATGAATTAGCTTACTTGCAGAAGACAAAAGGAATCATGTGTCCCAAATGCATCGAAGCACTTGAAGGACCACGACCAGTGTACAAGAAGAAAGGCTTCTTCTGCTCATAACGATCCAAGATACGGGTAAATTCTCTAAGTTAAAACATCGATAAGAATCATCCCGCTAGTTACTACAATTTATATCTATATGCATATATATATATACACACTACCTGTGAGAGAAGAATGTACCACGTCTCAACAATACGTGAGGTGTTTTACCAGTCAAGGTCTCAAAACGCTTCAAGAGAGCCTCATCAATACGCGATGTACCGAACTGGTCAACCAACTTGTTGTAGTCAATTGCCTGCTGAACACCATCGACTACAGCACCCTCAACTTCCCATGGAGTCACATTCTGGGAAACCGACTTGGATTCAACACTCAACTTGGAGATATCCTCAGTCAATGCAGCAGCTTGAGCCATGTTTGCAATAAAATGAGTTTGAGAATAAGATGGGTTTTGCTGGAGCGGGGCTACGGGCGCACAGACAAGGTTGTGTGGATAGGTCTAGGGTGGCTTGGATCTCTCGGTGATCAGAAATGAGACTAACTGGGGAGTGCACACTAGGAGGCTTTTAGGTCCCTGAACACCATGGCCAGTCTCATTTTCTCCTCATCGCTTGCTCGTGTTCGCAGTGCTGTACCTCTTCAGCGTGCCATTGTTGTTGCCCAGCGTGACTTTAAGCTTAGTGTTGGGTCGATTAAAAAGGGTCAAATTGTTCAGTTTAAGGACAAGGCATGGAAGGTCTTGAATCGTGATCATTCCTCTTCCGGAAGAGGTGGAGCTGTCATCAAGGTACACACCGATAATTGGTGCTGTACGATAAAAAATTTATTAAATAAATTCTGTGTAAAAATATATGCGTAGATGGAACTCCAGGATATTCTCAATAGTGCCAAGATTAACGAACGATTTAAGTCGTCTGATTCTCTTGAGAGTAAGCAAACTAGAATATATATGATACATGGGTCTGACCTTTTCTTTTTTTAAAAATTCGTGACTAATATATGTGTAAATGTACATCTTTTTATTATTATTATTATTATTTTTTTAAAAAAAAAGTCTTGAACCTTCAGGACGAGACTCACCAATATCTTTATACTGATGGAAACAACGTTCACTTGTTGCATCCTGATACTTTTGAAGAAATTGAAATGACACTTGACACTTGTGAAGGTGGTGAGCAAGCAGCAGCTCTTCTTGAAGGTAATATATTACTATTACTAACTAATATTACTACATAAAAATATCAACTACTTATCAACAACAAATTGTATCTTGTATTTCTAGATGGTATGCCCATTGCTGTCAGTTTCTTGACAACCCCTGAGTTAGGCCGTCAACCAGCAACTTTCAAGCTGCCTTCCAGCCATGTTTTCACTGTAGAATCTGTAGTTGAAAGAGCTGGCCAGGCTGCCAAAGGAACAGTCTATATGACTGCTCGTTTGACCAATGGAGCAAAACTTCAGGTACCAGAGTTTGTGAACGAAGGTGATCGTATTCTCGTTGAGGTTGAGACCATGAAATACATGAAGCGTGAATTATAATATATATACAAACATACAAACATACAAAATAGAAAGGTATGGATGATTTTACTCACAAGCAGGATTATATATTTGAAGAAAAAAAAATCAAATATACATAAGAAAAGTCAAGAATACTATGCCTTTTTATGCGCATACAGTTATAAACATGTAAAGTGGTCAAACAGACCAGAAGTTTTGTATCATTTTTATTCTTAGAAGAATCACCAGAGTTCTATTTTCTCTATATAACTATACGACAATTTTATTAAAATATAGAAAAGGCACAAAGTGACCATAGTACATCTTGTAGTTACATATCCTAAAAAAACACGCAAGAGTTGAGCTAATTAACTGGGGGCTGAATTATAAGACAATAAGAAAAAACGCATTACATATACACATGAATTTTCATATAGTTTTCGTCCTTCTAAAGAGCACATTTTGATATAGCATAAATGCTTGAGTCTATACTACTTTGTACAAGAAAGTGAGCATCTTGTGTACAGCTACAAAGACTTGAAGTATACACATAGTTTCGTTTACGGTCCCATTAAGAGTTTTTTTTAACTCATCTTTCTCACAGACTACGCTTAACTTGAGAAAAGGATAAAATTCGCGGGTGCTATTGAAGTTGGGAATCCATAAACCATAGTATTTTTTTAAAAAAATAATAATACTCAAGCTAAAGAGGGTGTTTCATTATCTCTACAGAAACAGGCGCAGACAGCGGAGATCATAATGAGTAAATTATTGGCTGAGAGAGATCGACATTGAATTAAAATCTGCAGATTCCTGCCTTGTACTTTATCACCAAATATTGTACATATGGCAAAGTTAAAATTGTAGTGTAGACAGACTTAAAAGTTCAAATAAAAAAATGAAACAGCTATAATTTACTGGACTTCTTCCAGTGCTAATTATATTGAGAAGAATATTGCGCTTTTAATGGAATAGATTGTACCAGACAAGATGTCGTCTAGTGAGAATTGCAGGACTGCTAAAAAAAAACTCAACCGCACTTTTGGAAATTTTATCGCTTGGTGAAGTTTAATAAATATTAAACCGCCGTTTAAAGTAAAATCTGTGGAACTTGAAATGTCCAATAGATTGCCTCTCGTTAAAAGTCACATGATTGCACTACGAGAGACTATTTATTAAAAACGTAAAAACGTAAAAACAGTGTAAATTGGACGAGAGTGTCCCGGCCAAACTTGGACGGTTCGTCCCGAAAATTTGCTTTTACGATTTGTGTGGTGATTTTTTTTTATATATATGTAAATAAATATAAAGCGGGATTTAGATATTTTGGTGGGGGAACTGTTTTGTCCAAAAGACTTGTCCTCTGTACACCATGAGAAAGTATGACGATATATTGGAATTGTGGCTTCGTTTTTAGGCTACAATATCCAGGACATGGATAAAATCTTGGGTCCAACCAAGAAAAATTTCCTTTATTTACCTTTAAATATAAAAGCTCTCTTTCTTTCTCTCTCTCTCTCTCTCTTTCTCCATCTCTCTTGCTACCCAAACGGAAATTACTACTGCCATGGTATCAACTAGAAGAACTATTCCGACGTCTTTCCACGGTGCTTGGATAAATGTCGCGACAAGATCAGGGTACTTCCGGGCTGTGGACTGGGCTGACTTCATCCTGTTTGTTATCCCCACGCTTGTGGCAGAGCGTGTCCGTGACCAAGCTGCCCGTAAGGCATTGCTTGACCTGGTGCAGACATGCAACCTACTCATGAGCTGGGAGTTATCAGCAGAGGAGCAAACCTTGATCAAAACGTAAGCTTTAATTATAATTAATATTATTGTTTTATAACTTGTGTTAACTTATCTTTTTTTTTTAGAAATCTCGTCGCATGGAATGCGTGTCTGGAAGCCTCGCTTGCTAAAAGAACGGGAAATTGGCGAGTGCTCTCGAGCGAGACAGCCCCTAAGCTGGAAGCTGTCTTTAATTGCTTCTTTATGCTGGGGGCTGTCTTTAATTGCTTCTTTAAGCTGGGAGCTGTCTTTAATTGCTTCTTTAAGCTTGGAGGAGCTGTCTTTAATTGCTTCTTTAAGCTGGGGCTGTCTTTAATTGCTTCTTTAAGCTGTAGGCCTGAACCTGCATAAAGACAGCCCTTGAGGCCGGTCTTGACGGTTGTGTGATTGACTCTGCAAGGGAGGCGTGTCGTGTTCGTGTACCGTTGCAAGTTGACGTGAATTCGAGAAGGATCCGCCTTGTGCCGTCCGGGATTTAAGCATTTTTTTTTTGGAAAAGTTGTGTTCTTCCAACACATACAAAACTCAATAGTTGGCCAATAGCTCTTATAAAAATAAATAGTGTGCACTTAAAAAATGGATTCCCCATTACATCTGCAATAAAACCAAAGACTGTAGTTGTTCATGTCAGCGATATTGTAAAGTTGGTTGGCTTGGTGCCTTAGATGACATATGATTTGTTTTGTTTTTGTAATAACTGTCTCTTTCGAATTATCTTGACACGTTTTACGCGAACAACAAAAAAAAATTAGTCTTTTTTTTCTTCTTCTTGGTAATTTTGATATTCAATGACTTCTTGGTTTTACCTGTTAATTTTTTGGATAATATAAATATCGTAGACTATGTATGTCACTTTCTGTTTTATCAAAGACGCAGGTACAGGGAAATGCATGCCAATCCGATGATAATGCATGTATTTGTTTGAGCGATACATTGTTTTTCTTGACATTTGTTTTTTTTTGTTTTGTATTTATGCAGGTCTGATTTATGATAGCCAGATATACATTTGAGTGTTTTGATTATTATTATTACTATTGGTGGTGGTACTTGTAAGCTTACTGGCTTGGTTTATCTTGTCTGTTTGAAAAAATAGTGTACTTATTTTAAGCATATATGAGACTATAATATCATTTGGTTTATGGTTGCCATATCTATATATATATATATATAAATCATTCAAGTCTAAAGATGTCTTCGTGGGTTCTCGAGTTTTTTATTTTTTTTATTAAAGCCATTAATTATCAAGATATTGAAAGATAAAGGCTTACCTTTGTAATAAACATTGTATTATTATTATGATTACTTTCAAGCATAAATTATTGAGTGTTTAACATTTGGTCAGATCTTATTCATTAAATTCAATTGAACCTTGGAGAAATATAAAGGTAAACTAGGAAGAATAATATCTGATTTGTCGATTGGATATAAGTTTGTTTCTGTGAATGTACATCTATATATTTACTTTAATACATTATCAGAAAGATAGATAGAGGGAATTTAAAGCAAAGTCTAGGTAAATTATTCATGCTCTGATAATGTGCATAAAGAAAAAAAATCAAAAATAAACTCAATATTCCAAGAACACATTTGCTCATCATTATCATAATAATCAACAACAACAAAAAAACAACAAAATAATTCATCTGGTTATGCTTGGCATGCTTGCTGACGACAGATCCCTGCTAATCTTCATACATAAGACTAAATCCTAATTAGATTTTTATTTGAATTCAAAATATACGCATATATTCCAGTGTGTTTTGTGATAAAATAAAGACTAAAGGAGACAAGTAGTTTGTCAAGGAGTGGGTTTCTTATTTTTAGATCTTGATTTATTGATACCTGGAATAGTGTGATGTTAGGTTTTCTCTTGCAGACGATCTTATTTAATTAGTTGGTTTGTCGGTAAGGCAAGGTAAAGTATATTATTTATATATAAATATTTGCTTGTGTGTATAATGTTATTATTGTGTCCTACAATAAAGGAACACTGAATCCCGGTTTGTGCTTCGTTTGACTGTCTCCGGTATTGTGCGAGTAAACCCTTGATTCTTAATGGAATGGCGTACAAGCACAGATCTAAACAATCAAGGATATATTTTATCCATGTGACGACTCGATTTATATTTGATATTTCTCTTGTGAATCTTCTATTAGGTAACTTCTTTGGGTTTTTAAAGAAGCTCAATTTCTGTATAGACATATATTCGACTATCAATACTTTATCTATTTGCTTATTTATTAAAGGTATAAACATATAAGCATATCTCAGAAGAATCTTAATCTCCTTTATCTTGACGTATACGAAGCAGGGGGAAGTGAATACATAAATAAATAAAAAAAGACATCATTAATATAATTCACCAAGAGTTCATTGGATCCCCCTTATTTTATCAGTTATTCAAAGGAGAATTGAATTGAATTGAATTCAATTCAATTTGTGAGGTAAAAACAAAAACAAAAACTCAATGCACGTGATTAGTACTTGGCAGTAAAAGAAAGCAAAAATAAAATAGAGTATCTTTACAACCCCATCACTTTTTTATTATTATTGCTGTTGTTGTTGTGTGTATATAGGGTAGCTTTGTGCTGTGCTGTGCTGTGCTGTGCTATACTGTACTGTACTGTACTGTACTGTGTTGTTTTGTGTTGACAGATGGGAAAATATCTTTGTAAGTAAGTTGGGTGAAATTGTAAATACAAATATACAAAAAAAGGAATGTCTGCCGATAAAGAGAGAGAGCGAGAGAAGAAATAAAATAAATAAATATTAATTTTGTATGGAAAGGCTTAAATTTTTTTTTCTCTCTTCCCCACTCAAAGTTGAATTTGACTGTTAATTATTATTGTTATTTCCCTTACTTTAATTTATTTGCCTGCCTCTATAGCCTCTATAGCCTCTGTAGCCTCTGTGTGCCTCTGTAGCTTCTTTAGCTTCTTTAGCCTGCCTGTGTGCTTGTCTGCCTGTTTGCCTGTCTGCAAACAAAGCGTCACGTAAGCAAAGTTAGGCGGAGTTATGTATGGTTTCATAGCATGTGAATATATATACATTTATATAAAAACACATATAGGGCCTTTGGCAATCCACAATTCCAGAGCCATGTCACACCTAAAAAGGAGGACAAAATCCCCACGTAATTTTTTCTCTTTCTTATTTTGTGGTTTAGCTTTGGCTTGTTTAGATTATTATTAATTTCTGTTGTTGTTTCTGTTGCATTTCCTTTTTATTTATTTATTTTTTATTTAATATATAAATATATAAGCCATATCCTTACATTATCTGTTTAAATGGCTGTCCAAAGCAAGCTTACAAAGGTAACCGCTAGATCAGGATTGCCTGCCGAGCTTCAACCTGCCCTGGCTACTCTCTTGAGAGCCTATGGTCTCGGATGGGCCCTTTCTAGCGTGCCTACCTTTCTGGGTCTGTTAATCAAGACAATATTGGCCCTCATAAAAGGCCAGGGTCCAGCAAAGGTCCTGTCCTTATTCTTCAACGGCATCCAAAAGACTCTCAAGGACAGTGTGACAAAGAACGGTCTCCCTTACGTGATGGCAGGTGCCTTTGGATGTCACCGCTTTGTTGCTTATCTATTGAATCGTATCCCATACGCAACGTCCTGGTTCACCAAGAAGAACATCCAGCGCATATCTATTTTCCTGTCAGCAGCAACCACAATGCACTTTGTTAGACGATCATTCAAGGCCACAAAGACCATGGACCTTACCTTACTTGCCTTTTCGCGTGCATTGGATGTGTTGGCTCACCGCGCCTACGTCTCACCTATCGTACGCAAACACATGCCTGCCTGGTTACTTGAACACTTTAGTGTCGTTGCATTTACAGCCGTCACAACAGAAGCAGTATGGACATGGATGTATGAACCCAGTAGACTTCCAAGGTAAATCTCTTGCTTATATATCTGTTTAGAGTTATAGGTGAGTCGATTGTTCACCTCTTCTTTTGGTGTGCTTTATAAAAAAAAACAACAACAACAACAGATCTTATTCAACCTGGATCGCTGGTGTGGCTGGTGTAGACGACAGAATCTTACAGACCCTGAGAAATATTCGGAATGGAACTTATACATATGGTGTAAGTAACTTCTGTTTAGATTTGAGCTGGACACTTTAGATTATTCGAAACCTTTATATATATATATCTTTTGTGATGATAAAAAGACGATTGTATCAAACAAATACTCAATTGATGTGGTCATACTAGTCAGCAGCAATTGCCAATGGTGCAGGTCCAATCATCGAAGTCTGTAAAGAGTTTGGTATCGATCCTGCCCTTGCTGATCCACTGCATGGCAGATTCCCTTGCTCGGCTGTACATAATGGATTACCTTTTGGGTGTGAGGTCGCTGGTTTAGATAAATTCGCCTATGTGTTCTCAAAGGGATTCCCAGTAAGTCTACGACCTTTTATATATAACATATACACCTGTACTTTTATTTACAATAAGAATGTGCAGAAAATGAGGGGAAGCTTTGGGGAGAAAGGATTATATGTACTGACAAGTGTAATGCTCAATAAAAAAAATAGCTCTACTTTACCGTACACGCCCTTCCTCCTCTCTTGTTTTCCACCAAGCGCCTAAAGAGCGATCCTGCACAGGGATTGCTTCAAATCCTGCAGGGATCCGTAATGTCGGCCTCATTCCTGGCCAGTCTGATCGCGTCTATCTTTTACATCATTTGTTTAATCCGAACACGCATTGGACATCAGTTACTAGGCATTCCACAAAAATACCTCGATTCACCATGGACACCATTTGTGGGCTGTGTACTGAGTGGAGCAACTATCATGGTAGAGAGCAAGCATCGTCGAGCAGAAATGGCTCTTTACGTCGCTCCCCGTGCTCTCCAGTCCTTCTTGGACCGACTCTTGGAACCTTATAAGCGCGGTCGCTGGTGGGAGAAGGTCGGTGGCAATACCGTCGAGACCATGGTGTTTGCAACCTCCCTTACTGTTATTCTCGAGGCCCTTTACACTAACGACACTATGCTCCGGTCCTCAGTAAAGTCTCTCTTTTCCTGGATTCTCAAGGACGAACTCAGAGAAGCCAAGGCAGTCAAGGAGGCAGCCCAGGCTAAAGAAGAAGATAAAACTAAAGCATCTACACACATATCCAACATCCCATTCCATGGTTAATATACATCGTATACAAACAACAACACCAACAGCACCAACATAAGCACTTTTATATATTATCATATTAATCCTGAACAACAGAATAAACATATAAAATCCCAAAATTTTCTCTTTAATGACCCATGTCTTTATTAATTACATTTTGTTGTTGTTTCTGTTGTGGTCTTGATAAATAGATACACAAATACACAAATAAATCAATCAATAAATAAAAAATTTAATCCAGAATGTAATAAACTCAAGGGGTTAAGGTTCATCTTTGTGATGAAGATAAGCATTGGCGTTGGCGTTGACAACGTTCTTTCTTTCTTATTGCTTTTAGCTTGGCATAAATCACAGCCGTTAAATAATGGCAAGGTATACGCTCCGTGTTTCACATGTTAAAAAACAAAAGAACATGAAAAGAAGATATGGAAAGCGATGCAAAGAGGGGCGACTCAGACAAGATTCTCCTTTCTCCCTCCCTCCCTCTCTCTCTTTCTTTCTTTCTTTATTTTTCTCCTCTCTTTTTTTTCATATATATATTTTCTCAACTCTCCTTCACCCCCCTTTCTCTTTCGCTCTTCCACTCTTTCTTGTACACTTCTTGTCAGATCAAAACATATAATTCATGTCCCCTCCTCTTCCTCTTCCTCCTCCTCTTCGTCGTTCACCCCTACAGGTCTTGACAAGCAAATCAGGTCTACCGGTTGAACTCCAGCCAGCACTCGCGACTGCCATAAAGGCTTATGGTCTAGGATGGTCTTTTACAACCGTACCAAGTTTAGTCGCCTGGCTGGTCAAACTCGTCCTATGTACCATCAAGCGTGATCTGAAAGGCGTCAGTAAACTTGCTCGCGCCTTGGGTCCGATGTTACAGAAAAGTATAACTAAAAATGGAATGCCAGTGATGATGACTGGTGTTCTATCTGGGCACAGCTTTTTGTCGTACGTGTTGTCAAGGATCCCACAACCCTGGTGGGGGCGAAAACGAGATCCTTCTGTATTGCCAATCAAGACATTAACAGGCGAAAGGGTGATGATGATAATCTCAGCAGCAACCACGATGTTCTTTTGTCGAAGGGCATTCAAGATGCACACACTAGATCTCACCTTGACTGTATTGACAAGAGCATTTGATACGATCGGATTTGCATTCTATGCATCTCCATGGGCAAGCCATTTACCAGGTTGGATATTGGACTATGGTAGTGTGATGGCCTTTACTGCAGTCACAGCTGAGGTTTTATATACTTGGATCTATGAACCCAGCCGACTACCAAGGTATGTATATATATAAAAAAAATTAGACAACGGGAAATGATGCGGGGTGTTGCGGGGAAGACAGATTTATCTGATCTGTAAATCTGATATGGTTTAATTTTGTAGATCATATGCAAAATGGATTTCAAATATTGGTTCGTTTGATGAGCGCCTGTTTTTGGTCTTGCGTGGATTCCAGGACGGTAGTCTTATGTATGGTGTGAGTAAGAGAGGGAACCTGATAGTAAAGAATAAGATGTGCGATACTAACGAATCTGATTTTTTTTTTTATTTTTTTTTTTATTTTTTTTTTACTTTTATTCCACTATAAAAAAAAACCGCCCACTAAAGAAAGATACCGGAAAAAATAACGTGTTGGATGGACTAGCCGATGATCTTGGCTGCCCACGAGATCTTTGTAACCCTCTCAATGGACGTATACCATGTTTTGTTGTCCACAATGGCCAGCAATATGGCTGTGAGGTCAATGCCCTGACCAAAATTTCCACTGCATTTTCTAAAGCATATCCTGTAAGATTGATTAAGTTATTGAATATGTAGGGTATTATTTGTTGATTTAAATTAATTAATTAATCAATTATGATCATCATCAACAACAACCCAAAAACAGAAAGAGAAACAAAATGATAATAATGATTGATTTCTTTAGCTATATTTCATGGTGCATGTAGTCCTTCCATTGTGTATTAGCAGAAAGCGGCTGCGTGAGGATCCTGTCGGTACATTGTCTCACAGTATCCGTGGATCTATACGGTCAACGTCTTTTATCAGCGCATTGGTCGGTATTCTGATGTATTCGATGTGTTTGACAAGAACAAGAATTGGCCATCAACTGCTTAGAGCTCCACAGAAGTATCTCGATCACTCTTGGGCGCTTGTGATGTCCTGTACTTTGAGTGGACTGTCTGTAATGCTGGAAAGCAAGCCTCGACGTGCTGAAATGGCACTCTATGTTGCCCCACGTGCCATGCGATCATTAACAGACCGCTGTCTATCGATGATTACTAAGAACAGATGGTGGGAGGCTGGAGTTGGAGAAAGTATAGAGACAATGGTGTTCTCTGTGTCGGTGGCTATTATTCTAGAGGCAATGTACAAGTACGATTCGCTTGTTCGGTCATCGACAAAGAGTATGATGACTTGGGTTCTCAAGGAGGAGCTAGAAAAGGACAAGAAATAATTTATTAATTTATTTCTTTATTTTACATTTGTCCATTAAAAATCAAAAACAAAAAAAAACAAAAAATTGATAAAGAGGAGCGTATCGACATGCTACAGCACATTTAATGTCATTTAACATCACTCAACAACAGATAATACACAATTGCATTTTTACCATAAGGATTTAAAAGTAATGTATAGCTAGCGTATAGAGCACATAGCATAACATAATATGGTATGTAATGACATGGCATGGCATGGCATGGAATAGCATGGAATAGCATGGTTTAGTGTGCTGGTTCAAAAAATAAAAATAAAATAAAAAAAAAGGTACGCAAGGACCACTTGCGGTGATTTCATTCGTACTTTTATTATTATTATTATTGAGTTCCGATCTCCTTCTTTTGTTCCTGTTTCCAACCCTTGTTCTTTTTTTTTCTTTCTCTATATTTTACTATCACTATCTCTGCTGCTACTGCTACTGCTACTGCTACTGCTACTGCTACTGTTGTTGTTGCTGTTCCTATCACTATTACTACTGCTATTACTGCTACGATTACTATTACTATTATTGTTACTATTGCCGCTATTATCACATTATGAACTCCTACCCCAAGAACAGAGAGACTTTACCTATGAGTCTGCCATCACCACCTCATTCGTCATGTGGGGATGAGAACCCAACACACTTTGATGCCCTAACTCTTCAGCAACTATCGACCTCTTTGCCAGAAAATTATACTATCGATCACTCTATCCAACGAAGACAGTCAGAAACGTCACTTGGAAGTGCTACTAGCAATAGCAATATTAATGCAAAGAACGATAAACTACACTGTTGCGATTTGTGCGGCAAGGCTTACAAGCACCCAGCCTGTCTTGCCAAGCACAGATGGGAGCACTCGGACGAGTGGGCGTTGACGAGTCAGTGGTTGCTCACCAAGCACCAGCAGGTTCAGATGCTCGAGGCTGCTGCTATCCTTGTTAGTATGGACAAAAGCCCTTCATTTGTACCGTCTGTAGACGCTTCTTAATCTATACCATTCTTCTCTGTCTCTTTGTACATTATTCCCCTTTCTTTCTTCTATTATTTTTTTATATCCTTTCTTTATTTCTTTCTTTCTTGTAATACATTCTATTTGTCTTTTTATATACTCGTGTCACATGGCTTGGGTATTATTATTATTTTTATTATTATATTTTACATTATATATTATATATTTTAATATCCAACAGGATATGACGAAAGCTGAAAATTATCTCTGAGGTATAAGAGAGAGAGAGAGAGAGAGAAAGGTACAATATATACATCGATTTTACTTTTACATCAACATCAACACCAATACACACACATACACACAGTAATTATAACGGTAATGGCTTTGATAATCTTGATCAAAACCATCAAATTTAATGTTGTGTTTCGTGAAAAATATCCTATCCTATTGTGTTTATTTTTATTTTAGCTACAATCTGGAAATTGTAATGAAATACAGGCCATTAAAATAACCCATTTAATTCTTAATGAATTCACTCTATTTGATCATCCCCTTTTCTCTCTAACCAACTAGTCAAATATGCTTTAGACTTGAAGTTTCCAGGGGTCCCACCAGACCTTTTTATTATTATTATTATTATTTGTATAGTTATTATTCTAATTATTCTGTAGTGAATGTTCAACATATTACTTGTCAATATTCTTGTGTAGATGACACAAAAAATCCCCTTTGTTTCCTCGAGGGTGTAGCCATGGATACTGTGGTTGCCATGGCAATAATGAACAGTTTATTTAGACAACTTTACATATCCTATGAAATCCTTATCTCTGTCTATTATTCTGTATCTTTATCGATCGATCTATCTATCTATCTATCCACTGATTTTCCCCCCTTCTTTTCATCCCATCATTCAACTCATTACTATTATCCTACATATGATATCTTTTGTTCCTATTTATTACTTTGTTCCAGACATAGCTGATGTCATTGCCTTATCTAGATTGTCACTCTTGAGCCGAGTAATTTAGAAAAAAAATTATAAAAATATAAAATTATAAAAAAGGAATTCAAAAAGCATATAAAATTTCATATAAAAATAGACTAAAGAAAAAAAAAAGCGGCAACAGTAAAATCACAAGCGAGCTACTACCTACCTGTCCACCTACTTACTTGCCTACTTTTCAAATTAATTTTAATACAATAATACTCTCCTTTCCTTTTACTCATTACTCCTCATGACTGCGAGGTATATTCCAATCGACTCACAAGATACTGCATCATCTGGGTCCTCACTCCCTGCATCGACAGCATCCTATGTCGATCCTCAGTCTTGGCCTGATGATCAAAGACCACTCTTGGGTCATTCGTCAGCAGCAACATCTTTGTATCCAAATGAAGAAATCGATGTCCAAGATGAATTAAGCTATACTCAACCTACAGCTACCATCGGAAGTTGTTCAATCAACTTGGCCAACACTATTCTTGGCACTGGTATGCTTGCCATGGTAAAGTAAAATGAAAAATAAAATAAAATAAAATAACTAAAGAATTAAATTAAATCGAACTTTCTTTACTCTTATTTTATTTTATTTTATTTTATTTTATATATAAATATAAATATAAATATAAATATAAATATAAATATAAATACATTAGTACAATATAGATACTTTGCACCTTTAATCTATGCTTTTACTAATATATATATATATATATATATATATGTACATTTAGCCATCAGCAGTTGCCTCTACAGGGCTTTTGCCAGGTATATTTGTCATCTTGTTCTCAGGGGGTGCATCAGCTGCTGGATTATATTTCTTGGCCCGTTGTGCTTCCCGGACAGAGGGTCGGCATGCGTCTTTCTTTGCGATTTCCAAGTTGACCTGGCCTTCGATAGCTGTTTTATTTGATTTTGCGATTGCTATAAAATGTTTTGGCGTTGCAGTGAGCTATTTGATCATTATTGGTGATTTGATGCCTCAGGTTGTGGCGTCGTTTGCCAGCGATACTCAACCATTAGACCTCTTGATGGACCGTAAATTCTGGATCACTGTGTTTATGGCAGTGGCTGTCTTGCCCTTAAGTTTCCTGCGCAAGCTTGACTCACTCAAGTACACAAGTGGTGTCGCCTTGTTTGCAGTCATGTATCTCTGCATTATTGTGATCTACCACTACATATCTCCAAATTTTCCTCCTCCTCCCCCGGAAGATGTTGAGATGATTGCCTTTTCTACAAAATTCTTTGCTCAGCTGCCTGTATTTGTGTTTGCATTCACTTGCCATCAGAATATCTTTTCAGTTTACAATGAGCTCAGGGACAATTCCCAGCGGTCCATTTCTACCGTCATCGGTACCTCCATCGGAAGTTCGGCGTTCATTTACGAGGCCATTGCTATTCTAGGCTATTTGAGCTTTGGCAAACATGTGCGTGGGAACATTATTATGGAATGTAAGCAAAACAAACAAACAAATAGACAAATAGACAGACAGAGAGAAAGACAGGAAGGCAGACAGGCAGGCAGGCAGCAGACTGACAAAGAGTCAGGCAGTCAAACAGTCAAACAAACAAACAAACAAAAGCAGATAAAGTGGATAGGTTTAATTACATTTAATGACATATTTATTAAATCAAAAACATAATACAAATCTCCAGATCCTCCAAGTGTATTCGTAGCAGGTGGTAGACTGGCTATTGTGGTCCTGGTCGTATTCAGTTATCCTCTTCAGGCTCACCCATGCCGTGCCTCTCTCGACAAAATTCTTGCCTGGCGTACACCTGAAGCTAGAGGTCTCAAGGTCCCTCCTCCTCCTTCGAATCTAAAATACTTTTGCATGACAACTGCCATTCTCATCGGTAGTTATCTTGTAGCCATTACTGTATCTCAACTTGACCTCGTAAGTTAAATCAATATAATATATATATATATATATATATATATTTATACATTAATTCAAAAAGAAAAATCATTAATATCAATAATAATTTATTTATTTTTTTACATCAGGTACTTGCCTTTGTTGGCTCTACAGGATCTACAACAATTTCTTTTATCTTACCTGGTTTGTTCTACTACAAAATCCACGAAAATGATCCATGGAAGGCAGGAAAGATTACGGCAGTCTGTCTTGCTGTGTACGGGATCTTGGTGATGTTCGTCTGCCTGACATTTAATATCATGCGCCTCATCAATACCTAAAACTAGAGAACACATAGTATACTTTATTGACCTTCCAATGTTCAGGGTCATTGATTGTCTTTATATTTTATATTTTATTTTTATTTTTCTTACAAAAATAGCTTATAAAGAAAGAAATAGAAAAGAGCTATCAAAGTAATAGAAATATAAAGATCCCCATTTGCCTAACACAATCGTCCCCAATGATAAGAATAGCTTTTAAGCTTATATACTTATATGACTTTTAACCCCCAATCTTGAGGTGATTGTGAATGATAATGAATGGTTTATATAACCTTTTTTTTCATGGATAGAAGCTTATAATTATAATTATATATATATATATATATATAGTTATAAACGTTTTCTTTAAATTATTCTTCTCAGAGACTATATAATCGTTATATTCGTCTATTCTCTTGAGCATTATTATTCACCTCTAATGACTAGTTTTGAGAATGAAAGATCAGAAGACGGTCCTTGGAATGGACTAGAAATTGAACAGTCTCGATCCACAACAACCCGCTGGCCTTGTTTCTCCCTGGAGACTGGCAACAAGCCTATTGAAGCAGAGGCTATCCAAGGCCTTCTCCAGCTACAGAATCCAGTCTTGCTTTCAAACTACACCCACCCACCTCTAATCCGTCCACAACCACAGCACAGACCCCCGTCATGGCACATGCCATCCCAAAAATCTCAAAACATTTCCTCGAGTTCTAGTGACCAAGAACCCTCACAACCATCCTATTCTCTCGACAGATCTCTGTCTCTTCCTCATCTCACTCTACCACGGCCGATTTCTTATCTTAGCGACTGCAACCGTCCGATGCCATTGGTCGTTGTAACGGACCCATCGGCTGAAACCCTAATTGCGACGGACACAAACGAAGGTCATATGGAGAAACCAGAAGGCTCAGACGACACCGAAGACACGGATGATGAGATGAGCAAATCAAAAAGACAATCTCATCCGTCCAGTCAGCGAAACAGCACAGGGCTTCTGAAGCCTCGGTGGAAAGATGCAGAGAGACTAAGACTGTTCCAAGCAATAGTAAAGGACAAGCTTTTGGATGACATGGCAAGTTTTCATTGGGATAAGATAGCTGTCGAGGTCGGGAGACCCAAGAAGGCTTGTAAAGATCAGTGGAGACGGGAACTTCTTCCCAATTTTATGGCTAGGATGCAGGCGTCTTATCAGCCTGAACAAGGCGATGATCAGGATGATGAATAGATACAATAGACCAAAGCATAGACATCTTTTCTTTCTTTCCTTTCCTCTTCTTTATTTCTTTATTTCATTCTTCCTTATGCTCTCATTTTATTTTATTTAGATTACCCAAAAAAAAAATAAGCAACTTTTAGAATAAAGAATATACATATATATATCGATCACCCGTTCACGTTCATTCATTTCTCATTCATTGGTTTCACCCATTTTCCTCACAATGCCTTTTGACAGAGGACTGCGTCATAGGGTCACATGCAGTTGTTTGATTCTCAAACACTTGCCTTGATCTTGACTCTCTTTCTTATCTCTCTTTATCTCTATTTTATACCTATGCGGTCCAAATTCAAAGACGAACATCCTTTTGGTAAAAATAAAATAAAATAAAATAAAATAAAATACATACACACACAAAGAGAGGGAAAGAGACCCTTGCATTTAGAAATATCAAAAGTCTAACAAGTGCTTTATTAAAATCCCAGAGAAACGCAAGGCAGAAGCTGACCGTATTCGGCAAAAATACCCCGACCGCATCCCAGTCATCTGTGAAAAGGTCGAAAAGAGCGACATTCCGACGATTGACAAGAAGAAGTACTTGGTTCCTTCAGATTTAACAGTGGGCCAGTTCGTATATGTGATTCGCAAGCGCATAAAGCTTAGTCCAGAACAAGCCATCTTTGTGTTTGTAGACGAAATTCTACCACCCGCAGCAGGTAATGAAAATGACAACATTTATAAACATTTTACTTGATGTTCCTAACTCTTTATTTTTTTTATACTTTATTTTTCTCTATTATCTATATACAAATATATTTTTAAAGCATTGATGAGTGCCATCTATGAAGAGCACAGAGATGACGATGGTTTTCTATACATTACGTGAGTTCACATACGTATACACACACATAAAAAAAAGTGTCGATATATACAGTCTTATAACCACAACCTTTACTAACTATACTAAATTAAAATTTTACAGGTACTCAGGTGAAAACACTTTCGGGCAAACTGGCCTAGCATAACTCTTCTCTTACCACATTTAAAGAAAAAAAGAAAGAAAAAGAAAAAGAAAAACAACATGAAATAATAATAAAAGCTAACACACACACACACACATACACAAATGAATGCACAATAATTGTTTTGTTTTTTCTTGTGTTTGCTTTTGGAATCACATTTTTTTTTGTTTGGTTTGATTTTGGTTTCGACTCAAGGAGTCTTGTCTTATTGTCAATGTTGAAACAAAAGTTATAACTGTTGATGGTAATAAGACTGGGCATTTAAAGACCCAACTTGGTGTGGCGCCAGTTGCGACGCTTGGCGTTCCAGCTAAAATAGAAAAGCAAAAATATTTTAGTTAGTCCAGTTTATTATGATTATGATTCATCTACAACATGTAGAATTCTATCATGATTGCTTACCGGATCTTGGTGTCAGTCTTAAGACGGAACCAGTGGGGAAGAGGGCGGTTCTGCTTCTGGGCCTTGCCAAGCTTAACCTTGGTCCGGAATGACTTGTTGGAAGGCTAGATTGAAAAGAAGGGCAACACAGCGTAAGTATTTCTTATTTCAATTTATCTAACAGTGTATCCATTTGTCTTTATCTACACATCAGATACATAACATATCTATCTATATATCTTTATATTTTTATATCCATATATCATGATTAATTAATCTATCCATCCATCCATCCATCCAGCCAGATAACCACCCAGGTACAGTTATCGTTCGTTGATTTATTAATCTCTTCGTTCGTTCGTTCGATACGTATGGATGGCTGTGGATCTGGATGAGGTAGAATCGTCATATAGTTTTACATACCATGATTGGCAATCGGTTCAAGTGAAAGGAGGAAGCCCAGGTCTACTGCATTCGATAGTCTCCATGGGTAAAATTGAAATACAGTCACGTCGATCGAGCGTCCCCTCCCTCCCCCCCCCCACTTTTCTCCCTCCTCCCCCATAAATATGAGAGTCAAAAAACTTCGGGTTGAGCTCAAACTCTTTTAACTTTTTTGAGTTTTTGTAAATTATGTAAATTATAGTCAGCACAAGTTAAATACAAACACACACACACAGACCATGGTGTCAACATCTTGCAAGTTTTGTATTGATATATTATATTTAATAAATTATATACACACCCACAAATACGCGCACATATATATATATTAAGAACTAATATTATTAATAAGGATCCAACAATACGTTGTTTTTGACTAAAGGCGTTTAACTTTTCGTCAAATATAAAAATAAAAATAAAGAAATACGGTTGGGTTTGAAAGAAACACGAGTAAAAGAGATATATAGATATATACGGAAGCATATAAAGAGAGAGAGAGAGGCCAAGATCGAAAAATAAAAATGTTTGTTTGACATTGATTGTTTTTTTGTTGTTGTTGTTGGAATTATAGTTTGGATCGAGTAAGAGGGTTATGCAAAGGTCTAATAAGAAACATTGTAATAATGCGCTCCAAGAGCACACAAGTAGACGGTCTATTATAATCGCTGACACTCCATGTGGGTCTTGGTTGGGTCCATGGGAAGAGCACAGAAAAACCCAAGTTTCTGCATCTCTGCAAACATCTCAACAACTAATACAACCCGCTTGTTAATTAATCGATAACTCTTTACCAAAACCACCAGAACCAGAACCTGAACCAGAATAAACCACCTAATATACTTACACTCCAACTTCAGTTTAAGACATTCTTCCTGACCGCTTGGTAACTGTCTACACAGCTGATGTTTGTACTGGTCGATATTATAATTGTCCTGAGGTGCTTTTGCCACAAAAGCATTCATACGAGAAAGCTCACTGGGTTGGTTATCGGACATGACTGAAATACCAATAAAGAAACCAAAAATCAATATTTAAACATAAAAAACGTAAACTATATCTCTTGCACTGACATGCTTTGTTATTTTTGCTTGTCTTACAACTTACTGTAAAGACTTTCTAGGAGAGAAAGGTGGGGAAAAACGCAAGGGTGTGCATTTTTCCACAAGACATACAAATCCGCGCGTGTAGCATTATGTCATCGTGACTTTTTATTTTGGCCACCGCACTCAAAGACAAGCTCATTGCTACAACTATTCTTAACATTTTTTTCTTGACTTTTTTTTATTTTATGCAATGAACACAACTGTTAATGATTTCAAAGATTCGTTGGAAAAGCTTTTACAAAAGCAATATCGTCAAGAATCCGAAATTGACTTTAAAGAACTTCAAACACATGTCTGTTTTGACAAGTGAGTTCCAAATGAACAGCCATTGAGAAGAAAATGTCACCCATGACCGCCGTCTCTGTTTTCATGCATGCATGTAGACATGCATATATACATAATTTCTTTCTTAAATAAATTTCAACAATTATTATAGTTTCATGAATCCAGAGGATATGAGAGAATCTTCTGATTTCTTTAATGATCCTACTCTTCTCTCCCACATTAAACGTTACAAAGAATCCAAAGAAAATAAGACACCTCAAAGTCAAGTTAGGAGAATGAATGGCGCTGATTGTGTTATAAAACGAAAACCACAGGCTAAATCTGTAGCACCTCATCGTGTGTTAGCTAAAGAAGATGAGGCCATATATCTGGAAACACAAAAAGAACTCGATAAGGATTCTTATCTCAATCCACAAGTACCAAAGCGGCGTGTTTATCTTGCACAGACACATGTACCGGCCTTCTTATTATCCCTAGGATCTCCTCAGAATCAGTCTTCCCCACAAACTTCGTCCTTAGAAAACAGAGATACAATAACAAATGAAACCACAAGCACAACAAATGATCGTGGCTCCCTTGACTTCGAGGAGAGAAGCACGGGATCCGCAGAAAAATCGCATTTGGATTCAACAGGGTCCAAAGTTGCTAACAATTACAACGAAGACAATATCGAAACAATCGACAATGAGATTTCAATGATGGAAAATTCAAGCGTACCAGAAACAGAACTTTCACGAGAATTAATTTATATGGCTAATCGTATAAAAAGAAGTCGATTACAAACATTAAGGTAAAGATGGGAAATATATAGATATAAAAAACTTGCCTGGCTTTAATTTATAGAGTTATAACATTTTATAACCTGCTTTATAGTTTGGATAGCAATGCAGATTTACTTCCTAGACAATATAAGCAACTTAATTATATTGCCATGAAACAAAGGGTAAATATTAAACCAGGTTTTATACGATCTTCTTGAGTTAAATGCTGCTTTACTTGCATTAAATTTCCACACACAAACACACACTCATATATGTTATACTAAATAGAATAACAAAGTATCTAATGGTGGCAAAAAACCAAAAACCAAAAGCAAAAAAACAAATGCATCGGCAGGAACAAAAAATGTAAGATGTTTTTTTTTAAATCAGATATTGAAAGTTCAAAGATTCTTTCATTCAAAGCTAACAAGCATTATATGTTACAACAGACACAACCTAATTATATGCACAGTGATTCTGCCCAAAGCTTGATTAGAATTGCAGTTTATCATCCAAAGATTCCTAGTAAATTGCTCCAAGAATTCAGTGTGCTTGGATCTCAAACATTAGCAACATTCAAGGATGCCATTTACTGTATCAATTGCGCAGTATCAGACGTAGACCCGAAAGACATTTTTTTAAACAATAGCGTTAGTCAAAATACTAAAGAAACATCAAAAAGCAGCAGCTTTTTTATCGAAGATACACTCTATATCGACACACGGCCTGAGAAGCTGAATTTAAATTCAAATGACAAAGATATCACCAAGTGAGTCAACCGATATATAAGCTATTTTTTAATAAACACATACAGACACAAACTAACATATTTTTTCTAAAAATGTAATCAAAATTAAAAGGCAAGAAGCACTTTATGCACCAGAAGTAGAAAATGCTATACCTAAAGGTGTTATTCTTCATCCCAGACAATCAATGGAAGATGTTACTTTTGGTGAGCTCAGACTTCAGCTTAACCATCCTTATCTCTTCACAAATCACAACAGCTGTAGTCACATGGTAATGGTACGAGATATAAGGTAATAACATCAAAGATACCATCTCTCTCCGGAATATGAAAGGTATTGACAGGCTTCTAATGAAAATCGGGTATAAATCATAGGCTATGTGATTACATTGAAGCAATGGAAATAGAGCAGGGTCCAAGGCTTGAGTACACATGGAAATTTGTTCGCTACAAGTGTAACATGTGTTTGACATATCCTGCAAAGTAAGCAACCATTTGAAATTCAACAAAAAACGGGTAGCCAGTGAATCATAATATGTGTATATAGATATATTACATTCAATGATATCTTGAGTGGAACATCACCATGCTACTTTTGCGAAAAATGCTTTGGTCCGTTTCATTTTGATAAAGATGGAAATAAGACTTCAAGTTTCCAATATATTCCATACAATGGCATATAAAAAGTAAGTATAAGACCTCAATAATATGATATTATTATTAGCTGTAGGCTCAACAATCATCATGTCTTCTTTATAAACAAACACTGGCTGCCTTAAATAAAAATGCGGGAATGTTTTTTACTCTTTGTTAAGCTGTTACTTGTGTATATAGGAATCGAGAAAGATAATATATATATACAATTCAAAGAATGTACATAAAATATTCATTTTCAGTATTTCATTTTCTTTTCGGACAAGCCAAAAATAAAGCTGTTACTAGTTTGTTTTACCTTACCAAGTATTTTTTTTTAAAGGCAGTGATATCATAAAGGTTATGCTCAGAATCCTTTACTTGTAGAACTCAAACGACCTCAGAAAACATCAGGTTTTATATTTCATCGTGGTTATGATAGTGATAAAAATTCAAGATTTTTTTGATATAAATAGACACCTGTCAACACTCGAAAGGCTTTATAAGAGTACCAAAAACAAAACATTTACATATTACGAAGCGCTCATGTTGTGATCCAACAAAATTGGATATCCTTTGTCAAATTAGATACTTTCCCAGATTATAACAAAATATTTAGATTGCATTTTTAAAGTAATCCAGCCAGATTCATACTTTTTGTTAAGCATGGGCCAAACATTACTATGATTATTTTATTATTATTATTATTTTTTAAAAAAATTATATCATTTAAAACGCTTGGTAGTAATTGATCTTATCCCGAGAAACTTTTCTATACCAACGCAGTTAATTTCATCCGTTTTATAAAAGGTCATACTGATGGGTTTTGTTATGACCGACTTAACCCTTTATTTGTTGAACGTTTCATACTTTGTGAGTTTGACATTTTTTTTTAGCAGAGCACATGAGAGATGTATCTTATTTGAGTCTAAGTAGTCATTACCTTTCAGGAGAGTTCTTGCCAGTGACAGAACCTACTTTGTTGCCTAGATTAAGAATACACATGTTTTCTGTTGGTTGCGGACTCTGTGAAATTAACAGAGATTGCGACGGGGTTTTTTTCATAGTAGTGTATTTTCCTGATTTATATTTTGGATAGCTTTTATCTCATCTCTATGAGTGTTAATAATTTTTTTTCTCCTTAATTTTAAACAAAAAGTCAAATATATCTATAATCCACACAGGCCTCAAAACAAAAAAACAAAAATAACATACCTTCTACAGTCAAAGCTCGATATAGTGATATTCGATATAGTGATAATCGCGATATAGTGATAGTGATAAAATTTGAATCCACCAGTATCACTATATCGAGCTCTGAGTTTATTTCTGTATTATATATTTTATTTAGCATTTTAAAGCAAGCCCAGTTTCTTAGACAAAATACTATGAATCCTATTAGAAAACAGTAGTGACATGGTGTGTGTTCTTTTGGTTCCACTCAGACCACGAATATCTTGCAAAGAAGTATGACACTCTTTGCAGGATTTCCTTCAATCCCCTTGCACAAGGCATACCCTTGTGCATTGAATTTCATCATTGGTACTGCTTTAATAGAGCTTTATAACAAAGTAGTATAGATTGTTCACATATAAAAGTCTTCAGATGAAGCAATAATAAAACAGAATCCTTATCTATCTTTATTTTATTGATCAAATCCTTTATTTTACTTTTGTTTATACATTTATTTCATTGTCACTGACTTATAACAAATCTTCGCGATAGTTATAAGCATACTTCTTGTTATATTTGTCCTTTCTATACACATTTTACTACATCTCCTTACTGTTGGATAGACCCAAGCGTTATCAAAGTAATTCATCTCTATCTCTCTATATATTTGCCTTCTGAACTCGTTGGCAACCCTATTTTCATTTATTATTTTTCTGACAACGTTGCACCACACCAACTCAACACTTGTCAGTAGTCACTCACAGCGGCATTAGAAATATCACTAAATAATGTGCGGAGTAAGAAAAAAACACACTCAATATAGTGATAGTGATAAAATTTCTGTCCACCATCCATATCACTATATCGAGCTTTGACTGTACTGGCTTTACTCATCTAGAGACTCAACAAAGCTGAGACTACCAGCAGTTCCTAAAAACTAAAGAATAATATACAATTTTAAATAGCTTTTATTTTTACCATGATCATAAAGATATCAACTCAAAATATTGAAGAATTAAAGATTAAGAGGATACTAAGATATGTTTATACATATATTAGTATATAATAAATAAAGCAAAGAATCCAAGATTTTAAGAGTTGTACAGCACCGATTTTTTAATAGAAGTAGTTATTCCATGACTATTTAATAAACTAGTCGCTTGATTGACTTTATTATCTTTTACAAGCACATAATCAGTATCGTATGTGCTTACAACAAAGACCAGAATTTGGTTCTCTCTGAGAGGGTTTAAAACTCAAGCCAGAATACCAACAAGACCAAAATCCATTTTAGCATCAACTTTGAAACATCGCCAGTTGTCTTCTGTCTTTTGGGCTATATCCACAAGTTTGGAAGTAGTTAGCAAGATGAGAGAAAGCTCAGATGTTGTTTTAGATAATGTAAACCACGGTTGGTCAAGAATATATGATTGCCATTTGTAGTTTCTAGGGAACTGATGGATTGAAAATAAATCAGGCAGAAGTTTAAGAGAAAGCAGAGGCATTAGGTGCTCACGGAGTGTCTAATCAATTAGATTTTAAATTTCTTTTTGGTAACTTTTCAAAATACAAATTTGATACTGTATACCTAATAATAAGTCAGTGTTATAATAAAAGCTATACTGAAAAGGTATAACTCTTTGAATGCATAATAATTAAAAGTTCTTTCTTTTGCTTTTACCCTCAATAAATAAAGTATACTACTCTCAAAAATGTCTTCAACAACAAATACACTTTCCCCTATAGGCCTCTCTGAAGCGAATGCGGCACTAATAAGCCTTATTGTTAAGAAGTCTGATGATATATTCAAAGAAGCATCCAAGACAGATGAGTTTGAGGACGAGGAATTTGATGAAGAACTTGACAAGAGCTCATAAAAAATCAAATATTGTCACAAAAGTGCAACGAAAGCAATACTTCTGCTCAATAAGAAAAAGTAGAATTTATTTCAGCTATCAATTAGCTCTATTTGCAGCAGACCTTGAAAGCAATGAAATTAATCAACCAAGACATCTTCTTCTTGATCTGCATTGGCAGCGTGTCTATGATTCAGGAATGAGTAGTGATTTGTAGACGAGCTAACCAAGATACATATCGTTGGTAGACAATCGACCACCCAAACCTTACTGACGAAGAGACTGGAGAGCGTGGCTTTAAGACCCATTATTAGATTACGCGATCAACTTTTGAGAACCTTGTGAATCTTCTAAAAAACACAGCTGCATACTCAAGGTTCAATGGTGAACATAGAAGCACTTAAAATGTTGCCCAACAGGTTGCTGTTGTTTTATAGAGATTCTGTAACACACACTTTGGTTATAGAATTGCCAAGACAACACTTGGTGTTGACCATGACTTCTACAATGAGTTTACAGTACATTTTATCAATACAATGACAAAATAAATTGCCAATAAGGTCATTGTATGGCCATTAACATATTCAAAAGCAGAGAGAAACTGCTAACGGTTTTGCTATTCGTACAAGTACCAGTATCCATGGCTATAACCACCACTGGAAAAACCGCCCTGATTAACAATGTGGCCAGGTTGGCAAACACATGTGTAGAAATAGTGATTTTTTTCAACTCAGTGTGTTTTTTGAAGTTCAGGTCAAAGATGTAGTTTTAGTTGGTCTCATTGGCTAACAGAATTTTAGAATATCAGTCTGGTACGGAAGACTAAATTCACATACAGAGACCTATCATAATTCTCATTCTACCACCCCTTTTTTTTATTCCTACTATTTTCTGGATTTACTCTCGCAATAATCTATTTATAAACTCATAGTAGAAAAATATATGTCTTTTACACACAACAGGCATTCTTGAAAACATTTGAATAAAGACTATGAATTGATAATATCATAATTGTCATGTCTCTTTCTATATTTAATAATATAGAAAAGAACTTGTTAGAAGAATTTAATTAAACAACCATAAAATATAATGCTTTTTTTTACTATAAAGCCGGTGCAAATAAAATATATTTTACGCTTGTTCCTCTTTTTATTTTCAATAAATCACATCAAACAAAACACATAAAATGCCTTCTATCCCCCACCGCCGTAATGTTGTCTGCCGTTGTGCTCAATGTAGCAGAAATTCACAGGGATACTCATTGGTGACAAGCAGAACCGCTGAGCACCATATTAGAAAGGATGAGCTTGAGAGAATCGAGAGACTGGATATGGCTGAAAGATTGGCAAATAGTATGTTATATTCAGGGTTTATTTTTCGATTACTGAGTAATAACTTCTTTATTTTTTTAATTTTAATGAAACACAGCTGTGCAAGAAGAACAAATGATGGACGTTGATACCCAATATAAGAAAAGAAAAGAAAAAAATATTTGAAAACCAGTAGAGACAATAAACTAAACTAATCTATATTTGTATATATCCCGACCTGTCAATCTGAATCCATCAAAAAAAAAGACGATCAGGCCAACTCATCTGATTCGAATGCCGCCATGATGGCTGACAATGTCTCGGTAGACAATGAGATCAGCGAGGTCAATGGCAATGACTCTGACATTGAAAGAGACATGAACTCTGACTCTGGCAGTGGTGAAGAAGAAGGTGTCAAGACAGACGTTGAAGAGTTTGTTAATGAAGGTCAGTCATAAATGATTTTGTTTTCTTAAAAACAGATTTAAAGAAAATTTGTTCTAATTTATTTTTGTTAATTTTAAATAGACCCATTTGATGCTCCTAACATGCCTGAAAACCCTGTCCATCAGTTCATTACTACCTTTGCCATTCTTTTTATCTCGCGTTATGTTGTTAACAAAGGTGCCGCCATATTGATTGAATTTATCAATCAGTTACTCAAGATCTACGGCAAAGATTTCCAATTACCAACAAGTCTTATTGGCCTGCAAAGAATGACTGGTTTTTCCAATTACGCCAATGGTATCAAGAAGTCTGTTGTATGTGAAGACTGCCACAAGGTTTACGAACAAGATGTGCCTCTCCCTACTCATTGCGACTTCAAAAAGCATGGTTCTCAATCAGCATGCAATTGTGAATTGATGAAGGTTTCATCTTCTGGTGCCATGATAGCCAAGCGATCATACATCTACAACTCTATCCAGAGATCATTACAAGTTTTCTTTCTTCGTTCTGGGTTCGAGCAAAAAATCAGACAATGGAACAAAGAGCTTAAGGTCGTAGATACACTATGCGACGTCTATGATGGTGCTATGTGGAAGGAGCTAAAGGACCAAAGTGGTGTATTGTTTGTGAATGAACCTCGTTCATTGATGCTAACAATGAACATCGACTGGTTCCAGCCATTTGATGGCGTTACATATTCAACTGGAGCTATCTACCTTGCAATAAATAACTTGCCTCGTGAGGAAAGATTTAAGCCTGAAAATGTCATCCTTGTTGGTTTGATGCCTGGTCCTAAGGAGCCAAAGACCGAAGAGATCAACCACTATTTAAAGCTAATAGTTGATGAATTGCTGCAGTTGTTTACGGGGATAACCATCCCGACCTTTGAGTGCCCAGCTGGTGTTAATGTACATGCTGCATTACATATGGTTGCCTGTGACATCCCCGCTGCCAGGAAGACCAGTGGATTCACCGCCCACAACAGTACTTGTGCATGCCCCAGATGTGTGAGGCAGTTTACCAGGTTACCAAGCACCAATCAGGTCGACTTCAGTGGGTTCGACTATTCGACATGGAAAATCTGTAGCGGTCTGAAAAACAGGTTGCATGCTGAGGAGTGGAAGAGTGCCAGTACGCCCTCAGAAAGGCATCAGTTGGAAATCGAAAATGGTGTTTGATGGTCGCAGCTGCATCGCCTTGGATACTTTGATCTAGTACGTGGAACGATCATCGATCCCATGCATAATTTATTCCTGGGGACACCAAAGAGAATGATGGAGTGGTGGATAAAAGAAGGGCTGATAGACGATAGAAAGCTAGCTACGATGCAAACAATGGCAGAGACAATGGTGGTGCCAATGGATTACGTGGTGTTGAAATCGAAGATTGGAAAGGGCTTTCCATACATAAAAGCTGGTGAATGGAAGTCCTGGGTGCTAGTGTATTCGCCTATCTTGTTGAAGGCCGTCCTGCCAATTGAAATGTTCAGAAATTGGATCAGTTTTGTTGATGCCTGCCGCCAATTAGTAAAGCCAAGCATCACGTTCTCTGACATTGACGATGGCCATAAATTTCTTCAAGAATTCTGTACTGAGTGCCAGCGTATTTACACTCCAACTATTCTCACCTGTAACATGCATTTACATCTCCATCTTCATGAGACCATCCGTGATTTTGGACCAGTATATGGATATTGGCTCTTCGGGTTTGAGCAATATAATGGTCTGCTAAAGAACGTGAATACGAACAGAAAAGATTCCTTTGAGGTTACATACATGAATAGTTTCGTCCAAGATACATTCAAAGGTGATTTCGTTCATGCTGCTCTCACATGCCCAAGCCAAGTACCGTTTCTTCCTCTTCTCGCCAAGCTTACTGCCACAACTCAACCCTCCACTTCAAAAAATACAATAACTTTTCCCCAGCGCCCTTTCAGACTATCAGCCTTCATCCAAGCATACTCAAACCCTTCTCTTCCAGTCCTTGGCAATGAACCTCTTCCTCCATCTGCATTTACTCTCCATATCGAACCCCCATTAGCAATGAGTGATGTCGACTATCATCATTTGCTTGATTACTATAAAGTCGCATACTGTATGCCAAATCTTGAAGGTTACCAGCATCCCTCCTCTCCATTCTCCTTTGCTGACAACCAAATCATAAAGTTGAAATCAATCAATTTGCTTGGTCAGGTTTACAAAGGCTGCAAATATGCTTCTGGTCGTGGCTCATTTGTTCAATCTCTGTTCCTTGGAAGTCAAGGCAATAATCGGTTGGCATACACTGGCCAAATTCAGTATCTGTTCTTGCACTCTTTCACTCCACCAGTAGACAACACAGAGCTCCAAACACGTGTCGTTTATCAAGATAAACACGTCTTTGCGTATGTTAAGTGGTTCCAGATTGAGCATGACCATTCAAGAGAGTTGGAAAGTGTTGACATCTGCAGTGCAGATTTTATTGCATGTGATTTTAAATGCATCTTGCCAGTACATCGAATATCATCAGTTGTTGCAACATGTGATTATAAAACCAGCACAAATAATAAGAAAATACTTGTCAACGCTTTATCACACAAACAATACAATTAATATTTAGTACATTTCTTTTTTAATAAAAAATTTCAATACATAAGCTAATGTAGTCTTATTATATATGTTGCGAACAATACATATGTGTTAAGAAATTTTGAGAGTAAAAGAAAAAAAACGACAAAAAATGAGTTTTATTTATGACCCATATTTAAGAGCCCATTGAGGTAGAGCAGGATCTAAATCAATTGGGACTGTTGATTCCACTGTTCTACCATAAACTCTCTTAAGCAGTTGGCGGGAATTTGCACCCAATTGCTTAACAACAAACGAGTCAACCTCCGTAATGAATTTGTTAAGCTAAGTAATAAACATATATTAACATTCAGCCTGGCATCATTCAAAAAAGAAAACTGTTAGGTTTTACCTCGTCACTTCTCCAACTTGGGCGAGCAACACAAATCTCATTTCTTGGCTGAGAGGGGGACATATCATCGTTTGATTCGCCTTCAGACATGACTGACTTTTGGATCAGTCCAGAGCAGTTTCAACCCATCTTGAGATCAATGTCAGCCTTGTAAGCATCATAAGCAAGGCGATGGTGAGTGTAGTTCTAAAGGAAAAAGACAATACAATTAATATTCTAATTGTTATTATTTAGCATAAATTGAAAATATAGTTTACATCAGTTTCACGGCCAGATCTTCTTGAATTAGTATTCAAGGCTCATCTTGTTTCCGGAAGTTCCCTTTGCTGGCGACGTCTACTACAGAAGTTTGTATATATACACTTACAAAGGTTGCGTGTCCTCATATCAGTGTCAGCAAACTTCTTTTCCAAGTAATACAAGAGTTGTTTGACTAACTCTCTATTTGGAGAGCGATCAAAACGAACATCAACTGCCCACTTTGGTTTTATGGCATTTGCTTGGATTTCTGCCTGGTCTCTTGATTTTAGCTTTGGGTTCCACATATAACCATGAATGTATCCCTATTATATTTTAATTAGCAACAAGATTGGCAAGTGTCTTTTGTATCTTTATACTTACAAATACAGCATTAGTATCACTTGATTCGGTGATGGGAAGGGCAGCAGAAGTGGATGCAACACTAGTGGGCACATGCGCAGATGCTGGGAGGGCAGACAAGGCATCAATGCCATTAATGGCGGTTGCGTTACTGGTGATCACTACACCAATTCTTGTATCCATCAATGTGATTTTATCCTTCATGGCCTTCATCTCTTCTTTCATCGCATTCAAAGCTTGTAGCAACTGGACATCAGTGCTAGCAAGAGAAGGAGCAAGTCTGCAGTTGGGGGTAGGCATTATCTGTAATACATTATAATATTTTCAATTGTTAATATTAGTTCTTTTTCTTTTTTATTCTCTTTTGTAAGAGACAATCCATCTATTATGTTATGTAAATTACAATAAATTCGCAACATAGATTTGTTGAGATGATATAATCAAGAGTGAGTGACATTGAATTGCAAGTAGAAATATTAAGTATTTATAGGCGGTAGTGATGCTTCAGGAACACTTCAAAGACAACTTCTTGAAACACTGAGATGCAAATCGGCCTTGATACATTTTTTGGCCTCAATTGATCACCTCTTTTCAGTTTTTTTTTGCTATCGTTTATTGGATAAGCTTTTCGGTATTTTGTTTCAAATGCGAAAAAAAATTTACGTCTTTTTCTTTCTTCTTTTCTGCTCCTTTCCTCTTTTCCAACGTTTGTCATTATTATATTAGTGGCTTTTTTTTTGGTAACATACTTCTTTATTAAATACTTTTTTATAAGCAATAAAAATTAATACATTCTTTTATTATCATAATAGATACTCGTTTGCTCTCATTTAAATGCATTCATTTCACAATCGCTGTCCAGATTAACAAAGGTCAATATTATATTTTGCGAAATTGACATCTATAAAAATCCTTCTGACTTGTTTTTTTTATTACAGACTTGATCATCAAGAATAACTGCTACAAATGAATTTAGTTAAAAACATCAAGGTAGTATATATATATATATTATTTTGACATGTATCTTACTAAAATAAAGTCTTATTATAGATGAACACTATTGATCCCGTCTTTGATTTCCCTTACATTATACAGCTGGAAATGACATTACATGGTAAGAATCACTACTTTATTTTTTATTTTAGTTATATTAATATTATAATGTGTTAACATAAAATATTATTATTTTTCACTAGAGTTCTATCAAGTGTTTACAAAGACAATCTATCTCTGTTAATATATATTCTTGCTACTGGTATATAAATTATTTATTATTTTATTCGATTCACAAAAATTAATGTTTTTCATTGTTTTTATAGTGAAAGATATCATAAGGAATGCCATGGATTATCAATATCAACATCTATTTTTTGCTCGCTCTTTTCCAATATTTACAATGTAAGTATAAAAGTGTATACAAAATGTAAAAGCATACTACATTAAATGTAGTACCCAGCATACAGCTAATAATTTTTCTATGCTTCTTAAAGACTGTTGTATTTCAAAAAACAGTCTGCTTTCTTTTTATATTTTCAGGTATTTCTTTTCTGTAGATAATTATTCTATTCAAACAGTATCAAGCAGACCAGTAGAAGCAATAACGGATATCCAATAAATCAATACTATAAGATTGTTATAGTTCTAGAAACATTCTGTTCTTTCCAAATAAATACTATTATAAACTTTTACCAATAAAACAATTTCTGAAATTAAAATAAAAACGATTGAACTATACTATGGTTCAGAATCCAAAGAATTGCTCAAATATTAAATTTAATTGGATATAAAAGATAACAAAGAGATGTAATGTTGAACTATACTACTGTGTCAAGATCGAAAATAAATATATTATCCACCTTTAAAGCTCCATATAAAACATATAAAAATAAAACCTTGGTTTCAAAAAACTCTTTTCAATATCCCAAGTCAGATCAACACACTGAAAGTGCTAAAGAACTATATCCCCGTCATTTTTATTTGACCCCACACATGTGTATAGCTGGTCATGGCACATGGTGCTAAGACGAACTTGTTACATGGTGATATGTATCTGGACTTAATGTTAAACCTCATCTTGACACCTGAGTAACTACGCATGTACACATACGTATGTCAGGTCATTTTTCCAGTGTCTGCTATATATATAAGTAGATGACAGCTGATCTGATATATATATAAGTGAATGATAGCTGATCTGATATATATATAAGTAAATGATAGCCGATCTCATATATATATAAGTGGATGACAGTCAATCTGATATATATATAAGCTGATTATAGCTGATCTGATATATATATAGGTGGATGACAGTCAATCTGATATATATATAAGTAAATGACAGCTCATCTGATATATATATAAGTGGATGACAGCCGGTCTGATATATATATAAGTAAATGACAGCTGATTTAGTATATATATAAATAGATGACAGCCAGTCTGCTATATATATATGTGGATAACAGCTGATCTGCTATATATATAAGTGGATGATAGCTAGTCTGCTATATATATAAGTAGATGACAGCCAGTCTGATATATATATAAATAAATGACAGCTGATTTAGTATATATATAAGTAGATGACAGCCAATCTGATATATATATAAGCTAATTATAGCTGATCTGCTATATATATATGTAGATGACAGCTGATCTGCTATACATATAAGTGGATGACAACTGATTTGCTATATATATAAGTGGATGATAGCTGATCTGCTATATATATAAGTGCATGACAGTCAATTTAATATATATATATAAGCTAATTATAGCTGATCTAATATATATATAAACTGATTATAATCAATTTGATATATATACAAGCTGATATTAGATAATTTAATATATATATAAGCTGATTGTAACTGATCCAATATATATACATACTGATTATGATCAATTTAATATATATATAAGCTGATGGCACCTGATCTGATATATATATATAAACTAGTGATAGTCAATTTAATATATCTATATATTGATGATAGCTAATTATATACTTATATAAGCTGACAAAAACTAATATATTATATATATATAAACTATTGATAGTCATTTTTATATATCTATAAGTTGATCATAGCTAACATAGTATATATATAAGCACATAATAACTAATCTAATATATATGTAAGCTGATTATAACTCATATGCTATATATATAAGTTGATAATAGCTGATCTGATATATATATATATATACTAATAACAGATGATTTAATACATATATAGACTGATAATAGCCAATTTGCAATATATATAAATTAATAACAGTCAATGTAATATATATATAGATTAATGATTACTAATTTGTTATATATATAAACTAATAATAAATAATCTAATATATATATATAGACTGATCATAATCAAGCTGCTATATATAAAAATGAATAACAACCAATATAATTTATATATAAACTTATAACATCAGATTTACTACTTATATATATTAATAACATTTTATCTATCTCTGATATTAGTCAATAGCATTGGATCTATCACATTATATATATTCACACTTATCAATATCCAAGTCATATCTGATCATCTCATTAAATACAAGTTACATACTCTAATCATATTTAATCTTTCATTTTTTATATATTCACAACTCTTTTATAATCTTTCTACATATATATATAATATAAATATATCATAAATATAATACATATTAATAAATTGACTTGTTCATATATGTTTTTATAGATCTATATAATAAGATTTTGATTTTTATAAGAAAATTAGTAAAAAAAAATGAAAATTATTTTTTATTAATTCTGTACTTGTTCTTTACATATTTTGATACTTCTATATGATATGACTAAATTGTCTTTATATGGCAAAATGTTTTAAAAAATTATTACTTAGTAAGAATTTGAACTTTTATTAGAAGAGATATATTTAATTATTGTCGGAACGGCTTTTTGATAGTTTAAAGTTAAATGTTTTTCCATGCCAAGCTTTTACATAGTTGCTATTTATATAACCTATCTTCCCACACTAAAAATGCCAAGACTTCTCACGCTAGGTACATTCAGACTAACCAAAAAAGAAAATTTTTTGTGAAAAAAGCTATTCTTTGTCATTTTTTCCTACGAATTCAATTGTATTGTTTATGTAGATCATTTATGCGAGATTATGCATGATTATGCATATTATATAACAAGTATAGCCAAAAGTTACCAATTTTTTTCAGCAATGCAATTGTATTGTTTACATTACGCGAATATGCATAATGACGTATGTTACACAAACTTTATTTTGTATATTTTTATATATGTTTAAATTCTCTTATATGTGCCTATATATAATTATGCAAGATTATGCAAGATTATGCAAGATTATGTAAGCTGATAACAATTAATTAACCATATATATAAACTAATTATAGCTGATCTCATATATATATAAGCTATTGATAGTTGATCTAGTATAAATATAAGCTGTTGACCACCAATCTCGCATATATATAAGCTGTTGATTACCGATCTGGCATATATATAAGCTGTTGATTGCCAATCTAGCATATATATAAGCTATTGATTGCCAATCTGACATATATATAAGCTATTGATTGCCAATCTGACATATATATAAGCTGTTGATCGCCAATATGACATATATATAAGGTGTTGATTGCCAATCTGACATATATATAAGCTATTGATTGCCAATCTGACATATATATAAGATGTTGACTGCCAATCTAGCATATATATAAGCTGTTGACAGCTGATCTAGTATATATATAAATGGATGACAGCCAGTCTGCTATATATATAAGTAAATGACAGCTAATCTGGTATATATATAAATGGATGACAGTCAGTCTGCTATATATATGTAGATAACAGCTGATCTGCTATATATATAAGTGAATGATAGCTGATATGCTATATATATAAGTGGATGACAGCTGGTCTGCTATATATATAAGTAAATGACAGCTAATCTGGTATATATATAAATGGATGACAGTCAGTCTGCTATATATATGTAGATAACAGCTGATCTGATATATATATAAGTGAATGATAGCTGATCTGATATATATATAAGTGGATGATAGCTGATCTGCTATATATATAAGTGGATGACAGTCAATCTAATATATATATATAAGCTGATTATAGCTGATCTGCTATATATATAAGTAGATGACAGCCGGTCTGATATATATATAGGTGGATAACAGCCAGTCTGATATATATATAGGTGGATGACAGCTAATCTGGTATATATATAAATGGATGACAGTCAGTCTGCTATGTATATGTAGATAACAGC